AAAAATGTTAAAAATTAGAAATGGTTGCCCTAAATCGACAATCCCAAAAATATTATGTTTTTCTATGTGAAAATACAATGGAAATTAGACACACGATTTCTAAATTTTAGAAAATTGCACACACTCGGCGACAAAAATTCGGGACGATTTGTTTTGCTCTGTGTGCTGCTGTTGCTTCTGCTATTACTATCGCTGTTGTTTTTTTGCCTTGAGACTCTTCTTGATATTTTTTGGGGCATGCACAAGTACACACGTACATGAAGACATAAAAACACATATATTTATATATATATGGCCTCACTGGCTTTATTCAGTTGGCCTCCGCCTTTGCCGCACCAACAGCAACACAATAAGCAAAATTGTAAAATTTTTGTTTAGTACTTAAGGGCGTGCTATCAACACCCCAACTATATATATATATATATATATATATACATACAAACATACAGGGTAGATGTCTCAAGGGATCGCAGAGCACTTGCAGTGAGTGAAACAACATGTTGGAATTTTTTGTTGATTTGAAGATGTTGTTCGTCGCTGCCTTTAAGTAAATTGCGTTGTGTACAGCACATTTAATTAGTTTCTAGACCACAAACAGATGCGAGGGGGGTGTAGATACAAAATATAAACTGAGGCAACTGTGAGACAATTTCAACGAGAATGAAAATGACTGCCTGTTCATGTGTGTAGAGCGCAACAATTTGTGGCAGGCAGCATCATCGATGCTGCTTAATTAAAAATTCTGTGGCCTGTGTGTTAGCGGCTAATATAAATGGGCATCAAGTGGCCAGCAAAATATTAACTCAACATTGGGGGCGCCTCACAAATTGACCGCTGTCTTTTTTTTTTGCTACATTGTGCAGTCAACCAAAAAGCTTTTACAGCAGCAGCATCAGCGGAAACGGATGCTAAAGTGCTGCCCTCCTCCCCCCAACACACACAGAGCAAATATAAAATGGCAGCTCATCAACGTCAACGTCAAACTCATTGGAATGCTGGGCTGATTACTGGCAGGCTTACCTCTGCCATCATCGGCCAAAGAACACACTCGTTTTAATGACAACGTTGTGCCCCAAAAATGTAGTTATGAGTCTCCTGGTGCAGGCAGACAGAGAGGCACAGCACACACTCAAAACACACAGAGAGCTGGAACCAATCAACTGATGTATCATCCACATACACTCATAAAAAGCATCGTCCCAAATTTTAGTAAATTACCATATTCTTGGCAGAAAGTATATTTAAAAAATTTATGGTTGTGACTTTCTCAAAACTACTCTTTGAATTTTTTTTAATTTCAGTTTAGATTGTTAATAAAATTTAAAGAAAAATATGTCCAATTGGTGATAGGGTGATATTTTCTTTGTGATTTCTATTATTTTGATTTTTGTTGCCTATTTTATATTAATAAACATTCGAAATATGATTTACATAAGCATTTTAGATAGTTCATTTATTCCCATCATTTAATTTAAAAAACTGGGCTTATATTTAAACTTTTTAAAAATGCATTTCTTAATACTAGAATATTAAAAAATTAAATAAAAAACATCATGTTTTTTGGATTATCGATGTAGTGCAAGCAATTCTAAATCCTACAAATTTGTTTCTTAATATTTAGAAATTATTTCTTAAAACAAGAAAAGCGTTGTATATTTTAGGGCGCTTTTCTTTTCTGAGTGTATGCACATATTCAGTGTCAGCAGTGAGTGTGTATCCTTTGAATGATTGTCCCACTCCACAATAGGTCCGGTATGCATATTTGGCTACGTGTAGAGGCAAATGCGATTCGTTTACTAATTTGTCATTGTTAGCTGGCCACCCAACAACAAAGCTGGCCGTCACACAGTCAGTTTTCCCTTTGCCGATTTCCCGATTTGCGCATTTATCGTCCGTTCGACATCCGGCGATGTGTCCATTATGCGATGTTTCGAGCTCAACTTGAGCTGATTTACAAATGAAATCATACGCCATGGCGGGTTTTTCGGTAATGAAAATTCAGTCATAAGGGAAATCATTTTTCCGGCTTTTGTTCTATTTTTGTTGGACGAGCGAGGCAATGGAAGATGGGATTGGGGAGTTGCGAGGATGAGCCTAATGTGATTTTTGCTGCCAGCTAGCCTGAACTCATTTTGGTTTAGTTTTGATGTGGTTGCTTAAGGCTGGGAAAATGGGAAAATGTGAACTGGGACTCGGTCTGTTTAATGGGCATTCGCCGTTTGCTCGTAGCACACATGCTTAATAAATAAATTTCATTTTAATAAACTTGTCATAATGCCGAAGCGCAAAAAGTTTTCATAATGCTCCACAGCAGAAGCCTTGATGTTATTAAAATTTTACATGTCATGCCGAAAAGTATTTAAGCCGACGCAGGAGTCTCGCATGATGAGCGTAGCAGCCTGCCACAGCCTGCGGCACAGTTATCTGCCAAAAAAAGGTATTATAATTTTCTCACGTTAAATGGAGGCTGTCTAAACTGTAAGCTACAGTTCCACAGTTTTCAAGCCGACTTGATGACATTTTGCATAGCTGCAAAACTATTTATCTGACGTAAATTTGGAATCTTATTAAGAAATATTAAATTAAATCTAGACTTGAAAGCATAGTTTGACTTGTCTGTGTAGCTGAGGGTGTGTAACTTCCTCTTATTCTTTTTATATAAATAACATGTTTTTTTTCAAAAGCTCATATCTCTGTTAATATGCGTCTATTTGTCCTTTTGAATTCGCAATCCAATTGAAACAACTTTAATTTTGTATTAATTTAGAGCTGAAAAAATAGTTTAACCTGGCTTAGGGTGGAATGTTATTTGTACATAAATAAAATACCTATTCATCTTTCTGACAGACATTTTGAATTATATTAAAAAACACATTAAATATTTAAGTGTATTTCTTTTACTATATCTATATCTAATCGTCTACTTGACATAAATTTGGAATTATATTAAAAGCAAATTAAGTTAATAAATTTAGTATTTAGGCTGACATAGTTTGTCATTACTTTAGGTGAATAGTGGTTGTGTATTTTCCGCAAAAAAAAACAATATATTTCTATCCTGCAAAGTGTATTTAAACTTCGGCACTGCCTAAACAACAGTTGTTGGTTGTTACTGTTGTTGTTGTTTATTGTTTGCTGTTTGTTTAGCGCTCTCCGAAGGTATTAGGTTATGCATTAAAAAATCACTAATGACGTCTATACACGGCGCACAAAGGTAACCGCAAAACAGCCCCTGTGAAATTTAAGCGTAACGAGTTACCTTCTCCTCGCTGACTCCCTGTTCTCTGAGTGTGTGTGTGTGTGTGTGTGTAAATACATACACATACTCATGTTACTTAATTGCAGTGACAACATTTAATAAAGCTAAAGCAAAGATTTGCCTGGCTTCCCTTTTGAGACCCGCCTCTTTCACAAAATTCGTTACACAAAACGCTTCTCTGGCATTTTAAAATACGCAGATTGTGCTGTGTGTGTGTGTGTGTGTGTGTATAGTCATATATGTGTGTACTGTGTGTATGTGTGGCATTTTTATGCTGATGCTAATGTGCTTGCTGATGTTCAGGTTTGCCTAGGTATTTTGTACAAATTCCGAGAGCTGGAGAGAAGTTAAGAGCTGTAGATGGGATATTTGCACAAATGAAGCGAATTCCGTTTAAAGCATTTCCAAATAATTTAATTTAAAATACCAGAGCAATTTTTGCGCAAAAATAACCATTGCATACTTGTGTGGGCGAAATGAGAAATGCCAAAATATTGCCCCATTTTGCTAATTGTGGACCCAATCCCTTTTAATTAACTACTCAGCAAACAGGGACCATATATAACACCTAGTCGTTCCCAGATCCCCGCCCCAGATACAGATATGGTCGACGCTTTACAACAATGACAATCAACACAAGTTTTGCATTAAAACGCAAAACTTTTAGTGTAAGGAAAAGTTTTTTGGCTATTTGTATAGGCGCATCACTATTTTATGGGTCTGCCTTTGTTTTCTCGAGTTTCGAGTCTCGAGTCTCGATTTCCCCAATGTGAGGCAGCTCTCCTACGATCTCCCTCCCAATAACTGCGCCTTATCATTCTGTCTGCCTTGTAGCTACAACCTATTAGCTGCTTAATTTTATGTGCCTAGTTTCTGCATGTGTGTGTATGGGTGTGGGTGTGGGTGTTGAGCACAAAAGGTGCCTTGCCTCAAAAAACTTTTGTTTATTAATTTGTCATCTACGCTTAGCATCTTGTTTGAGATTTTGATCCACTCACAAGTTTTGTTTTCAACTTTCCATTCAATTGTTTAAGGGCTGCTAAATACATCCGCTGAATTTTAGAAAATCACCAAAGTTTCAGGGTGTTTTTTCATTTGTGGACCAAAGAACTCTAATACTAAGTTTTACGATATTTTTTCACTCTGCTTACATGATCTTTACACAACTTAATTTGTACCCATTTTATTAGTTTTTATTTAAATAACATTTAAAATGCTTAACCTCAAGCCTAAGTAATCCTTACATATTAACTTTGATTTATTTAGTGGTAATTAGTGATTTCAAAATTATAAAAATTAAGCAATTTATGATATTTTGAATTGAAAATAACAGTTAACATAACATTTAAGCCATAAATTAATTTGTTCCACCTAGTATCAGAAAGGTCTCAGTCCTCCCTTATTTTTTTTTCTGAGGTGATAAATTTCATTTCTTGTTTTAGCATCTCTTCTAAAAACAAAAACAACAACATTTCAATCTATATGTTTTTCAAAATATATTTGGGAATATCGATTTATGGCAAGCCCTTCTCATTTTTAGAAATTAATTCTAAAAAAAGAAAACTTTTATTTTTTTTCTGAGTGTAGGTTTTCAACTTGCAATTCAATTGCTTTAAATGTTACAATGATTGGCAAAGTAACAGCTTCATCAGCTGTGCAACCAACCACTCATTTTTCTGTTGCAAGTTGCAAGTAGTTAAGCGTATTACTGATTTTCCTTCTTTTTTTGACTCTGTTGCAGATGACGCCACTGCAGGTGAGAACGATACGTTAGGCGGCGTTGACTATGGGACCAGAGGCATGGGCGTGTGTGCGGACCCTGGGTCTTATCGATGGTGTCAGGCATTAAGCCGGTCGCGTTCATCGTGCGCCACAAACACAAACCAATCAGCAACCAAACAGCAACAACAACAACCGGAGTCGAAGTCGAAATCGAGGCAACAACAATCAGACACAATCAGGGCAAGTGCCACAGGAGTAGTCGAGGAGGAGTCAACAATTGTAGCTGCCACAACAAGCAGACAAGCAACAACGATTCCGATTCCATTTGCAACAACTCTAACTCAAACTTTGACGTCAGCGCCGGGAACAACGGCCACGTTCACAGTGAAAGGAACGAGCAGAAGAAGACGCCACGCCGAGGACAACGACGACGTCGAAGAGGACGCCAGAAGTTGCCACATCAGCAACATCAGCAGCAGTAGCAACATCAGCAGCGTATCAGTTCAGGCTCTGAAGTTGGTATTGATTTGGCTGCTTGCCTTGCTGGCAAAAAATGCACAAGCTCACAATATACCAGGTAAGTGACTAGAATTGACATTTTAGAAGCGCATTAATTATATAATACCTCAAATAATAACAAATATATAAATAGCCGGAGTGAACTCGACTACGATATACTCTTTAGCCAACTGCAAAATAGGAAATCAATATGAAAATGCATGTGCGCATTTGTCAGACTTAAAAATGTTCTAAAATAAGATTGAAAAATTAAGATTAATAATTTAAAAAATTGCTTTGCAATTGCTAATAATTTCCTTGATGTCTTCTATTCTCAGTCCTGTAGTGATCTGCTCGGCTTATGTAATGTTATTTGATAGCTCAGTTGAGCCCTTATTGTAATGAATATATATTCAAATCGTACCGTTTGAAAAACAAATAGATAAGTTAAAGCTTTCCTAATAGTATGCAACACGCACCTATTTCACTTTTAACAAAGAAATGTGCCAACAAATTTGAGTGTACATTAATTTAAGTCAGAGACTTCTAATTATCACATTGAATCAATGTTGCTATTCTTAAAAATGCATATATTGTATTTGAAATACATTTTAATTTGAAAATTCACAAGTTATCCTTCTTCCTTCTGCCAGTTACATATTCTGGCTTAAAACCATTATACCCTTTATAGCCATTCTAAATGGGTATACAGGGCATAATAAATATAAAAAAGCTATTGGCAAGTCCGCTAACAATATCCATTGATTGCTCTTACGCCAGGTGAATTTCTCCGGATTGGAAAGCCCTTCGTATGTCGCCTCATAAAATTGCCATATGGGGGCAATATTAGGCAGTGGGCTCTGTGAGGTTTTCATTTCGTGTCGTTTCAGTTAGATTCATTTTTATTTTGGTATTCAGGCAAAATGTAATGGTGCACAATAAGCGGCTTAAGTGCGGGCAAAGCTGATTACATTTGGCAATTAGTTGACAGTTAGTTGAAGTGCGACGAGCTACGAGCAACGAGTCTTTTTCGGCGTAATGTGCCACACAGTAAATATATATTTACCATAGTATACATATATATACTATTTGTAATATTAATAAAAGTATTATGGGGGTATTCTCTCGACAGACGTGACATTTCCATTTCGTCATGTACAACAACTAGTAGATTCAAGATTCGACAACAGAATGCCTGCTTTAATGTAGCGTAACTTTCTTCAAATGAATTAAATTAATTTAGCCGAAAATTGAAAATCCGCTTGGGATTTCTGTGGGGGCCACTTCGTGAGCGGTCGAAAGGTCAATTGCCAAGTATGTACGGCCCTCAGGTTTGCGACACTTGAAAAGGAGGGTGGGGAGAAGGGCGTGGTTTACAGAGTGGCAGTTGAGAAGAGGTGAGGTGAGTGAAGTGGACTAAAGTGATGTGCCCAAAATAAGTTCCCGGCACTCACTGCTACACTTAGAAAAAATGTATATTTTAATAAATCGGCCTAAAATGTAAATCGCTCTAAAATATATAAAGTTTTTCTTGCTTTTAGAATCATCTTTAAATATTAGAAAATCATTTTATTTCATTAGAATCGACAATTCAATTTGACTATTTTTCTATTTTTACAAATCATTTTTATTGTTAAGAAAAACATTTCTGAAAAGTAGAAATGCAATCGCTTATTTTTAGAAAAATACTTTCTGACATTCAGAGGCAAGCAATGAAATTTACAGACTTTTATATTAGAGTTTAGAGAATTCTTCCATAGTACACGCATAGAAAACAACACCCTGGAAATATAAGATATTTTTTGTAGTGTAGTTGCAGCCAGGCCAGCGACTCAACTTTAAACCATGAAAACAAACTGCGATGTTAAATAACTTAGGCGTGTCAAGTGGCTGCCCGCCTGCCAGGGCTGAAGGATATTTTAAATTGCATAATGAGACCACTTTTGCATGCTAACGCAATCAAAAGACGCGACAAAAAAAAACACCAACGGAAACGGGGGCGCTGCTTCCTGCCACCCTCGAGTGGATGACGGCCTGTCTGCAACATTATCAAAGGGCAATAGACGCTCGAGAGAGTGTTGACTGTACACACTCCACTCATTCCTACTTGTTCCGTTCTGTTCTGTTCCGTTTCGGTTCAGTTTTATGCTGCTTTTTGTACAATGTCCGCAAGGTTGGTTGGGGGTTGAAAAGAGGTTATGCTACACTCAGCCAAAAATCGCATTGAAATTTAGAAATTCGACAAGGGTAACTCATATTATTAATCAGAAAAAATCTTTAAGAAATCAGAGTTTTCCTTTTCATTCATTTTTCAGCTAACATTGTTCTAAAATATGCTTGAATTATTAAAAAAAAAAAAAACATTAGTATTGTCAAAATTTTTTTATTATATTTTTAAATTATTGCAAAAAAAAAACAAGAGATACTATTTTTTCCTCTAAGTGTACTCTATTCCCTAGCTTTGTGTTCAATGTGCAAAAGTGTTGTCTAAGCTGGCCAAGTTAACAGAAATTTATGCAAATGCCAAAGTCAACAAGCGCTCAGACAAAGCAACCTCGAGCCACTGACAGACTGATAAAGTGACTGGCTGACAGGCCAGTTGAGATCCTGGCCAGACTGACAGACAGAAACGGAGAGACAGCCAGACTGACAGGGGCTATTCTTTGTTGTCCCTTTCCCTTTATGGACTTACTTATACATACTTTTTTAAAGGCTCAACTTTGCCACTAACTATTCACCTCTCAGCGATTAGTTTTGCACATTCAAAGATTCACATTTTCGTCGATTTGTGTTACAAAACACAATAGGCAAATGCCAAAAGCTGCTTGTTCACAAGTGTAGTCCTTGCTTAGGACAACACCATTTTCATCCCCCCGCCCTTCATCAGAGGACACGCCAGGACATTGCAACGTTTCAATTTGCAGCTGTTTCCGACTATTCATTTACATTTCCGAGGCAACTAAGAATGAGAACAACTCCAATTGGGGCACAGTACAACATTTTGGCAATTAAAGCTTTGTACGTGCGACCTTAACTATACAGAAATAATACGGAGAGCTGACTTGGTTGGACAGTTTGGTTTTTAGCACATTACACATTAGCAGATCACTAGCAGAAGCTGCGGGCAAAGAGAACAGTTCCAACTTGAAGTGTTGACAACTGCAGTCGACAGTCACCTCGACTGATAGACAGACAGTCGGACACACGCTAATCAAATGTCACGTGTCGCACAATGGAAATGGAATACAAGCCAATTGGTTCTAGCTACCCACACACACACACACAATAGTCAATAATGATGCGTAGTCTGTCCCTGGCTGTCAACAGGGTAGCTGAGCAGTTGTCCGTTGTGAGTTCAGTAACTGCTCCTGCTTCGACATGCAATTCCTTGCCACAACTAATAAACTCTTGACTACACTAATCCCCTAATTCTCACTTTCCACTTCTTCAGAAAGTATATTTCTAAAAATAAAGCTTTTCTTTTCTTAATATGTCCAATTTGTAGTTTTTTACGTATACGTAAACGAAGCAACTGTACAATTATCTTTTTTAATGCTAATAATAGACATTATTATTATAAAATTTCACATAAACCAACATTTATATAATTTATAAATGCATATAATTTAAATTGAAAAAACGACAACTAAACTCCAATATAAAAGCCGAGTCAGTAAATCTCATTACTTTTTTCTGAAGTTAAGAAAGGATTTGTTTAGAAATATATTACTTAATAAAAGAAAATAGTTCTAAAAAATAAAAAAAAAACACCATAGTTTTGTGCTTACCTTTGTAATTGTTTGAAATTTGTTTTTATTGTATTTAAAAATGATGTCCAAAAACAAGAAAAACTAGTTTTCAGGGTAATTTTCGAAAATTCAGAGCGATTTTTTCCGGAGTCTAGTTAACGATTTTGGGGAACAAGTTAAACCTAGCATCAAACTCAAAGTTTTTCGTTGAATATCGGCGGATATAAGAGTCAATGGCCGGCACTTGACATGTGACCGATGTGGTCATCAGCGATTCCATTTAAAAGCTGCGCTGCTGTGAAAAAACGTCAATGGCACTGGCTATTGCTTGTCGTAGGACAAGCCTCGACAAAAGCCTCGACTGTGCCACATCCACATCGCATCCCTGCAGACACACACACTGTCAAACCGGGCAAATGTCAAGCCAACTTAGTAAATCGTGCAGAAAGTCACGTAAACACAGAATCACGGCATACGACCGGACTGAGGTTGACATGAAGTGGGGGTTAAGGGCTGGGGATTTGGTGTTGGGGCTTAGAGATAGGCCGTATTATGGCTGTGTCACGGCTGAAGGAGTTGGGAAAGGGGATGGGGTGGTGCTTCAACAAGTCAGAGATTGAGTGCACGCCGATTGCACATTGGGTCAGCGAAACTTTTGAGACATCAATCAAGTGATGTCAAAAGCTTTCAACCTGTCCCGTGTCCAGTTGGGAGGTGAATCGATGTCAAATGAATCGAAGCATTGTTCAATCAGCAGTTGTAGTTGTTCAATTTTCAAAATTCGCCATACATGTATAACTCAACTTATTACATAGAAAGTATATTTCTATAAATCAGGGTTTTTTTAATGTCAGGATACATTTTTATAAAACGTGGAAAAATACACATATGTCTAATTTTAAGCGTGTTTTAAAGTGACTTACAATATTAATAATCGTTAGTATTTTAAGATTTCACAAATCCGGACGATTTTCTAAAAATCAATGCGATATTTATTACTAAACATATGACTTTTTTGTTTTGGTATATTTGCAGAAGATGCTGTGCACATCACGGCCATATTGGGCGAAGGTGTCGTGTTCAATTGTCACGTTGAGTTCCCCAATGATCATCCAGTGCCATACGTCCTGCAGTGGGACAAGAAGGTGAGCGAAACGGTACGATATCACAGCATAAATTTCTTCTCTAAACTCTCTTTTTTACATTGTTGTTTGATACGCAAAAAAGCTAAAGAAAGTAAGAAACAGTCAGACAAACAGTCGAAGAAAGCGCAAAGACAAATAAAATGTAACACAGTAAACGAAAATACTTACCATATTAAAACAGCTATTCAACGTTTTCTGAACTCTTTAACTAACTAAACTACTACCACTTACATACTTACTAAATACTACTAAATACTAAATACTACTACTATATGAGCATCCCCTTAACTAATCAATATTCGGTTAGTTAATTGAGCTTATCTTCAGTTCAGTTCTGTTCGATTCGGTTCAGTTTGATTTTTCCCTTTGATTTTCCAAGTATTGACTATTTTATTTGTCAAGAGCCAGCTTTAGATCAACAGTGCGTATGCGTAATAACCAAAAAAAAATACAATTATTGTGTAAATTAGGCTTATCTTATGATTTACTACTACAGATGATTATTTAAACAGCTTTTGCTACTGCAATCTAACACTATTGTTAATGCTCATGTTGTGTTGTGTTGACTATACGATAAACCAAACAATTAGCTTGAATACGGATTTGTCCATAATGTTAAATGTTTTATGTGTTTCTTTTTTTATGTGTTGCTCGATTGGCAAACTTTTGCATATAAGTTGCATATGATTTCGGTTACATTTTCTTTTACTTTTAAGTCGCCAAAAATAAAACAACACTAACATTCCCTTAAGCTTCTTTGGCGAGGGCTAATTTTAGCGTCGAATTCACAAACTGAAAAATTTGAAGACAAAAAACACACAATTTTTCGAAAAAAAAAAAACAACTGTCAAGAGTATTTTTGCGGCATTAAGTAATCAAAGTAAAATGAAATGCTTTTCAGTATAAAACAAAAAAAAAAATAAACAAATCAGACCAAAGAGAGCGAAAGAGAAGAAAAATTCACATAAATTCATTTCGTTCAAAAAAAAATATCAATCTCGTTCGCAAAATTAAATTATATCTATATATACAAATCAGTAGCTATTCACTGCCAACAAACAAACCAAACAATTAGCCTCTGTAAAATTCATAGCAAACCAAAAAAATTAGAATTTGTAGCCACATTTTCAAGATTTCTTAGTGCAATTTATGAAAAATACCCAGCACCAAACTAAGGCTAACTTATCAACATTCCTCAGAGATTTGCAGAAATATGTTAATGCATTCATTGGTAGCATTAAATTGTAAATTAAACTACTTCACAAAATTATGACTTACATATTTCCTTAACTCTATGCGAACAAAGTACTCGTATTTATATTCATTTTATTTTCACTACAAATCTGGCATTTCCCTTCACCTTCAACTCTAATTCTCCAGCACTGCAAGTTCCTTGGCAGTAAGCTACAATTTATTTGCTCTTGCAACATAAAAATAAGAAAAAGTGGAACAAACAATTCACATTTGATTATGCAACTAATTTTAAGGAGCACACGAATAATTCTCATTTACCCATTCATTTTTTTTTCTTTTTCTTTTTCATTCCTTTGAGATTATATAATATGCTAGCAGCATGCATTGCAAAACTATTTTGCTTGACTTTGTATGAGTATGCTAGATACTTAGATGTAGAGATACTTTTGGGAGATGAGCTCATTAAGAAAGTGCAGCAAGCAAAGAAGCTGGACAACAACAACAGCAACCTCAAACAGCTTACTTTCATAATTTAAAGCACGCCTAAGCCGCTCCAAGCCGATAAACTTACTTTATTGTTACCGCTTGATAGCGAAGTTAAACCGAGCAAAAACTAAGACTAAACCGCAAGGATAATAAACTAGAAATGTAGACGCTGTGGCTGCCTGCCTGCCTGCCTGCCCCTCAGGCTGCCTCAGATGCAGAAGGAGACGTTGACGTCAACGCCGTCGAGCGAAATTATGCAGCTAAACTTAGCTACCGTTATGTCTACCATATTTACGTCCACAAACATTTATATATATACACTCTGCAAAAACAAACAAATCAAACTGAATTTTAGAAATACGCCAAGGTTAACTCACCTTAGTATTCAGAATGTATACTTCTAAAAATCAGAGTCTTGCTTTTCTGAATTTTAGAACGATTTTTTCATTGCATTTCAACTTATACATCTAAAAATACGAAAAACACCATATTTTTGAGATTGTCACTTTAGGGAAGCCTTGCTTATTTTTAGAAATTTGTTTTCTTATTTCTAGAAATTATTTCTCAAAATCTTTCTCGTTTTCTAAGAGATTTTCATTTTTTCCGAGTGTATATTTATATATATATCTATATTCCAAGTGTAGGTTAGCGTGCTTGTCCTTGTGCGCTTGTGCGTTTGTACAGATAACGTCGCTGCTTTTTCTCGTGCCAAGTTAAAAGTTTTACAAGCATTTTTAATGCCAAACAAAGTTATAAGTACAGGAAAAAAAAAATCAAGAAAGAAAGTTTATGTTTTACTGCGATAAAAGTGCACACACACGCATACGGTGAAACAACATTCGCATAGGGGGGCAGATTGGGGCAGGGGCAGAGAGAGAGAGAGAAAGAGAGAGAGAGAGAGAGAGAGAGAGAGAGGTAGAGAGTGGAGGCAAGCGAATTAAAGGGATTAACATGGTTTTAGCATTTAATTTATACGACACTCTGATCTGGTTCGGTCGGGTCCGCTTGCTCTGATTCTGTTCTGTTCACGTTATTTACATGTGTGTAATTAAATACAATGGTACACATAACAAGTAAGAATGCTACAGTCGAGTGAGCTCGACTACGATATACCCTGCAGTCAGCTGTTAAATATATATTTCACTTTTATTTGGAAATTTCATCAGGATTTGCAGGTGCTCTCATTTCGTATGGAATAACTTTGGTGTTTCTTATCCGATCTTAAGGATTTGTTGATCAATAATTTGCATAAGCAAATTTTGCATTAAAAAGCCTCTACCTTCAAAATGGTGGCTTTTATTGTTATCGCTTATCGATATACACCGATTTTCGCGAAATGGAAGTAGTTAGCTATAAAATGAAATAAACTTGATCTGCACTGGATACTTTTAAAGTCTCTATCCCTTATAGTCTCTTAGACATGGCTCTATCAAATCGGTTGTTCATCCTAATCAGGGATACATATATTTTATGGGTTCGCAGATACTTCCTTCTGCCTGTTACATACTCTTGCACAAAGCCATTATATCCATTTAATTATTAGCCATTTTAAATGGGTATAAAAAATGGCCAGCGTTTTTGTAACGTGTTTTGTTTTGTTTCGATTACACAGCTCCCAACCCCATATTGAAGTGCGCGAAAATTTGTGTTGCCTGCTTTTGTGCGCTGTGCGCTTTAAGAGACGGCACAGACAGGAGCACGGGAGCAACGGGGCAAAGGCTGCCTTAGTTGCAATCTAAATTAATTGCTACTGAATAAATTAAGCGGAAAAATGTTTACCGAGTCAACTTATGATGCTTCTTCGAGTGCGAATATTAATTTTTGGCGCTCGCTCGGCTGCCTTGGATTCGCTCTAATAAATACATAGACAGACAGGCGGCTTCATCTGCCTCTGTAGCTGTGTCCTGGGACCTGTGTGTGCAAATTATTTCATATGTCAGCCAAGAAAATTATGAAAACGTATACAATTAAGTTGTAATAAATGAGGCGAGACGACGAAGATGATGCTTGTCAGCCCATAAATCTTCATAGTATAATTACAAAATAAATCGATTAACTTTGATGCCCCCAACCACTCCCAAATCTGATGTAGAAGTAATCTGCCCACCAATTAACTAGGAAAAACCAATTATCTCTCGCTCTGGCTCTCTCTCTCTCTCTCTCTCTCTCTCTCCTTCTCTCTCGCTCTCTATCCAGCAGAAAATATACCTAAGTGCGTATTCTACATATGTTATATATATTTATTGTAATGCAGGTGAACTACACCTCAAATTCGAACAACTTAGTAAGAGTATTTAAAATGTATATTTAATACAAATATGGAAAGTATTCTCGATATACATTTTTATGATTTATATTGGGACATATATTTTTTATAAAAATACAATAATTAAAAGAAATAATTAAACAGATAAGAAACCAATACATATAAGAAATATGTAAAAAGACATTGACACATATTCACAAATATGCACAGCTTTTGTTACAACTTTGTGCTTGTCTTATAAGCTCCCGCATCCAACTTTTATTACATGTGTATGACTATGTAATCAATTACATTGTGTGCGTACAGAATTCATACAGTAATGAGGAGTCATTCACAAGCTCGCTGCTGGGTAGTGCATTTAGTAGCAGGCAGATCATTAATAGCGTTATAGCATTAAGCAAATGACACAATGCAATTTAACAAGTTACGGTTAGAGATCGATAACAGCTGTAACTAAAATAAGCTTTAACATGAACGTGCAATAAGCTTATTCTCGCGCTCAATAGTCGTTAACAGCTGTAACAATGCAACTAGAGATCAATAACAGTTGTAAAAGCTTAACATGAGCGTGCAGTAAACTCATGCTACCGCTTCATGTAAGGATTAATAACAGCTGTTACTAACAGAAGCTCTAACATGAGCTTGCAATGAACTCATCCTCAGAAATGAGAAGCCCCCTCACCACATGGATAGTGTATATTTGTATATTTGACACTTGAAAACAATGACAAACTGCAAACCGAGGCAAGTCATGTAAGGGAAATTGCATGACCTGTCTAAATCCACATTCACGTTCACATCCGCGTCGCGCGTGATTCAATAGATTCTGCAACTGGCAACTGACAATTGCCTGTGAGCAAAAAAATAAACTACAAACAGAAATATATGGTTGGCATTTCAGTTCAGAGGACGGGAAATGAGGGCAGGGGGCCCAATTGACCCGAATTGTTGTAGCTTTGCCCGAAATATTTAACATGCTCACATTTTTTTTAATATTTATTTTTTATCATCTCGTGCTTGAATTTCAATTGTATCTCGCTGCATTTGCTTCTGGGCCTTGTTGTTTTGTCGTAGGTTTGCACATGATTTATTGTTTGCCAGAATCTGCTGGCGCTGCTCTTGTGTTGATGGGCTTGCATCCCCCCCCTCTTCCATCCACAAAAGAGGGTTAGAAGCTCCTACATACATAGTTTTTACGTTGCTCCTCCAACCTCTGATGAGTTTTTTCTTCATTTTTTTCTTTTATTTTTCTATTTAAACTCAAAACTACTGAATTCAATTTTCGACAGATTTTTTTGGCTGTGGTTTTAACACTTGCCTATTGGAACTTTAGCGATTAGTTCAGCAACTATAGCTAAAAATGTATATAGAAACTTATCTATATATATTTGATTATTTATTTATTATTATTAATTATTATTAATGCTCAATAATATGAGTCGTTTTTTGAATATATTTATTTACTACATGTTAACTAATATCATTCGAAACAAAAATATATAAAAATTAGAAAATGCATTAAATTAAATTAAAAATAAAATTTAATTTAGAAAAATTCAGGAAAAAAAAACACTGCGAGATTTACAAAATATATATTAGAATATACATGAGTAAATATACTTATCAGCATGTATTTAATAATGATATTTAAATGCATGTTTTATTTTATTAGTGGCAGAAATTATATGTTAATGATTTCATTTGTCTGTGTAAATATTCATCAAGTTTCATATATATATATACTTATTAACTGAACATATATCATATCATAGTTACTTATGTAGCTGTTAACTGTTCGATGTGAAGCGTATGTAAAGAATAACTCAACTCGAAACGATCGACAGTTAAAAAACGAAATGCATATTCAAGAAAAATCGATCGATTAATCATTAAATCTTGTATTGGTTACACGTTTGAAAACAGGGCTCCGATTTACCCATATATATCTGGTATGAGAGCTACCCTGAACACATTGAGGAGGGCTTCAAGGGACGCGTGTCGCGTGTCTCGCAGGATTCACCATTCGGTTCGGCATCCCTCAACCTGACCAGCATCCGGGAATCGGATCAGGGCTGGTACGAGTGCAAGGTCGTGTTCCTGAACCGTGATCCCAAACAGCATAAAAATGGTACATGGTTCCACTTAGATGTACATGCACCGCCACGCTTTAGTGTTACACCCGAGGATATTATATATGTTAATTTAGGTGAGTTCAAAAATAACAAATTGCCAAATCATAAATTGCCCAGGAAAAAGCATCAAGTTTTTTTTGCCTCATATTTTGTGGCAAGTTATTTGCTACTATCAGTTTAAGTGTGTGGCAGAGCCCACTTTTGACTGTGTCAAATGGATGGCAATTTGTTGCAGCGCTCGAGTGAGTCTGTCACCTTGAAATGAACTATGTGCCATCAAGCCCCAGGCCAATGCTCACTCATGCCACATAATGGGGCACAATCGTAAAACTGAAGGTAAAAACTTGATATGTCTTTGAGTTACTTATTGGCGCTCATTTGTCAACTTTGGAATGCCTGCAAAAAAAAAATACAAAAAAAAAAAAATAGAAAATCGATAAGCCTTTTTATGTGTGCCGCCAGCGAAATCAAATTTCCGTCGCTTAATCAAAGTTTAAAATGCTTACATCCAAGACACAAAACAATGAGAAGCCAAACAAAAGAAAAAGCGTCGTGCGCCGGAAATGCGTCAAGAGCAAAATGGCGACGCTGCAGCGCATAAATCAGGCAGAGGACAACCCTGACAACAATGCCTGCCAGCCCGTGCTGTGCGTGTGTGTGTGTGTGTCTCTATTGTCTGCCACAAAGTGGCGACTGTTGTAAGCACAAGGCATGCCACAACAAGGGGCAGGCTTGCTGGCTGGCTGGCTGGCTGGCTGTCATGCAATTTTCTGCAACTGCAAGCTGAACAATTGTCATCACTTACCACATATTAATTTGCCGTTTTTCTTTGGTTTTTATTTTGTTCTTTGTTGTTTTTTCTTTTGCAGGTGATTCAATTATACTCAATTGCCAGGCGGATGGGACACCAACACCAGAAATACTTTGGTATAAGGATGCCAATCCGGTTGATCCCTCGCCCACCGTTGGCATCTTCAACGATGGCACCGAGCTACGGATCTCAACGATCCGGCACGAGGACATCGGCGAATACACTTGTATTGCACGCAATGGTGAGGGACAAGTCTCCCATACGGCCCGTGTTATAATTGCGGGCGGCGCTGTAATCATGGTAAAAACCTATAAAACAAATCAATTATAATTATCAGATAATCCAAACAAATACTATCAAATAGTCCTATAACCCAACAATTTACAAATAATCTAAAAGTGCCATTCTGAATTGAATCCCCTAACTCAATATAAGATTACTTTTTCTGGCTTCTATTAATAGGCAATCATTGTAGAAATCTATAAGCAAATCAATTATAATTATCAGATTATCCAAACAAATATTAGCAAATTCTCGTACAACCCACAAATATTTCAAATATTCAAAAAGTACATGCCCGAAATGAATGTGTTGCTTCTAAAAATAGGAAATCATGTAATAAAAAACTATAAGCAAATCAAATATAAGTGTTATATAATCCAATTAAATATTAGCAATAGATTCTTTAGATTTCTATAATCAACCAATTCAAGTCAATCAGAAAAAATCTTAGTGCTAAACAAGTTAAATGAAAAACCCTCAACCCAATTTAAGCATACTTTTGTTGCTTCTAATAATAGGCAATAGTGGCAAACATATACCCAAATCAATTGTACTTAATGAGATAATCCAATCAGATATTAGCAAGAGTCCAATAACCCACAATAATTACACATAATCAAAAAAGTGCAAATCCTAACGCTGAACAATTCAACTTAATACCTAAAAAAAAAGATTTTTCTCGCTTCTCAAAATAGGCAAATGACATTCAATAACTCTATTCCAATTAATTAAAGTGCAATCCCACATTCCATTTATTTTTAAACAATACACAGAAGGATAAAGCAGCACCAGATAAATATATGAAAACTAAAGCCAAAATGAATGCGATCAGTGAAAAATTTACTATAAGAGTAAGTTTTCGAAAATACTTTCATGCATTTTCATGCATTTTCTTGCATACTCTCGTGTCTTGTTAAGCGCTTTCCCATTTAACATTTCAACTGCTTTCCACTTTTTTGTTTAAAGCAAACTAATCATCCAAAATGTTGTTCAGTTTAAACAACAACAGCTTCAGCATCTGAATTCAAACCAAGACAGAACCATTCACGCAATTTTCGCACGTGAAAACGCCAGAAACGAGACCTGCTTTTGGTCAACACAAAAAATGCAACCAAAAACGTGGTCGAAATCCGCTTCCTCCTCCACCGACCCTGAACACAGAATTTTGCAAGCGTGCAGTTTTTTTTTTTTTCCTTCACCTTGTAGCCATTAGTGGGGGATAGGTCATGCAGGGCTGCGGATTGCGCTGCCTTTGTGCTGGTCATACCCGCATTTTTGCCACGCCTCGCTTCGCCTCGATTTACAAGGGAAAGAAAGCCAACATAAGTATATAGGACTAAAGGGACAGCGCCCTTCCCCCTCTCCCTCCAGCACACACTTGGCGTGGTCATTCGTCCAGTTGCCTGCCTCCAAAGCTGCTATTTACCATGTGCTATTACACTCAGCAAAAAATATCGCCTTAAATATTTTTTAATTCTTCAAGGTAACTCAGCTTAATTTACTAAAAGTATATTTCTAATAATTAGTGTTTTTCTTTTCATAATTTTGGAGTACATTTTCTAAAATTGTTCCTCTTTTTAAAAATGCATATAACGATAGAAACTTATAGAAATTATAAAATATTTCTCAAAGCATGAACAACTTATTAGTTTTCAGGTCGACTTTTTTCTGAGTGTACTGTCACACTTACATCTCCCAAGTACAACCAAACATAAATGGACGCGTATGGTATACACATACACACACACACACACACACACACACACACACACACACACACACACACACACACACACACACACATATATATACATATATTCACATATATATCTATGCATATATATATATATATATATATACACATGCAATGTGGCGTCTGCCGGACGGAAATGAAAAGCATACTTTTGTGGGCGAGTACAGAGGGGGAATACCGCTAATGCATTTGCATTTGAGGTATTTACAGTATTTACAGTTGGGCCAGAGAAAAAGCAACCACGGCCCACGAGCAAAAATATTGACGTCCCTTAAAAGCCTGAACTTTGGCCTTATTATTGTGGCAAGGCGTCTATTTGTGGCATGTATTCAGCCAATAGTTGCTGCAAGTAACGAACCCAAAATTTAATTTTAGAAATGCCTTTGGCACTTGCCTACAATCGATACACAGCATAATTAAAGCTTGTAAAAGTAAATTTATATTAATAGCATTTGAGTTTATTTCTATATTTACGAGCAATTTGTTTTCCATTTGCGTTCACCTGTCCGACTTTCAGTTCAAGCCATAACTAAAACCAACTCAAATGAAAATATTTTCAATCAATTTGCCTCACAGCAATGTGACTCGTAAATAAACCCAAAATTGCACTAATGCAATTACCAAAGCTAGCTGAAGAAGAAGACGAAGTAGAATGAGCCCAACATGTTTGACTGACTGACATTTGACTGACAAGTTGTCAATATCAGTAGTAGTCAGCCCAAATAAAAGTAACATTTTGTAGCTGTTGCTGTTATTGTTGTCACAGCAGAAATTTTGTGTTTCTCAAGGGTAGAGTTGAAAACACAAGTTACAAAGATACAAAGCAATTGATGGGGTGGAAACCTAAAAAAAAAAGAAAATATGAACTGTCAATCGCGAAACACGTATTGTACACTCGGAAAAAAGAATAAGCCTGAATTGTAAATCAACTTATTATGCAGAGAGTAAATTTCTATAATTGAAGGTTCTGAGGCTTTCTAAAACGCAGGGCTTATAATGAATATGTCTAGTGTCCAGGGTGTATTGTTTGCTATATTTGTAAATATAAGAATTATTTTTCTGTTACTTATTTGTATTATTAAACACTAGTACCTTAAGATATATTTAATAAGCAAACAAACTTTATAAATTCATATAATAGATAAAAAGTACGATTTAATGAGGATTTGCACCCAAGACCCCAGACAACAGTCACATTTTAAAATAGCAATCGAGAGAAAATTTCATTATCAATTTCTAAATTGCAAAAAGAAAGAAAAATACCATATTTTTCGGATGGTCGAGCATTTTTTTTTTTTTTGCAGAGTGTAGAACAGGGTTTTGAGGTCGTGCTTAACCGGGCAGAGTTCTCTACATTGGTCAAAGCTCATGATTTGAACATGTCCTCGTCCTCACTCAGCCAGAGAGTCCGTACCCCGCCTGACAAGCTTAGCACTAACCTATGACCTATGACCTTGTCCACATCTTCTTTAGGTGCCGCCCACCAATCAAACGAAACTCGAGGGCGAAAAGGTGATATTCTCATGCGAGGCTAAAGCGATGCCAGGCAATGTCACCGTGCGCTGGTTCCGTGAGGGTTCTCCCGTGCGTGAGGTGGCCACCCTAGAGACAAGGGTGACAATACGTAAGGATGGCTCACTGATCATTAATCCCATCAGTGCCGATGACTCTGGCCAATATTTGTGCGAGGTGACCAACGGCATTGGCGATCCACAAAGTGCTTCGGCTTATCTAAGCGTTGAATGTGAGTTAATACCTAAAATAAAAATGTTTTCTCGTCTGTTAATTAAATAAATTAAATAAATATATGGTTCATTTACAGATCCTGCCAAAGTGACATTTACACCAACCGTACAATATTTGCCCTTTCGCCTCGCCGGCGTCGTGCAGTGTTACATCAAATCGAATCCTCAGCTCCAATATGTCACCTGGACAAAGGATAAACGTTTGCTCGAGCCGTATCAAATGAAGGATATTGTCGTCATGGCAAATGGTTCCTTGCTCTTCACACGTGTCAATGAGGATCATCAGGGTCGCTACACTTGCACACCCTACAATGCACAGGGTACACAGGGTGATTCGGGCGTTATGGAAGTATTGGTGCGTAAACCACCCAATTTCACAGTTGAACCAGATACGTTGTATCAACGCAAAGTTGGCGACAGTGTTGAGATGCATTGCGATGCCATCGAAGCGGAGGGCACCGAACGACCCACAATTAAGTGGCAACGCCAGGAAGGTGAACAACTCTCGGACTCCCAACGGAATCGTGTGAAAATCTCCGGCGGAAATATAACCATTGAGAATTTACGACGCGAGGACTTTGGCTATTATCAGTGTGTTGTCTCCAATGAGGTGGCAACCCTGATGGCTGTCACTCAACTGGTTATCGAGGGCACTCAGCCACATGCCCCATACAATATAACTGGCAAGGCAACGGAGTCATCGATCACTTTGCAGTGGTTGCCTGGTTATAGCGGCGGATCGGAGTACAAACAGGATTATACAATTTGGTATCGGGAGGCGGGCGTCAACGATTGGCAAACGATATCGGTGACGCCATCCGGCAGCACTCAGGTGACCATCAATGGATTGGCCTCCGGCACGAGCTATGAATTCCAGGTAGTTGGGCGGAATGTCCTCGGCGATGGCATGATGAGCAAAGTGATGACCGTAAGGACACTGGGTGAGTTTGCTGCTGTCTCCAAAAAACCAACTACGATTCCTTCTTAGTGCTTAGTTCACTTCTTTTTTTGCTTTTGGGTTTATATTTATTTTACTTCATTTAATTTTGTTGTTGAAATGTTGCTCAGCATTAAAAACTTTTGCACTATTGTTGAGGAGACGTCTCGTCTCGACTCATTTAACTGGAATTGGCTCTAACATAACGCTCTTGTTTTTCTCTCGTTTTTCTTCTCTTTTTTCTCTCACGATCTCTCCATCGAAACCAAAATCAAAATCAAAACCAAAACGCTACTCGCTCTTAACTTTCTCATACTAAAATCATGCGTGTACAAAACTCCATCAAAAATGCCAACAAAAATAAATAAAAAAAATCGCGCATTGAATTCTGAATTTTTATCTGCTGCTGGTGAAACCCAACAACTAAATCCAAACAAACCACAAACAAACCACAAAAATCCACAAGGCAAAAATTCAAATTCAATAGAAGACGCTCCGGCAGCGCCACGTAATGTCAAGGCTGCAACACAACCGCCCGATCACTTATTTCAACCAATGCCAGACGAAGCTGGTAAGATAAACCCCCAAACATTTCCCCCACCCCTATAAAAAAATAAATAAATAAAAAGAAAGTATCTTAGCTATAAAGCTCAGTGTGTAACAACGAGACTCCAAAATTGGAAATTGAAAAAAGAAAACAAGAAAAAATCTAAAACGCCATGAAAGAATTAAAAAGTGAAATAGAATCTAGTATTATTGAGGTAAGCCCCAGAGTAAATAAATGAACTAGTTTGGCACTTTCTAAATATCTTCTCTAGAATACTTCAGCTACCAACGTATGTAAATGAACTAATTAGAAACTCTTTTAAGTTCGAAAACTACCTAATATACTACATCCGATACCAGCGATTTAGTTTGACGGATTTCTGAGTTCGATAACTACTTCAGTCAAAATTAAATTATAAACTTTTCATCTTCAAGCTGGTGATCACTCATTTGATATCGATCGATATAGATATCGATATCACATGTTATGTACAGAGTTGCATGTTATGTTACATATGTTACAGTTTTAGTACTATTTCACTAATGGCTTGCTACATATACTACTTTACATTTCAACCGTGAAATATATTCCCTTTTGAAATTTCCATTTTAAAGATTTTCGTGGAATTTTTCTCATGTCATGGCCTGCAGGAGAGTACTGAAGATAAATAAAAACCAAGGCAGCACATATGCATACATACATGTGTGTGTGTGAGTATGTATGCAGCCAATCTAAGATAACAAAGTGCCGCACACATACACAAATGTTTACGATGCCTTTGATCATCATGTCGTCCCTTGCCGACAGATGCATATTTATGCATACAGAAAATGTTTGCGTCTGAGATCAATATGAGAATATTTGATTTTGATGAAATTTGAGCAGTTGATCAATAATATATAAATGTATATTATATATCAATGGGAAGACTCTGATTTTGAAATTGTGACTTTTATTTGCTATCGGAAATCGGTATATATAGAAATACGACAAATGGAGGCAGATATCAATAAATGACCTGATCAGGAATATGAATACTTTATGTAGTAGGACCTTTTTCCTTCTGCCTATTGCATACTCTGGCATAAAACCAATATACCCCACTTACATATTTTCAATGGGTATACAAATTTGCTACTTTGCATGTGAATCTAGCAGAAGCAGCAGCAGCAGCAAGAACGAAACCCACGCAAAAAACCGCAATTAAATATTCAAAGCAATTAAACACAGCGCTCAGAAGAAAGACAGCCTCGAAACCTACCCCCTCGCCATACCCCTGGCCCTGTACTACTTTTTGGCTTTACCCTCTGTTATTGGCTGCCAACTACGCACAGCGAGTCCCTTGGGTAGTGGTGTGAGGAGAGGAGGGAGGGGTAGGGGGAGGAGTAGTCACATATGTGCGTCCCTTGTCAAAGGGAATTCCGTTTTGTGTGCCGTTACATTTTCATGCTGTGCATGCAGTCATAACTGTTTGTATGTGTATGTGTTTGTTTACAGGTGTGTGTGTGCGTATGTATGGGTGTGCGTCGCCATTGTTTCGCTTTGCCTTGCAAAACGTAATTAAAACAGTTGGTCCCACATTTAATTATTTAAATTAATTGAACTGTTTTTACAATTGTGCGCAGATGAAGAGGATTATTCACCACACTCACACACACGCACACACAGACAGACCTGCACACAGACATGCACACGTTGAGTGTGTCGTGCGGTCGATATGACAACGCCCACAACACAAAACAAAAAAACACAACGGCAACACTGGCTGCGAGTTGGCGTAATTTAAACAAGCATATTACCCAAAAATGCCAAGCTACATTTAACAAACACACACATACATACACAGACAAGCTTTACAATACCCCCCCTCCCTACACCCCGCTAACCTACCACGACACGTTGCTGCTCCCCACGCTCGCCGCCAGTGGGCGTTGTGTGTGCTCTTGCGTGAGTGTGTGTGTGTGTGTGTGTGTAGGCGCAGCAATTTGAATAGCGCTTTAGCGTTAATAGTTAATTTTTTACTTTAATGTGTCTCCACTCTCTGTCGCGTTCTGGCTCCCTCTATGAAACTCTCTCTCTCTCTCTCTTTCCTCCGTCTCTCTTTCTGCCTTGCTGTGGTAGTTTACATGTATAAAGCACTAGCGACCTATACACTCACACACAAATACTCTAGCATACGCACACAAAACACACCACAAACACACACACACACGCACATACGTACTGCATATGTATATGTAAGTGTTTTTTACCCATTTAGCGAATTTATTATGCTTGTATTAGTGTCCCTTTCTCTGTTTTTGTGCCCCTGCGTGTAGTTGTATGTAGGTGTATACGTATGTATATGTGTGTACAGCTGCGGTCAAAATAATAGTAAAGCTCACATAAATTTTTGAAAATGTTAAACTAAATACTTAAAATATGGTTTAAAAATTATGCAATTGGTTTTGAATACAAGCAATCGATGCTGAAGAAAGCATAGATATTATTAACAAAACAATTTAAATAAAGCTAACATTAAAATTAAACTAAAAATGAACAATATTAATTAAATTGATCACAGGTGAGCCGGTCAAATTAATAATAGTAATAGTCGTGAAATAGTAGTAAGGTTTTCTGGGGCTAAATATTATTTAATTAACATTTATTTTTTTTAGCATAATTGTTTATATCTTCATAAAATTAGCCAATTTATGTTTTTAAATAAACAAATAAGTTACTATTGTGTTATTCAACTCAAAAAGCTCTTAAACTCGTTGAGTTTTAAGTATTTCGATTATTTTTACCAACGCTATTATTATTTACAAATTTACATTAACTAAAACTAAAGTTGTAAGAAGTTATATTAAAGAGTAAGATAGTCCAAGAAATCAACGGGATTATGAAAGTAGCTTTGAAAATATTGAGTATTTGAATGTACTATTATTTTGACCGCAGCTGTATGTATGTATGTATATATGTGTATATATATATATATGTATGTGTATGTATGTGTATGTATATATCTCAGTGCGTTTGGCGCACGCGTATGTTAAACAATAATAACAACAACAACAATAATGGTAAATGGCAACAGTAACAAACGGTAACAAAAACAACAACAACAAAAACCACAACAACAAGAAGAACAAAGACTACAAAAACAACAATAACAATAAAAACATCAAATGTGTTGTGTGTTGTGTAATGCAACCCTGGATTTCGTGTACGTGTGTACATTTTGGCGCTTGTAGAGAAACACCTACAAAACCATCCATTCTCACACACCCACATAGACACACACACGCACACATCAATCGTCTAAGCCACCTCATTTCAGGGCTGCAACAAAAAAAAAACCACAACAACAAGAACAACTGCAACAGCAACAACAACTGCAACAACAACAACAACAACAACTGTTATTCAAAAGGAAGAAAATTTATGATTTCTTTTTGCTTACACTTTTTGCTCTTTTCGTATTTTTGCGTTTGTTTTTGTGCTTCTTTTTTAATCGTGCATATAACGTCAGCATTAAACCGTTACTTAACCTTCTCTTTGTGTGTGTGTGTGTATGTTGTTGTATCCAGCGCAACGTTTAAAAATTAATAACAACAACAGTCAGGCAGACAGACGGACGGTCGGCATTTGAACAGTTGCATATTTCTTGCTGTCATTCAGCAAAAACAACCCAAAGGGCAAAAAGCAAAACAAGTCAGAACGTTGCAGTTGCTGAGCGTCATCGGTTTGAAATATTCTAGATACCAATAGGTAAGACCAGCTGATAACAGGGTGCTACAGAAGAGACTGGCTATAGCCAAGACATATCGTTCTTTGAGGGATGTTCCTAATCTAACTTCCAAGTTTGGTAATTCCATCTTTTAAATTGGAAGAGATAAAGTTACCTTCCAAGTTTGGTAACTGTAGGAAAAAAGGGCACCACCAACAAACCACCACTCAGCCAAATTTGGTGAGCATAGACTTAACATTGTGGTCGAAATCTGCTTTATCGTTTTGCGATTATCGATTTCCTAGTTCCTAGTGGATGTAGCAGCCCAATTTCAACAGTTTGTATATGTTGCAAGTTTCAAGACTTTAGCTTCAAGGATATCGAAAAAGTTACTAACGGACGAATAGACAGACGGACAGACAGCATGAGGGAAATTGCAGAAATCCAATATACTCTTTTGTACCTTCGGTAACAGGGTATAAAAGAAAAAAAAAACAAAATCAACAAAGGAAAAAACAACAGCAGCAAATGCATGTCAAGGCTGATTACGTTTAACACACACACACACACACGCACTCCACACTCATGAACTCATACTCACACTCACACACTCAAACATGCGAATTTATGAATATTGAATGCCTTTCACTGTCATAATTGCAGAGCACCAGCTTTTTGCTGTTGTGTTTTTGCTGCCCTGTGTTCTGTTACCAACATTTCTCGCACATTTTTATGCATTAATTTTGCGTTTCATTCGCCACAACTTCTATACATATATGCAAACGAGTATAATGCTATACACTCTGAAAAAAAAACAACCGACCTGACTTTTTGGAAAATCGCCCTGAAAACTAGTAAGATTTTCTAGTTTTTAGAAATAATTTCCTAGTACAACAAAAATTTTTTCTTAAAATTAGAAAGGCTTGCCATAACCTGACAATCCCAAAAATAACATGTTTTTTCTTTTCTTTTTATTCATATTTTCTGTTTTTGTTTTTAGAAATAATTTCAATATGTAAAAAAATAATTCTCAAAATTTGAAAGGCTTGCCTTAAATCGAAATCCCATAAATATGGTGTTTCCCTGGATTTTTATATGACTCGGCTTTTATTTTAGAGTTTAAATATTCTCTGCCTTAAAATCGGGAGTTTTTTTAAAGTTAAATTGTATGAATTTATGAACAATTTAAAATGTTTGTAGAAGTGAAATTGTAAAATACTGATGTTCATTAATTAATATAAGCAAAAAAAGGTAATATTACCGTTTTTAAGCTGCCTGAAGATTGGACATATTTTTTTTTAAATTATAGGAGAATATACTCCGAAAAACCCTGGTTTAACGAATGAATAATCTGAATAATTGAGTTACCCATGGCGATTAATTCAGGGCGTTGTCTTTTTTCCGAGTGTAATAATGGTAACGGCATCCGCATCAAGGTGAACTAATCGATTATTTCAAATGAGTTCAGTTTCAGTTTTTCAGTAATTTTCGATTCTGGGTTCTCGGTTCTCAAGCAGGTAACGATCCCAGAGACTTTGGCGTTGCACTCTGTGCTTGGAATGTAGTTATTTTGCATATATGTATGTATCTATGTAGTAAAATTTGGCTTTTCTGTTTGGTTTTTTGGTGTGCACTTTTTCCTTTATGATTTTCAACTTGCACTTTGCCACTTTAAGCACTATTTATTTTTTTTTAAGTGTGCATCAATTTATTTAAACTGTCAACGTCTGTCTTAATTTTAGCAGGCATTCTTATTATGATTTTGCTGGCCTTTGTTTGCAAATATTTTGTTTTCGTTTTTTTGTATTTTTGCAGACCTTTTAGCATATTTTGACATTTACTTTCATACCGATTCGCGAGGCATGATAGTTTATTCACCGCCCAAGTTGAGATTGAAAGGTACTCGTATTATTATCCAATTTAAACAAAATATTTTTCTCAGTGTTTTTCAGTTTACAAAGCGACGATATATTGTATATATGTACACCGTTATATTTATGTATGTAGACACGAAAATATATTGTTACGGAAAAAATAATAGCCCCACCCTCACAAGAAATAATTTCAACGGCGTCTTCTTACATTTGTATCTTTAAAAAACGTATGAACATGATTTTGGATTTGGAATTAGACTATTCAAAAAAAGTTAAATTTAATTATAATCGAAAATAAGAAATTAGTTTTACGAAATAGGCAGTAAATGAACGAACAAAATAATGACGTAAACTTGCAATTATGAAAATAAGAAATAAAATAAAACAATTTCCATTGCTCCTATTTTTTTAACTTTTCCACTCAAATGATAAAAATTGTGAAAAGAATTCCGGGCGCAGTATTAACTATAATTTATAGGGCGATTACTGAACAATATATTAAAAATGTAAATTCGAAAAAATTGTGAAAATAATGATTTCTTATTTTATTCGCAAGAATATTTAAGAAATTCTTGTGGTTGCTATTATTTTTTTTTTACAAACTGTATAAGTGCATGCCGCGATGCTCCAATAATAATAACATAATAATTATGATAAATGCGACGGGGACCGATGTCGGCGTTGTGCTTGAAAAGCAATTTTATTTTTTTTAATTCCACCGCTATTGTTGCTCGTTTTGTTTACTTATTGCTGTTGATGCCAGCTACCGCCATTTTGTCTGTGTCTTTGTCTTTTTGTATGCAGGCATTTCCATTTCCGTTTTACTTGCTACCCAGCTCCAATCTGCAAGCTGCAAGTTGCCAACTCCAAGATCCAAACTCTTTAGGAGGTTTAAAGTGCTCGCTCATTGTGCTCTTTGCATTGTTTACAATGACATTTTACGGCTGTTGCAAGTCGTGCAGCTGAGTGTGTCTGCGAGTGTGTGTGTATATCTGTGTGTGTGTGTGAGTGCATACCTTTTTAATGCGCTTAAATAATGCCTTTTACGAGTGTTTCCATGCAGACTGCAGATTTACTGCCGGTAACGCAACCACTTTGTGGGTCGCTTGGGCCGGATAAGCTTCTGACGCTGCCAAAGCCAACTTGCTGCAGCCATAAATAACATTCACTTGCCCAAGCAACAACAACAAGTCTGCCTACAAGTGTATGTCTCCGTCTTTGTACCCTGTCTACCCCTGCTCTACCCTTGACATTTTTTACGGCCAACCCATTTAGGCCTACGGCAGACCGTTCTTTTTTTTAATGTTTGTCACCTGTCCCGTTTATATTATATCAAAAATCTGTGGGTATTTTGATGGGGGCTTGGGGGTTATACTCTGCTCATTTCTGTATGCGCATAATGAACTTTTGATATATGCGTTTTCAAATCTCTTGTGTGCTGCTCTTTAAAAGCATTTCTAATTAACATACATGCATAAATAATAAGCGGCAATAAGCATTTTTTTTCGCTAGCCTTTCCCGTTGAAATAAATGGCTTGCACCTCTTTGCCTGTGTTGTGTTTCAAGCTGTGTGTTTTTAACCCTAAAATTTCGAAATTTTAATGGTCTTCTTATTTTATATTCATAGTGGGGATAATGTGTGCATATATCCGTCATGAGGAGCCAATAGCAAATGGCAACTCGTCGGCACATTTATAATATATTCCAATTAATATAAATAAAACAAATAAAAAAAAGAATAAAAATTGTGACTTAGCCCGATGACTCGGCTATATGTGTAACATCCTCAGAAAGTGTAGACCCTGATTTAGTAACTAAATTTAGAATTTTAAAATATCTTTGTTAGCATTGAGAGTTCACAGAACCTGCTCTCAAATATGGAGGCAATAGAAAATATGATCCATATACAGTTTTTGTTATATATATTAAAATATTAAAATAACAACTGACCGTGGAAAAAGGCGTACCATTTATTAGCCAAAGTGAGGAGTTCACAGAATCGACTCTTAATGACAGCTTGTATACGGTTATTAAATATATACCAATTCAAATAAATACAAATATTTTAAAACAGCAGTTGACTTAGCAATGGAAAGGTGTACTAAATTTAGTAACTATAACTGTAACATTTTGATTATGCACATTATTAATGTTTTCTTTCTTGGTGTGTGTTTTGGCAGGCCCGAAGCCCGGACCGCCGCGTAACGTGTCCGTTACGGAAATATCGAATGGTTTCCTTATCACGTGGCAGTCACCATTGGAGCGGGCTCACATCGTAAAATTCTACACCATTAAATATCGCACGGATGCGGAATGGAAGACGTTGAACCGTGGCCAGATACGGCCGGAGGAGACACAATATTTGGTGAAGAATTTGGTGGGTGGACGCACCTACTATTTCCGTGTGCTGGCCAATTCGGAAAAATCATACGAATCGAGTGATGAGGTGAAATTCCCGGTGCCGGCCCGTGTCAAACATAAAGCAATAACAGCCGGCGTCGTTGGGGGCATCCTGTTTTTTATTGTTGCGATCATTTTATCGGTTTGTGCCGTAAAAATTTGCAATAAACGTAAACGACGAAAACAGGAAAAAGGTAACACAGACTTTCAAAAGCTGTCACACACAAACACTTGAAATGGTTTTTAATGAGACAAACAAAAAACAAGCAAAACAAACAAACAATAATGATCATTGCTCTTGTTGTTGTTGTTGTTGTTTCTGTTAATGATGGCAATGATTGTGACACACTCATTTAGCAATTATGTTACTAACAAAACTAATGCTAAACTAAACTATATTAAAAACTACTATCTATTTGTGCCCAGAAGTAGGCAATAAAAATGCCTCAAATTTTCAATTAACTTCTTGATAATTCTCTCGTAAAAATTCTCGATGTGCATTTATAAGTTTTGCTTGGGCCTCTTATGTTTTGTGCAAAATTGAACTATCGAATTGTATGTTGAATTGAATTGAATTGAATAATATATATACATATATATACATATATGTGTATTTATATGTATATTATGCCAGTAATTTAAAAACAATTCGTACCTGAATCAAACTCGCTTTTACCTCATTGGCTATTTCGACAACAACAATGCATTGAAATATGAATATTTAAATTAGTTTGTTTTTTACCTTACAACAAAAGTCAAACTCAAAAGGCATTTTGAATACAACATTTTTTTGGTGAAACTATGCCTGTGCGAATAGTTTTTACTTTTACGTTGTAGTTGTGCAAGTAAAATCAATTAACAATTAAAAACCAAAAAAAAAATAATTCTTTTTGAATACGAGTATTTGTGTAAATACCAGTAAATTTGCTTTTGTAACTTAACATTATTATTTTGATATGAGTTTTGATTTTATTTTAAGTTATTTATTATTTAATTAGTCTAACAAATCCGTTTCCGTCTCCGTCCCCTTACCAGAAGTTTGTCAAGTTGGTCCCCCCTTTCTCCTATATGGGCAAATACCATATCAATTTATTGTTTTGAAATTTGTCTAATGCTCAATAACACTCAATATTTATTATGATTTGATAATTTAAATATTCTAATATTCGATTGAAGAAGAAACCAAAAGAAGAGTTGAATCCCTTAATTCCAGTGCATTGTGTTATGTTTCCTTAATTTAGTTAAATATTCAATTTGAACGCATGTACATATAAATAGTTGTTGCAAAATTAGTTAAACGTAAAAAACAGTATCCAAACAGTATCCAAAATATGAATTTAAAATGAGTTGATTGTCCTCATCTGCATATTGGAATTGATGTGGCTAATTTCTTCTGAATAGGGTCGATTTAATTCCAGTCTTTTTACAGAAAAGGGGACTACTCAATTTTAAGTTAATCTATTTTAAAATTTCATTTGACGACATTTAACGTAAATTAATTTTTGTTTTTTGTTTTTGCGTTCTTTAAATTAATTATTTTAATTTTTATAAATATTAACTAAAACCTTCACTCACTTACACAACACAAACAAAAAAAAAAAGTCAAATGAGAGAAAAACAACAAAAAAGAAAAACCAGTATGAAAATTGCAATATAGCGTATTTAAAATTATTATTTTAGTTTTCTTTTTTTTGCAGACCTCTACACAGAGCTAAGAGAGTAGATAATGAACCTTAAAGAATTGTTAGAAAACACCTTTATCGCAATATAATTGATACACATGTTCTTGGCCAAATCGTCGTTGTTTCTGCCCAGGGCTGAGTTCATGACGGATAAAGGTGTTTTACCAGAGATAGATATAGAGTGTATAAATATTGATAACTATATATATGGAATATGACTATATATATAGCGCAATACTGGGCAGACGTTTTTTGTAAACAATTCACGCACAAAGATGGTAAAATAAGGCCCACAATTGATGACCCAAAACATCAAAATAAAAAAATGAAAAGCTAAAAAGAAATGGCTTCTACTGAGCATAAAATGATCGCGCTATCAATAGAGACGTGCGAATGCACTATTGTAAGCATTTACCAGCCCGATTGTATACACAAATTGTGAGATTTTGATTTACCAGAAACATAATCTCGTTTGTGAATGCAATTTGGGCAGTGGATGCAGTGACCCTGCTTCAATCTACCACTGAGAACTGAATAATAATAACCCAACTAAGCCCCCTGCAACGTCCAAGCAAAAAAAAATAAAATAAAAAATCATCTGGGTAAGTTTTTCAACAAAAATCACAATAATAAATCGATGTCGTGTGTGCCACAGAATCTCCAACCATAAAACTAAAAGGTTATTTTCAGACAACCAAAAAAATAACTATGAATTATGTATTGTAAGAATTAACAACAAGTATTAAAGTATTATACTTTTAATCAACACAAGTATTCACACTGGCATTTCCATATACTTTATACTCGAGCGCATCGTTCTCTAAGTGAATATATATTTATATAGTGCATTCATATTCAAAAGCGATTAAGTATATCAAAACCACACTTTCTTAAGTATCTCAAGCACCCAAAAAAAATCAACAAAAAATCGAAGTCAAGCAATGTCATTTCACGGTTTTCATAATTATGTACTTACACAACACTAACTCTAAAGTCGAACAAGAAAAACTCACAGACAAAACTTTACACTCAACACTCGTCTTAATTTCGACTACTGTGAATCATGTTTTTTTCTGTATTGTTTTTCCCTTTTACCATCTATATTTTGATTTAATTCTACCATAATCAGCTGGTTTTGTTTACGATTTGCAATAGACTTGAATTATTGGTTTCACTTCTCTTTTTTGTTGGCACAATTTTTCAACTGACCATTCAAAAGCCATTTCATGTGTCATTGTCTTTTTTTTTGTCAACATTTCGAAGCCCGATCCTAAATAAAATACGGCGAAGAGCACATGCTATGCGTTAATGCATTGCAATGTATACTCGTATGGGCGTATATACATTTTTGTGTGTCCAGTACTGTGTCCGATACCACTCACATATTACATATGTATAATCCGATGACTTATGTAGGTCGACTTTTTCCCTTCTTGATCTCAGCTAAATTAGTTTGTCTCTTTGTCTTTATATATATATATATATATGTATATATATATATGTATATGTATATATATATGTATATATATATATATATATATGTATGTATTTAATTGCAACCCCAAATTAACTAAACAATAAAACTAACAATTGCATAGCACATTTGCCTAGCCTAGTTTAGCCTAACGGTGTCTTGTGGCTTCTTATTGCCTGTACTAATTACTATTCTAAGTAAATCAACTAGTAAAAAAAAGACTGCTACATTATTAAATATGTTAATGCAAAGATAACAACAGGGAGTATAACAGTGAACTTAACAGCGACTGTTAATGTTGTTGCTGTTGTTATTCACTGTTGTTGTCACTGCTAGTGCTCTGACTGGCATGCAAATTGGCATAACCTCCGTGTAAGTGTAACTGTACCTAGTCTGTACCTCGCCTGTACCCAACCTGTACCTATATGTGGTTTGAGTGCCTGCTACAGTTGCAAACAAAATTAACGGCACGACTCTCACCAGAAATGTTTTCAAGTATGTCTTTTTGAAATTTGTAAGTCTAAGGAAGTTGTGAATTCGTTTTTAGAAGAGTCTTCAAAAGAGAAAGAAAAAGACCATAATTTTATTCACTGAGGTGCTATTCATTTCATCGCTATAACACGATATATATATATATATTGAAAAGAATTCCAGGCGCAGTACTGACTTTAATTTAAGCAATATATTAAAAATCAACTAATGAAAAAATTACAAGACTAATGGTCTTGTTTTTTCATTCCTAAGAGAAAAATGCGTAGTGGAGCTATTATTTTGTTCGCAACTGTATACGTTTAACTAAAAGCATACGTAATAAGTACTTATTTTGGTGCCCAACAATAGTTTTCCAGCTGGGATCGCGTTATGCCACTTTGTGCTAGTCTTAAGCTGCTTCCTAGGAAAAGTGCTAGTATTTGCAATATATATATATGTATATGCATTCATATATGGACAGCAATGTGTAAATGGTAGTGGGTATAGATATATGTGCATATATATATATATGCTCATATATACATACTCGTACATAGTGTGTGCTTGGTAGCTGGTGTATGTATTTTATTTAGCGGATAGCGACGGCTCACGCTGCACGCCAAAATTAATTGTAGAAATTATACGTTTACAGAGTTCAACATGGTAGCTTGCAGGATAACGGATGCTCGTAGCATTGCAGCTAATAATCATCATTTGCACAATCGCAGTACGGGCTCAATTTCCTCTGGTCAAGTGCCTTTAAAAAAGTGAGTATACCATTTACGAAGTATGTAAGGACATGCAGAAGCACATCTAAGTCCATTTAAAATTAATCTAAATTTTCTCTCCAAAAAAAAAACAAACACTCTCATTGGTCTCAACTAATATTACTATAACTTTTACTTCTATTACTTTAACTGCTACTAATTATTAGCAATACTGAACATTATCGTGATTATGAAAGCGTTTTTATAGTTCCAGGTCCATCCTGTCATAATCAAAATCGTAAGCAAACTCTTCTCTACTAAACTATTTAATAGTTTCATTTGACGATATTAAGCGAAATTTATTTTGGTTGCGTTCTTTAAATTAATTATTATTATTTCTTTTAAATATTCACTGAAACCTTCACTCACTTTCACAACACAAACTACAAAAAAAAAGGGAAAATCAGTATGAAAATTGCAGTGTAGCACATTCACAATTATTATTTGACTTTTTTAAAGAAAAATAGTTAGAAAACACCTTTATCGATATATAATTGATTCGCATGTTTTTGGCCAAATTGTCGTTATCGATTGTCGTCCGCCCAGGCCTGAGTTCATAACGGATAAAGGTGTTTTACCAAAGATAGAGACAGAGAGAATAAATACCAATAACTATATATATGGAATATGATTATGTATAGCGACTTACTGGGCAGACGTTTTTTGTAAACAATTCACGCACATTTTCTTTAGTTTACTTATTTTCTGTTTCATTTTATTGATTTGTTTTTGTTTCCTAATTCGATAACTTCTTAAGTCTGTTCGATAACAATTATTTCTACTGGTTCAGGTACAAACAACAAACCCGAATATCAAGTCTAACCGCAATACTTATCGCCATATTGCACTGGATTTGGCCACCCGATCGTTGCACCAACTGCCACTCCATCTACAGCTCACCCAATCCAAACCATGACGATATCCAGGACGACATCGCCAAGAGGCGCTCCCATCAAGATGGGGCGAAACTGGGCTACGACAACACATTCGAGAACAGCATTGATGTTGTGGATGGTGCTCTGTTCGAGCGTCGCAATAGCAATGTGTCCCAGAAATCCTCCAGCGATGATGGCGGCTTCCTCTCACGTCGTAATTTCATTACAGCACGCGCCTCCTGGCGCCGACCCCTCGTCGCCTCCTCCAGCCAGGTCAGCTTACAGTCGGCTGCAGATTCCGCCCGGGGTTTCCTTCAAGGCTTGGGCGGCCTGCTCAAAATAGGTGGCGCCGTCAAGCAACAACAACACTTGGATGAAGCCCTGACCGGTGCACGTTACCAGAACGTGCTGCGTCCTTATAACATCTACAGGAATCCTCTCCACATCAATACGATCAGTGGCAGTTTGGGGCAGCAACAGTTGCTGTTGTCTCCCCCGCTTTATACGCCCTCCCGCGCCTCACGGCTCTTCGCCAGCTCGCCGGCCAGCACACCAGGACATCTACAAGCCCAGGCCCAGCAGCTGTTATCCTATTCCGGCGTCTATCCAACCAATCACACCCAATTTAGTGATCTCAGCACAGTGTATCCCAATAATTCCGCGGAGCGTTCACTGCCCACTTTATCCACGGGGAACCTGAGTCGTTATCGCTACCATTCGCAGGAGTTGCCCTCGTTGCGCACCATTCAGGAGGAGACGCGTCGCCAGCAGAGCAAGCCATATACTCCGCCAGAGGATCACTTCGTGCCACTGCAGCTGCCATCGCCGCCATCGTGGAGGAACTATTACCAGCAGCAGTTGCCCTATCATGGCAGCTATCGCCCAAGAACCCGCTGGTATCCAAGACACTACTCCCGGCTATTCAGTCGCCAGCAACATGAGTTGTTATCGCCACTGCCCGATCTGAATCTATCGCTGCGTGGCTCGGCGCATGGAGCTGGCGTGGGTTTGGAGGCATCGCCGGAGTCGCGTTCTAGTTCGAGTGGCTTCGGTTCGAAGAACACATCGAATCATCCGGGCAGCACCAGTGAGTGGCGATTGTTGCCACCATATCGTGCACCTCCATCGCCACCCAAGCACACGGCATACTTTGGGGCAGCAACGGGGGGGCAGCAGGCGCAAGCTCAAACACTGGTGCCGGGGCAGCAGCAGCAGCAGCTATTGCAACACCAACCGTATCCCTATTCCTATCTGCAGCCGAGTCCACCGACGCCGCCTTACACCATGGCGCACTGGCTGGAAATGATCTCAAGACTGAATGCGGCAACGGACAGCAATTTGCCCCGCTCCTGCCAAGTGGATGTGGGCAGCGTTGATGGCCACTACGAATTCGATCCGGCCACACCGACACCGAGCGCCTCAACGCCCACAACGGGCGTCGGCATGCTGCGCGACGATCTCAATCTACACATAGACACGCATCACTATCCACATCAGCATCTGCATCAGCATCAGCACTCCCATCCTCATCATCCCCATCATCCTCATCCCCATCCTCATCATCAAAATCATCATCTTCATCATCCCGCATCGAGCTTCCATCATCACACGCTGGGCCCCTTAAGTGGCAGCTTGTTGCATGCCTCCGCCTCAGCTTCGGGCTCCGCCTCCGCTCCGACCTCCACTTTTGGTGGCACAATCTCCCGCAAGCTGCGCAGCCTGCCACGCTACGACAATGTCGAGGCTCGGCTGCAGGCCATGCGGGAGGAGTTCTACGCCTACCGCAAGCGACAGTCCATGCAGCGGGCCAGCGGACCGGAAATTGAGAGCGTCTGCTGACAGCTCACAGCTGGTGACAGCTGGTGACCGCAAAGTGGTGACTAGCATATGTATCTATGAGATACATATACACTCATCAAAAAACAATCTCACTGAATTTTAGAAATTCGTCAGGCGTAACTCAACTTATTATTCCTTGAGTGTATTTCCATTTTCTTATTATTCCCAAAGTGTATTTTAAAAATCAGAGTTTTTTCTTTTCTTAATGATGGGTAAATTTTTCTAAAATTTAGAAAGAATATATGTATACTATTCAGAGTTTTGTTTTATATTTCGTATATGATCAAAGAACAATAAGCATTCGATTTTTTTTTATAATCACAATTATAATTACTTTAGATAGTTTATAGAAATTGATGCACTCTAATTTGAGAAAAATTCAAATTTTAAGGCGACTCGAATTCCCACTGTCCCACTGTCAGTCGATCAGCGAATACTTTCTAATATTTAGAAATTATTATTCTTCTATTTAGTAATTATTTCTCAAAGCAAAAAACACATTCTAGTTCTCAGGGCGCCTTTCTCAAATTCAGTGTGATTTTTATCCGAGTGTACATGCTAAGTTATGCGGCAATAGCAACAGCAGTCATAACATGCAATCGAAGTCAACCGCATAAGCCATATGATTAGATATATCCACAAATGATATATATATATTTCATATACATTGATATATCCAATGCACCGCAGGCCCAGCAATAATAACATAGCTCAAATATGCCTATTTCATGTAAGCAGTTTAAATTGCAGCAGGTATGTATGTAAGCCACAAGAACAATTAGTAGTTTTCAAATAAAAAAGAAAACAAACATAAAATGCAACAAATTAATATAAAAGGACACACCAATCAAGTGCATAATTTTTGTAAATATATATAAACTGCATTAGACGGTACACACATTATAAGAAGGCACGCAAGCAAATACAAGCAAACAACGTTTAAGAATAATATTTAAAAAGAAAAACAGAAGCAGAAAGAAAAACTATAGCAATTATGAGTACATATTATTACTTAAAACTCAACATTACATTATGTAATTGATATATATATATTTGAACACAATATGCAAAACGAATATTATTATTATTTATAAAATTAAATAGATTAGATATTTAAAGCATAGGCGAGGCGACACAGATTGATATGTTCAACATCAATTAACAATTAACAAATAAATAAAAACAAAAAATCCACAAAACTAAAGTAAAGTTAAATTAACACTAACGTAAATTAATGCAAGATATGATAGCGTTTAAGTCCTTAGTTGTGAAACTAAAAAAAAAAAAACAATGTGTTGAAATAAAAAAAACTCTGAAAAACTACGTATAGTAAAATTGTTTTATAAATAAATTATTATTGAAAAAAAACAAACGAAAAACAAATGAGTAATAAAAACATAACAGTTTAAAAGTAATTACAACAAAAATATAAACTGCTACATATATATGTTTACTGTTGAGCTACACAAAAAAAAAAAAGAAGAAATAATTAAACTCAAAAGATATATTTATTGAAAAAATACCTAAATACTTTTCCGGTACGAGTATAGGAAATACTACTTTAACACAAAATACAAAACACAAAAATCGAAACCGAAACAGAAACAGAAACAGTTGAGTAAGTTGGGGAAAGAGAAAGTAAGTTAGCGCTACCTAAAATTTATTAAACTTCTAATACTAATTCAAAACTAAATGGAAAATAGAGAGAGCGTTTTTCTGGGATGCGATTTCAGTTCAGTTTCCCCTCCCCCGTTTATCAGATGTACTGCATATTGATGATGATGCCTTGTCAGAATAGCAAATGATATATGATATCATTTATCAGCTAATCTTGTGGCAAACTGGTATCTATCGTGTTCAGTACATAGAATGTGGTCCGAAGAAATCCCAACAAATATATTTATATTTTGCAGTTCCAACTTATGAAGAACAGAAGAAGAATAAGAGGTGTGTGGCTTGAATGAGTATCAGTTTTTTATTAAGTATATATCTACTTGTTAATGATAATATGATTAACACTTGTCTGAACATCAAATTGTAATGGAATGGTTTGACACAACTTGACGCCAAAACACTGCCAGAGCGCGAGATGCATGAGGATCGACGAATTGCCGTGTGTATAACGTGTGTAAATTACACAAAAAAAATAAAAATAAAAATAAAATATAAACAAAAATACATAATATAATATTATAATATATATATGTACTCTACATAATAAATACAAAGTTAACCAAATCGTTGAGCAGCAAAAAAAAGAAAAGAAAACAAAAAAAAAAAAAGAAAAGAAAACTTCGAAATTTACACAAATGATCTCAATAATTGTTTGTATTTTTCTTTGTTATTTGTCAATATATAATTTTTTTTTGGTTGATTTCAAAACAGTTGTGTATCATAATAATGAGACCGGAGGCTGTGCTAAGCGCAGAATTAAATAAATAAATATTATTAGTCAAGAGCGTCATGAAAGAGAAAGAGGAAAAGAAGGAGTTAGAACTAAAAGGCAGCACATGTTGAAATGGTTTCTCATTTCTGATCCGAAATCTGAAATCGAAATTGAAATCGTAATTGAATTGAATGCATAACTTACTAATGTTTATTGTACTACGCCTGAATATTGGATACTGAATACTGGATATGTGAATCGATTATTAACCAACAAACAAACAATATTTAGATAAGTTGACATTTTTGTATTGAGGCAAAGACAAAACATAAGACACACACAACACACACACACACACACATCTGACACACAGACAAACACATAATGTTAACTAGAATTCAATTAAATAATTAATTGAGCATTAACGAAAATCCAAGTAAAGCATGGAAAACAAAACAGAAAACAAGAAAATCAACAATTAAAGTATGCGTATTTAGTGTATTAAATTTTAATTGAAGCATTGACAAATATATATTGAAAGATTTGAGAGGCGAACAACAAAAACAAAAACAAAAAACAAAAAAAAAAAACGAAAAAAACAAGTAGTGCAACACATATACACGTTAAGTGAAGGACTTTAAAAGCAAATATATATATACATTAAAATATATATGTATGTATATATGCAATTATTTATATGAATATAAATTACTATACCTACTGAATTAAATGGCATGTACATTAAGTAAACGGAAGTGAAAAGAGAGAAAGAAGAAAGAAAATTACAAATTAATTTACTCGTAAGTAAATCTAACGCTTTAGTCTGCCACTTTGATTTTTGGACAAGGTGCGCCAGTCAACTTCAACTTTTCGACTCGACAACAACCAAAAACCAAAAACAAAAACAAAATCCAAAATGCAAACACAACTATCAACGACGAAAACAAAAAAGCAGGAACTCTTCCTTACTTCCTTACTTCTTTCATTCCTTCCTAACTTACTTTCTACTATTTGCACCATTTTCAAATACACCTTTCAAAACAGCGTTCACACTCAAACATTATTCGCTTGATTTCCACAGTTTCTCATTCCAACAACAACAAAAGAATAATGTTCCCCCCTCCCCAGCAAATTCAGCATATAAACACGTACAAGTAACAAAAAAAAATCAGTTTAGAACGAAAGATATATTGTAATTAACACAAGACACAATTATAAAAAAAAAAAACAAATTAGCAAAATGAACAAAATTTTTAAACAAATAAACTTAAAAAACATACAAAAAAATAAAAACAATTTGAAATTGATCAAATAAAAAAAACCCTGAAATATCTTTTCATTGGGCGCGATCAAGTTACTATTTTCTGACCCCGGAAGCAGCTTGGAGACCTGCGATGGATCAGTTAATTTTTCACACACACTGAAATTGCTATTTGGCCATATTTAACCCTTAGCGTTACGCCTGCGCAGTGCAACAGATGGCGTTGTTTGTCGGCCGATTAATTAAGCGAATGAAATGTACGAAAAATGCAATAGAACACCCAATTATTTAAGTGGATAAACGTCGATGAAAGTGAATTGTGAGCAAATTGCAGATAAAAAGCTCACTCGCTCGCCTGATTGCTCGGTGTTTGTGTATGGGTGCGTGTGCGTGTATGTGTGTGTGTGTGTGTGGGCGTATGTCAAATGTCAAATGAAGAAAAAGAGAGCGCTCAAGTTGATCTCTCTCCCTCTCTCTCACTCTCGGTATGAGAAAATGGAGTAAGCTTTTGGCGCTCTCTCAGTAGAACGGTATCACATACTAACACACACTTACTGGCATGTACACTCAGAAGAAAAATCTACCTACATTTAATTAGGTTGGTTACCCATACTCAGAAAATAAATGTATGTTTGTGGCTTTCCGAAAACCAGGATCTGCATTTTTAAATTTCAACGTGCATTTTTCTAAAATCTGTCTAATTTCCAAGGTGTCGTATTTTGTCTGTGTTTTTAAATAAATATATTATTATTTTATTTCTAAAAATTAGAAAACTTTGTTTTTAGGTCGATTTACTAAAATGTAGAGCGATTTTTTTCTGAGTGTATGTAGAGTAGATAGCATCGTCACTCAGAATGTTCTCCCGTTTGAGATCGTGTTAGCTGAGTCTGACTGACGACAGTAGTGGTTCTCCAGTCGTCGTGTTCAGTTGACGAGTGCGCAGTGTTAAATGTTCTATGTTATATATCGGACTCGGATTCGGACTCGGACTTATTGCGCAAATTAAACGGTGTTGTGCGGAATCAGATCAGATCACATTACGAGGTTTACTTACGCTTTTTGTTCAAGTAAAGAAAAGAAGCGAAGCGGCAGCTGTTGATGCTGCTTTGGCTCAATTGACCTGGTTTTGAATTACATTTTGATTTGAATTCGCACAGAAAATGCGGAAATACAATTATATCAGAGTGCAAGTGCAAAGCTAACTTAACAATAATATATAAATATATGTTCATATGATCATCAAAATGAAAAGGGAACGCAAAATAATTGTTGAACACCACGAAGGAGAAGCAGAAGTAGAAGGAAATGCTAGCTGCCATTCACCGATAACTGCCAAAGTCATTGGAAGGGTAAAGGGGGGCATTATAGGGTTGATATCGCTGCCGCTGCTGCTTCTAGCGATCTTAATGAACACATCCTGTGTGGAAGGCGCTCGCGATCATCGCAAACAAACAAATCTGGAGGCCAAAGTTGGTTCGCATGTCGTCTTCAATTGCTATATAGATTTCCCATACGATTCCCCCATACCCTACGTTGTGCACTGGAGCAAAGACGTAAGTCAAATGCCAACATATCCAACACTCTTTTTTTCACACATTGCACACTTGGCACACTTTGCACAGTTTTGTTTTGTTAGTGTTGGCTAGCGTCAAACGCACACACGCACAGCATTATTATTTTTGACGCACGCCAGTCAACGCACACACAGACACACTCAGCTCTCGACTACGAGATACACTGCAGACAGCTGTTGACTATTTTCCCTTTAAAAATGCCCTTTAAAGTTTTGCGGGGAATTTCTCTCATTTGTTATGGCCTGAAGAAGAGTGCTGAAAAGTAAAAGGAAACTAAGATGGCGCATATACATACATACAAATATATGTATTTGTGTGTGTGTGTGAATGCTTGCAATCGCAGGATACACTCACACATATTTATGCTCGCGTTGATCATCTTGCCATCCCTTTCTCACACATGCACATAGAAAATGTTTTCTAATAGAAATACGATTGATAAGAGCACAAGTTTTCGACTATAACTTTGGCGTTTCATGGCCGATCTTGATGAAATTTGGTCATATTATACATTAATAAGAGCCGTTGGCTTTGAAAATGGTGCGTTTTATTGCTATCGGCAATCGATATCAATCGATATTCACGAATCCCAGGCAGTTATCGATTTTGCACAATACCAATATACCCTTTATACCTAATTTTAGTGGGGGCAGGGTATAATGAAATTGTCGAAATTATAAATTGATCAGATACAACATACTTGAACACTTGAACACGTGGGTGGTCACACTGGCCGATTCGTTGGCGTGGGCTGCTTTTCGCTTGGTTAGCCTTAATTGCAATAACGGGCCAGGGACAGGGGTAGGGACAGCGGCATTGCTGGTGGGGGGTCAGGGACGAGACGTGCAAATTGCAACAGTGAAACACTGAAACACTGAAACAGTGCAACAAGGCAACAAAGCAACGGGGCTCTCACATTCATTAAAAGGGCTTTGGCCCTGGACTTTATGGGCGAGTGAGTGAGTGTGTGAGTGTGTGAGTGAGTGAATGAGTGAGTGTCTGTGTGTGTTGGCCGCAGTTGGGTGTCGCCTGTCGCCTGAACTGGCCATGACCGCAGCCTCCGCCTCTGCCTTCGTCGCTTCCACCTGTTTTTGGGGGCGGGTCTTTAAATTTTCATCGATAAATTAAATTTTCAGTAACTCAAAGTGTTGAAATGTTGAATTCAATTTAAATTGCATTCAATCGCATTGAATGCTTGTCGTTTTGTTGACAACATGTGGTGAGTAATGCAATTAAATCAAAATCATTGCGAGTTATTTTTGTTTGTATTTAAATCAAGTGAATTACTGTTCAACTCGCCCACTCATACGCACATTAAAGTATCTACCCCCAACACTACCCCGCACCTCCTATACCTCCTACACCTTCTATACACCTCTCCCACTCCGCTACACCCCTCAGAAATTGGACTCTTCTGTCTGCTGGCTCGCAAATATTTTCAACTATTTGGTTGGCTGCTTAATTTGCTGACACACAGTTTGGTCTGCCTTTGTCTTTTTTCTGTTTTTCTCTTTTATTGTATTGTATTAATGCATAAAATTCCACTCGGTCAACGGGTCATGATGTCATTTTTTTGATAGATTCACTTTAATTGCGCTTCAAACAAATTTATATTATTTTTAGTTGTTCTTTGAGCGCCACAGCTTAGCAATGAGATATACGAGTTGAACCGGCTTGAATTACAAATTAAAACACTCTGAAAAATAATCGCTCTGAAAGCTAGAAATAATTAATTTCTAAATATAAGAAAACATTTTTATTAAAATTCGGAAGGCTTGCCATAAATCGATATTTTTACATTCCTTCTGAAAGAGAGAAAATGATAATGAAAATTGCTCAAATATATACAAATTGTTCGTTGAAACTAAGAAAAGAAAATCACTGCTTTGTAGAAGTGTACTTTCTGAATAGTAGGTTGAGTTACGCTTGGAATTTTGTAAAACTCAGGTCTTTTTCTCCGAGCCAGTAACATTTATGATTGATGAAATGCAGCCGTATCAAGGATAATAAGGGGTGCCCAGGGGTGCTCGTTTGCATACTGTCTGCTCTGTAAAACTGAGCATAACAAAATATTTATGCAAATGCATAAAAAAAGTACATTTGCACAAATCAAAAACTACTTTTCACGGCCGTTGCAAATTTTCGCGCACGTACGTAGTCCGTAAAAAAAATTACCGGATAAATCAAGTTACGTTTTTGTAATTTGTTAGATAATGTTGATAAATGTGCGCAGCTGGCACAACACACAGTTGGGTGTACTTTAGGCGGAGAGGGGGTGGCAAGCTGCCACACGCCGCATGCCTCAAGTAGACACAGAAATGATGCAACACGACAAAAACATTTCTCACAGTCACAAAGGGGGGGAGTCGGGTTGGGGTACGCATTCCTCGATAAGTGTCTGAGCCGACTTCAATTAAAGGTGCACTCGACAACCTAACAATGTCAATAGATCAACCAACACACACTTTTTGTTTTTTGTTTTTTGTTTTTTTTTTTGTGGCACACAATTAAAACTATCTAATTGCAACCGCTCGACACTCGCTGCGGTCGCCAGCCAACCAGCTATCAATAACCACCAAGCAATCAAATCCATAGCATGCGGTTTATTATCTGGCTGTACATCCACATCCACTCACTCGTTGCCTGGTTGCCTGGTTGCCTTGCTGCCTGGTTGCCATGTGCCATGGTTTGGCAAGTGCAAACAACAACTGAAAAAAGCATAAAACTGCCAAATGGCTTATATATAAAAATATATGGCAACCACAGCCAGTTAACAGCATTTTAAATAATTTTAATTTTGCGTCGCTTTCGGTCCATGTTTGCCTTATACTATGTAAACAAATATTGCGTTGCAATTAATTTTCATACACACTCAGAGAAAAAATCGACATACTTTTGGTGCCAAGTTGAGTTACCCAACTTATTTGTTTGAATGTAGATTTCCAATAGCCAGAGTTTCTTTTATTTATAACAGAGCACATTTCTAATGTTGAGGATGTTCTTTCATATGTGTACAAGCAACTCTAAAATTAGCTTTTTATTATTATCATCATTATTAATAAATATTAATGTCTTTAGATTTTCATCCGGAAACAAACATAGATTGCAGACTGAGATTAAATTTCACAACTATTTTCTCAATTTCAGAAATGAACATTTTTTTTGATTTTGTAAAATTTAGTGCGATGTTTTTGCCGAGTGTATGCAGGTGTTGTCGTTTACATATTATTGTCATCAAACATTTCTAACCAATATTGATAAAACTATTCAACTTTAATTAAAATAACCATAATTTGAATTTTGCTTTTTTTTTAATCCAATTAAAAATAAAAAATAAATTGAATTTAACTTTAGACTCCTTTAATTTTGTGGAACCGAACTGATTAAAAGGGTATAAGGGTAAAGGGGTATATTGGTTTGTGCACAAGTATGAAACAGGCAGAAGGACGCATCTGCGATCCCATAAAGTATATCTATTCTGGATCATGGTGAACAGCCAAGCTATAGTCGAAAATCTATTCTCATTTTGATATGCGTTATATCAGCAGGCGCGAGCATTTTCCGTATGCATAAAGCAAAACTTTTCAAGGGAATACGATATTCAACAGCTGGGCTACAGCGTATAACGTAGTCGACTACTCACTCAACTACTGCATTCTTGCTTGTTTTGCTGTACTTGAATTCAATTCGAGAATTCAGCATCCTTGTCATTATTTTACGGCTGTCGAAAGTGTGACCGTCACAACGATGCGCACAGCGGGTGCTTGCGAATATTATAGATGCCCGCCCCAATACAGCTTTGCGCACACACACGCACACACACGCACACACACACACACACACACACAAACACATAGATACAAACTCACACGCATGTGTCATTAAATGTAACATTAAATTGGACTGCCTGGGTGTTTAATTATTTAGTGCACCAAGGCATCTGCACTTAGAGAAACAAACCCATCTGGCAGATGATAGGTGATTACTCAACACAGAAACAATGTTCAATTCCAAGGCTGTTTTATTCATTGATGCTCATTGGTGCTCCTCTTAAGTTCTACAATTAAAATAAAAATGAATTAAAAGTACTCAGTATTTGTGAGCATTGAAAATGTTATTTTACTATCAGAATCCGAATCAACTGAAATTGAAATTGATATTGATATTGTTACAATATTCAATTCTAATGCCTTTCTAGTCATAAATTGTGTTCTTGCTAAATTCCGCTCTTCAAATAAAGTAATTATAAAATGCAACTTGCTTTAAAAGTACTCAGCAATTGTAATTTAACTATATCAAATCATTATCATAAATTACTCAGCCAATTAAATATTTATTTCATTTAATTTTGTTATCAAAACAGAATCAACTGAAATTGCCATTTAATCAATGTTCAATTCGAAGGCCATTTTAGTCATTGATTTGTCCTTTTGTTAAATTATGCATTTACAATAAAATCATTTTAATATTCAGCTTGAATTAAAAGTAATTCGACCATCAAATCATTATCACAAATTACTCACACAAGCAATTATTTATTTGCCCCGTGAGTAATTAAAGTACTAACAAATATTTGATCTAATTTTCACACAGTCAAGTCTTAAATAAACTTTGATCTATCTTTTGCAAATGGATCACAGAACAAAAAAATCTTCACTTGGTTCGAGAACGAGACCTCCACAAATGAGCTCTTCAATGGCAGATTGCAACTGGTCGGTCCGCATCCAGACTACGGCAAGGCGTCGGTCAATTTGACGGCGATACGTGAATCTGACCAGGGCTGGTATCACTGCCAGGTGATCTTTCCCAACCGATCGCCGAGTGTACGAAACAATGGAACCAGCTACCATCTGGCTGTCCAGGGTGGTTCCCTCATCAAAATTCCACCCGTTAATCAAACAATTATGGAGGGTCAAACTGCATTCTTTCACTGTGTCATGAAGTATCCGGATAACTCGCAGGCTGCCTGGTATAAGGACGGTGTTCTCCTGCAGGAGGTGCAGGATCTGGTGCGTCGTTCCTTTATGGGACCCGACGGCAGCCTCAGCATCGACCCCACCATGATGAGCGACCTGGGCGAATACGAGTGCAAGGTGCGCAATCACGATGGCGAACTGCAAACGGCCAAAGCCTTTCTCAACATACAATGTGAGTGGATTAACCACAAAAGGGAAGTGCAGGGTATCTGCATTTTAGTAAATGTCCCTGAAAACTAGAAAATTTTCCTCTTTTTCTGACATCATTTCTAAATAGTGGCTAACAAAATTCTCTATTTCATAGATATGACTAAGTAAAATGTTTGCGTATATCTGAAATTCTAAGATAATATTGTTCATTAATAATATAAGCAAAAAAAGAGCGAACATAAGAATTCTTCTATGAGACATACGTATTATTTGCTTAATAATATTTGTTACTATTTTTCATTAATATTATTAAATGAACTAAAATTGCGGTCGGTGCTTTTGAGAAGTGTGCCTCAACTCATGCAATCTTCTGCTCCATCACAGATAAGGCCAAGGTGATTTATGCGCCGCCCGAGGTTTACCTGCCCTACGGTCAGCCGGCAGTGCTGGACTGTCATTTTCGGGCGAATCCGCCGCTGAAGAATCTGCGCTGGGAGAAGGATGGGCTGCTGTTTGACTCGTACAATGTGCCTGGTGTGTTCTACAAGATGAATGGGAGTCTGTTCTTCTCCAAGGTGAACGAGAACTATGCGGGTAGTTATACCTGCACACCCTACAACGACCTCGGCACCGATGGACCCTCGCCCATCATTAGCGTCATTGTGCTCCGTCCGCCCATTTTCAGTGTTACACCAAAGGCGATTTACATACAGAAACTGGGCGAGACTGCCGAGCTGCCCTGCGAAGCCATCGACCGGGACGGAAACAATCGCCCAACCATTGTCTGGAGTCGGGTAAGTCCATTGACAATGCATTGTCACACAAAAAAAGTACATCTAAAAATGCTGCGCCCGACTATGAGATACCCTGCTGCCAGCTGTTGAATATGACCGAGCATAACATGTTTCTGTTGATCAATAATATGTCAGTATATATATACATATCAATAAGAAACCGCTGCCTTTAAATCTGTGGCTTTTATTGCAATCGACAATCGATAGGTATCGATATGCGCCAAACTGATACAGTTATCAATAAAGTGAAGCAAACTTGATCTAATCTAGCTCTTACAGTCTCAGACATGGCTACGTTTACTCAGGTGTTGAGCCTGATCAGGGATATTTGTACTTTGTGGGCTTTGAGTTGCTTTTCTCTGCCTGTTACATACCTTTGCACAAAACTAGTATACCCGTTAGCCATTTTAAATGGGGTTGCAGGGCATAAATGCCACTCCATGTTGCAGTTGCAGCTGCATTTGCAGTTTTGCTTGATTGCATTTTGAAATATGCATGTGTAGTGTGGAGTTGGGCAGCAGCGGCTGCTGGAGCTGCACCTGAATCTGAATCTGAATGTGATGCTGATTCTGATTCTGATTCTGATTGTGATTTAACAGAAAGATGGACAGGCATTGGCAGTGGAGCGTCACCATTTCAGTGGCGGCAATTTGACCATCACGAACCTAATTGAAACGGACCGTGGCATGTACGAGTGCTCGGCAACGAATGAGGCCGCAACAATAACCGCCGAAGCTGAATTAATGATTGAGAACATTGCGCCACGCCCACCTTACAATCTCACCGCGAACAGTACGGAAACCTGCATCACAATCCGCTGGCAGCCAGGTGAGATCTTGTCCCCTTTGACCCTTAACCTCAACCTATAACCAAAAAGGTGACACCATTCGTGGTAATCCTCCCCAGGCTACCTTCGACCCAATCAGGAGTACACTGTGTGGTATCGATTGAGCGATGCTCCCGAGTGGAGAACTCTCCGCATCCTGGACAAGAGTGTGATGGAGGCCACAGTGCAGCACTTGCTGCCTGGCAGGGATTACGAATTCATGGTGCTCAGCCAGGACAAATACGGCGACGGCATGTTTAGCAAACAGTTCCGCTTCCAAACTCAAGGTGAGAGCAGCTATCAAATCCTCATAATTATATATTAATATTATTATTGTTAGTGTTATTCTCATTATTATTATTATTATTTTTCAATAAACGGCTTAAGGATGGTGAAATATCCGAGAAAAACTTTACGAAGAAGAAGCAACGAGTCCCAATATTAATAAAAATTCATTGAAAACCTTAAAAATCAATATCCATTTTAGCTTTGGGCTACGTAAAACTTTTTACAAACTCTATGGTAATACAACAACTATTATAATAAATTAATTAGGAATTATTATTTTTTTCAACATTCGGCAACGACTATTAACAAAAGCAAAGCTTATTCCTTGATCGAAGTTATTCTAGCTTGGATCGTAACTCAAGAACTACTTTTGACGTTATTTCCCTCCTCCTAAGTGCATTTAATTTAGCTTGACCATCGCATAGAATCATAATACCCGTATTCCTATAGTCAACTCCGTCCTCTTACTGATGATAAACGTAATCATATATTATTTCATAATATTCTTTAAGTTGTTGTTTTTTTTGGGTCGACTGACTTCAGTTGACATTAAATAAATAAATAAAAATAAATATATGATATTTGATTTATTTACCTCTTATATCGCACTTTCAGCATCTCCATTCCGAGGAGAGGACTTCGATGGTCAACAGCTACCACATCAGCAGCAACAATCGCCCATTGCGGGTGGCTTGGGTGCCCCATGGAATTTGAGTGTAATCAGCAATCCACAAGGTTGGCTGCTCCACTGGGAGCATCCCACATTGGGCCTGGAAACGTTGCGTCTTTATACGGTGCGCTGGTGGAAGGAGCCGGAACATTATCTCATCGGCACAGCGGACACCTTTGACAATTTCTATCAGTTACGACACCTCAAAGAGGATGTCACTTTTAAGATTCAGGTGCTGGCGGTGGGCGCTGATGGGCAGCAGATGGTGCCCAGCCCGGAGCTGTACTTGGAGGTGCCGTCGCAGCGCAAGATGCGTGCTTTGATCATTGGCAGCTCCGTTGGAGTCCTGTTTCTACTTTGTGCATTGTGTGCTTTTTTATACGTGAAACGTAGCTGCTTGCGGCACTTGTTTGCCCGGGACAGCGAGGGGGGCGACGAGGACACGGCGGAGAGCGGCGACTGCGACAGCGATCAGGAGCGAGATAGCAACAAAATACGCGCTTCCTCCTGAGAAATGCAGATCACGTGGCGATTTGGGGAGGAGAACTGCGAAAATGCCCGGCGAAATTGTTGTTCAGTGAGTTTTACGTTTGTGCCAGACGAATGAGGGAGGAGGGCGGAGGGAGAAGGGAGGAGGGAATAACCGAGTACCGCATAATACTGTTTTATAATTTATTTCTAGTTTCTATTTGTACAATACAATTTTACTAATTCTTTAATGTAAAAGTTCAACTAATGAAAGTCAATTATTAAATTCAAGTAACATTCCAATTTGAATTTGAATTTGAGCTGCGCGCCTTATGGGCAGCACTTTAGCAAACAAGCATAGCAACAAACACACCAGTGTGGTTCATTTGAAATGTCTAGCTGATGGGCAGCACTTCAATACACGTATAAGAACTATTCGTACTAGTGTTGGTTAAGGGCGTAAAGAAGTTCAGCAAATTTTACGCTTGCTTGAGTAAGGAAAAAACTATAATTTATTTCTAGTTTCTATTGGTATATTATGATATACAAATTTTCTAATTTAAGTTTCATCTAATGAAAGTCAGTTATTAAATTCAGCAGAAAGTTGAATTTGAATTGCGCGTGATTAATTGCGACTGTGCGCCTTATGGGCAACACTGTAACAGGCAAACAAAATCTAAACATACAATTGTTAATGAAAAGCGGTGGAGTCAGAATGAAGAAGATTCACATACGCTGATTTATTATTAATTTCTAGTTTCTATTTGTACAATACGTTCTATTAGTTCTAATATTGGCAGTCAAATATTAAATTCAACCGAAATTCGAACTTGAACTGGATTTTTATGGGTGCTGCCCAAACATACAAAATCCAAGCAGACTAGCTTTTGTTACTAACTTCACAAAAAGCTCACAGTAAAAGCTTTGAGTATTCAAATCCAAATACAAATCTAACCGTTTTTTCTTTACTAGTATCTCGCTTATATAAGTAAATATGTAAATATGCGTGTAAATATGTACTTATGGCTGTGCAACTTACGATTGCTGATAATGAGGAGTTCAGTGAAATATTTTCAATGCACGTTTAAACTTGTCTGATTAGCAATTCAGTTTCCCTTGAAATCTAAGCGTATCTCTATCGCGTGCATTGTGGGTATTTCTATAAAGGCAAAAGACAATGTGACAGTTGCATGCATGGAAGTCTGGCAAGGCTTAATTTTGCTGCTATTTGACTGCAGCAGCAACATCTGCCAACAATTTGGCGAACTTTGAACTTGGCGGTAAGCTCAAATAATTTCACATCTAACATTTAACATTGAAAATTTAAAATTGCTTTGCACTCGCAAAGCTTTGATGCAGTTATCCGACAATTGCGTGGCTTGAAAATATAAGAAGAAGAATTGATCGATTAGACGCCTTCCGTTGCTACGCAATATCTGAAAAAAGAACAAGAACAACAAGCAGTTGCTGATATGAGCTTGAGTTTACAGTTGTTAAGCACAGCTTTTGTGTGTGTATGTTAGTTGAAACAATGTCAATGTTAAACAACATATCAGCAAGCTTCCCTCTCTCGCTCCCCATCTCTCTCGCTCCCCATCTCTCTCTCACTCTCTCGCTCTCTCTCTCTCTCTCTCTCTCTCTCTCTCTCTCTCTCTCTCTCTCGTTGCGCACTTTGAACCGCTGTTGTTCAAAGTTTGAATGAAAATGTGTAATTAAAATAAAAATGATTGCCACAAGTAAGTGCAAGTGTACCCAGCATTCCTCATAATAAATTCCGCAGCAAATAATTATTTTTTATTATTGCTTTGTTTTGCACAAAACGGATTAAAACAGTAAGTTCAAAGTTCAATAATTAAATACCAACTATTAAAAGTGTCAAGTGCTGCATAATAAAATAAAACTGACAAACTTTAACAATGTTGTTTAGTGCAGACATACACGCACACACATGCATAGTAGAAATGCAAAAGACAATGACAAGGCGTAAAGCAAAGCAATTCGGGTGCATTTGCACCTGAGCCAAGTGCATTGAGCTAAATTTTCTGTTTACGATCAGCTGTTCAGCGTCAGCCGGAACGAAACACACACACGCACAAACAAAAGCAGCAGCATTTACACAAACACATATACACACATAGTGCCCATGCGCAGAGAGCAACAGTAGCTGTGGGTGAGTCCATAAGCACATACACACACACAACACAAAGCAGCAGAGCCATTGAGGCAGCGAGCGCAGCAGCCATTGACAAACATTGACTTCCCCATACACACATATACGCGGAGCTGCTGCAGTGAGAGAGCGCAATACACACTCATGCAGACAAGCAGCTGCTGAGAGAGCGCAACACATAACAAGCAGCTGCTGCTGAGAGAGCGCAACACATAACAAGCAGCTGCTGCTCAGAGAGCGCAACACACAACACATGCACACATTCTAAGAGAGTCATCGCATAGCTTAGCAGCCGCATTACATGCGCTCACAATTTCAGTTCTATTTCATACGTATTGTGTGTAGGTTGTGTGTTTGCTATCGCAGGCGGAGATTGTCGCGCTCGATCTGCCAAACAAAAAAAATACACGTTTCATGTCCTGTCCTGTTTTCGGCCAGCTGCTGTGCTACTTAAGCGTTCTCTTAGACCACCTGATCTCAACGTAGCTGGAAGAGCTTTTTGTTTTTGTTACCACAAATTACGTATTCGAAAATTGAGCGAGAAGGGGAGTGCGAGCGAGACAGCAATAGAAACCAAACAAATTTATGTGCAATTTTTTGGGCCTAAAATAAAAGCAACTCGGCAAAAAGAAATAAAACAAAGCATCTCTAGCAACACACGGAAATCAAACCTTTCTCTTAAATAAAACTAAAGAGAAAAAGCAAAAAAAAAAAAGAATAGAAAAAACTAGTTTTTTAATTATTGGAATTATATTTTACATGTGTTTAAAAGGTAAGAAACATGAAAAGGAAAAACTGCGTCGCAAGTTGTTAAATTTAATGTGGCATGCAACTTACAAGCCCCCACCCATTTTAAACTAACCGCTGAATTTTAATTTGTGTAAAGATTATCAGTTTATTTTAGTTTCACTCATACTCAGACACACACATACATATACACATACAAATTTAAAAAAAAAAAAACAAAAAAAGTCTATCTCATGTGTATCTTTTAAATGCTTCTGATGTATCTGAGAGAGAGGGAGGCAGAAACTGAGAGAGCGCGTGCGTTCTCTTTGGACTTTTTACGTACTCTCTCAAGTGCGCTCACTCTCTCTCTCTCTCTCTTTCTTATGTTCATGCTGTGTGAGATGCTGAAACGGTGCTAACCATTGTTTAGCAACATTATGCCATTTCGCTAAGCAAAGTAAAGCTGAGCCAAGCTTAGCAGCAGTCTCAGCCACATTGTAGCTAAGGTGAAAGATGTTGCGGTTGTAATAAAATTAACTTTTGCTAGCCCAATTTCAAAGAAATTAAGGTAGGACTATGTAAAAGACTGAATAATATGTAATTTCTTATTTTTTCATCATGATTAGACAAAAATATTAACGTTGCTATTGGCTGATAATTCAAGCGCCAATAACACAAAGAATGCAACAACAACAATGTTGTCGGTCAAAATGAGAATGAGAATAGCAACGGTGAATAAAACACTCCAAGGAAGAGAACAGCAACAAAAACAAAAATGTTGCCGGGCTCATTCGATTCTATTACATATTAGCAGCGAGACTAGCCGCAAAAAAAGCCAGTGAGTTGTCGGCTTATCTCCGCAACCATCCCTAATCTACCACACGCATGCACACAAACACATCTCTTACAAACACACAAATATATATATTTATGTATATATATATATAAAACTATGTATATATATATATATATATATATTGGGCAGCTTTCTTAATCTCGTCTCGATGGCTATTCGCTGAATAGTTAAACGATTCTAGGCAACTGCAATCTTATCGCTCTTATTGCTCGGCCACCTGCCAAAGCATCCAGTGCAGCTAAACTCAGAAACTGTCGTTAGTTTAAGACAAATTGAAAAAAAGCTGAGCAGCAGCGGCTAAATGCAATAAAAAAAATGCCCAACTTGAAGCGGCAGCTAATTTATATATTTTTTATTCATATTATATTTTTATATTTCTTTTATACAGTGAGGATAATCTTTTTTTGTATGTTTAATCCACAAATTATTTTTTCTTTATATATTTCTGTTATAGAGTGAGGATATCTTATTTATTTTTAACTCACAATTCCTTTAGTATATTCCTTTTTTATATTTATATTTTTTTTTTAATACGAAAAGCATTAAATTTCTGTTATCGTGTAATCCCTAAATCAAATTGCTGATATTTTTTTCGTTTATTTTTTCCAGTGTAGCTGAATAATTTCACAACTTCCAAATAAAAGAATATGCCAAATAAGAAACAAAAACAATGAATAATACAATAATATTGAAACTGAAACTTGTGTAAAAAGAAGAAGACGACGAAGAAGAAGAAATAGTTGCATGCAATGCCGAATAAACAAATAAAATAAATAAATATATAAATAAAACAAAAGAAATACTCAAATGCTGACTGCCAATTGCAACTGAATAAACTAAAAACTAAAATTCTGCTAAACAATGGATGAGTTGCATGCCACAAATGTGCCACTTGTGGACGAGGAGAACTCTTGCAGCGCTATCATTCTGCCTGCCACACAGGCAACATCAACATCAGCCGCAACAACAAAATTAGAACCTCTTGGGGCAGTTCACTACAAGAGTTGCAACATCAGCACAACTGACGCTGCCACAGGGGCATGCAACACGGCAGAGCCTGTGCCACTTTTGAATCAATTGCAAAAATCAAACGATCTAAAGCAATGCAACGCCACCTATGGGTGAGTAGCGGAAACTATCAAAACTAATTAGACTAACTTTAGATTATGCTTATCGGGAAGGGGAAGAAGAACGGGAAGGGAATAGAAATAGCGTAGATTATGCGTGCACGTGTATGCGAAATGGAAAATGGAAAGAAGCCAATAATGGAAATGGGATTGGGAACTTGATAAAATAGATTATGCTTGTCTATGGGAAATCGAGATGTGAAGAATGGAATTGGGAATGGAAATATGATACATTTAATGCGTGTATCAATGGAGAACTCAGAAAAGCCCAATAGTACACACCGCAAAAAAAAAAATCGAAGCAAATTTTAGTAAATAGCTCAACAAAATATAAAGTTTTCCTTGTTTTTTTTTTTTAAATAATTTGCAAGTATAAGAAAAACTACTTTTAAAAATTAGAGACAATCCCATAAATTCGTTTTTTTAATTTATTTTCAGAAATTAATAAGAAATAAGTTTTATTCAAATTAAACTAGATGAATTTTATAAGCCATGTAAAAATGTTTGTGTATATGTTAATAATATGCAGAGTAAGAAGCCGATTTACTCAAATTTAAGTCGTATTTTTTTTTGCTAAGTGTAGCCTCAATTTGACTGACCCAAATAGCGTTTCAAATTTAAGGCGTGTTTTTTTTCGTGACGTTTAAGCCATGAAGACTTACGAATTTCGTTCATTAAGTCATAGCTCTCCAGTCAACTAGCTGCCATTTGGCCAAAATCACGTCTGGTCGCTTTACGTTAAATTAAATTACAAATAAAATATAATTTTTAAATTTTAGAAATAAGAAATATTTACAACACTTCTTGGGGGTATTTATAAAGTATACTTAAATCACTCAGCTTTGCAAATCAAAACTCAAGGTTGGTCAAAGTCAGTTAAAAATGTAACATTTCGGTATTTATTATTTATGTTAATTATTGTCTAAAAGTCTAACAGTCTGCTTAACATTTAAACGACACACACGCAAAAACACAAATCGCAAGCAGCTGTGAAAAATCGATAGAGAAGACCTGTTAGTTAGTATAAATGTAATAACTGTAACTGTTCCCAAGGAGGCATCGCAAATCGCGTGCGGACCTAAGAAATGCTCAAGGCCTATGCTTGTTGTACAACACTTGTATAACAAAATCTTAAAAAAAAACACTAAATAGGAACTGGTGAGCAAAAGGCTGACAGTACTTTTAAATAGAAAACTAAGAGCAAAAGCTTATTGGCGGCAGTAGGCTGTGAGCTCTCCAGAGCACCATAATTAAAATGCTAATGGAATAAAACTATGTCCAAATGTGACTAATAAGTAAATTAGTAAATTGCGACAGGGCTTACAGCTTACATAAAATAAAATACAAAATAAAATGAATTAAATAATTAAAATAAATAATATTAATAAAAATGCGTTTAATTATCTCTAATATATTTTAAAATGTATATCTCATATAAAAAAAAGTTTAAATAAAATAATAAAATAAAAAGACTTACAAGTATTTCCAGTATGTACACATTTGTTATTTAAATCTAATATTAAATTTTTTGAATCAAAATTTAATTCTTAAGTTGACATTAAACAAAATAAGTCAAATAAGCAAATCAATATTGCAAACAATAAAAATGACCTAGCCTGGTATCAGTCACAATTGCATGCACGGCACTCTTACATATTTCCCACACTTGACTTGATACAAAAGGTTAAAACAAAAACAAAACCCGTTTAAAATGCTTGAAATATCCTTTTGCCCTATAAGGCTTTTGTTTGTGTGTTGTCAGTAGTGCTGTGAATAAACTACACACACACATGCAAGGCAGACATTTAGAAATGTTTGTATGTATATGTATGTGTAACGTTTAATAGGCCGCCGTCAAGCACAGAGAGCAAAGAGAGAGGGAGAGAGACAGAGAGCGAGAGAAAGAGTCAAACAATTGTCAGCGACAATAGCGAAGGAAGTGTAAGAAAGGAAACACAGAAAGAAGAAGCGTACTTGCCATAGTCGAAGCATGAGTACGCTTTCCTCCTCTAGCTGGGAGCAACGAATGCACGAAACGTTTGACTACCCGAATATGCCCCAGATGCAGCAGTAGTAGTCGTGTGAAAGGGTATACACAACTCCAATACTGTTATTATATATTATATGCCAAATGGTAGCAGTAGCAGCAGCACCGATGGGAAAAATCGAAGCTCGCATTTTCAGTTCAGTTGAACAGAGTTGATTTCTGTTCCTGTTCAGTTTGTTTCGGTTCTCTACCAGCGTTTGTCGTTTTTTTGTTTTTGTGTTTAGTTTCTGTGTCCTTTAAATATTTGTGGTGCACATTAGAAAAAATCTACTTTCGACTGTGAATTATTTAATGTTATTTGTCAGCAGGTGAAAAACGCGTGACGTGCGTCGATTATGCAATTGAAAAGCTTAACAATAAATAAATATAAAAAATAGTAACAGACTGTTGGGCGTCGCTTCATTTGCTTCATTTGGCTAGCTGAGCCTCAAGTTGACCATAAAATTCCACCCAAAATCACATTGACCTTTCTCACACACATCGAGGTCAGCTCGAAATGCAAATCGAAGGATTTATAGAAATACAGCTGAGGTTGGGCTTTGCTTTGTTCTGTTGGACTACACTTAGAAAAAAGATGTCCCTTAAATTGAATAGATAAATAAATAATGTGCTCTCACCGTAATTTGAAATAAATGAACTTATTAATTAATTATTGAATTAAACAAATTTAAATAGCTCACCATATTATTCAGCAATTAGAATTTTTTTGTTGTTTGTGTCATTTATAAAATTTGCAAACATCTTCGATTAAAATTAAAATAAAAAAATGCTTAATTGTCGAATGCTTCTCGCGCTCGCCATTTGATATTTCCGCTTAATTTTAATAGTTGCAAAATTACACTGTAAATAAACTTGCTGTCGGCCCAAAGTTCAGTTGCTAATTATTCAATATATAATATTACTCTCAATTGCCAGCAATTACAACGCATTAAAATTGATAAGCAGTCTTGCAGCATTGGCAAATGATTCGCTTTTTTATTGTAGTCTAAATAGGCTGAATATCACTCCGGGCACATACACAATGAGAAAATATCCCAACAATTGGGAATTTGGATTTGGCTTTGGTATTCTTTTCTACTGCAATACACAAAGCACTGCTACTACCGTTGTTGTTGTTGGTGTAAATCACCTTGGGGCTTCGCGTCGAGTTCGTTAACATTACACGAACCGAAGTTGTCGTTGCTCGGTACAAGCGCACCTAAAATGTACCCATTTTGAGTACACGCGCACCGAGAAATTCGCAATAGCTGCGGCTGTTGTTGGATATGGGGAAGTGGTGCAGTGGGGTAGTGGTGAATTTATCTTTTCTTTGTTTATGGATGTGTGTGTGTAAGCAATCTCCAATTTACCAATACAACTGCGTTTGGTGACGTTGACTTGCTTTTGTTTTTGTGTTGCTTTGGATAGCAGATAAACATGTGTGTGTGAGTCAGTCATGTTTTGGTAAGAGAGAGGCAGAGAGAAAATGAGCCAACAGCTGACTGCGTTAGTGTTTACGTTGTCAGTCATTCTTCATTCTCCACTCTTCGCTTCCGTCTGTCCATCGACAAGCTGTCTGACAACAATTTAATGCTCATTTTTTGTTGTTGTTTGTAATTTGAAGTGGCGTATTTCAATAAAAACCGCAATTATTGTGAACGATAGCCAAATGCTTGAAATTACAATTTGGGATGGCAAATAAGGAAAATTTGAAACAACGCGGGAATTTCAATTGTTTGATTAATCATAATAAGCTGAAGACGGAAAATAAAGAGCATTTGGATACGGAATGAATTAATCATGGTAAATAGTAAGATTTATTCTAGCCCTGAGAGAGTTGATCGTTTATTTTTTTTTCAAGATCTGCATTTTATGACAATTAGACGTCAATCCATCCATCATCAATTAGCTGTTCTCTCAATTAATTAAGAAATAATAAGTTTGCACTCGAAACTGTATTTTTAATTGGCTCTTGCATTTGATTGATATGCAGTCCGCCTTATCTTTACTACTTTATCAATCACTCAGCGTTGAGTAGAATTTTTTTTATGAATGAAAAGCAAACTGATCTTAGACCTTCGACACGACTGACTAATTGTTGATTGTATAATGAAAAAGACTTTAAAGACTTTGAATTGACTAGAAACAAAATATTTCCTTTTCGTTCGACGAGGGTGTAAGAGAGATAATCTAAAAAAGAATAGAACAAAGCTTCACACGACTGCTACTTTGTGGCTTCGGCTGTCGACTCTTCAGTTGCCGCCTTCGTTTCGTTTCAGTTTGGCAATTTCTACATATGTACATACATACATACGTACATACTACGACTAGGATATTCCCTGTTAAATATATTCCCTTCAAAAGTTTTGCGTGGAATTTGCCTAATTTCCTATGGCCTGAAGAAGAGTGCTGAAGTAAGAGTATTGAAAACTTAGAGAAGGCAAAAAACCTTTTTGAAGAAACTAGATGATGTCCATATTTACATCAAACAATACTTGGCTACTAATCAGAATAAATTCAGTGTTGATTCGAAATTTATACAAGTAGGTGGATATTGATATCAAGACTAGAATACCCTGTTATTTGTGCAGTCTTTGCTATGAGTCTATAAAAAAGTGAACTTAAATTTCCAAAAAAATGCCCAACGAATTGGGTTTGGAGTTGAGATTAATGAAGAGCAGCTGCAGCACCCAAGAGGATCTATTAGGACAGCTCTGCCCAGTGGATGGGATACACAACAGTTGCTTCGATGATATGCGTTCGGATGTTTCAAGATGCAAACGATCCCTTTCCCTCGTCCAAACGAAGCTGACAAAGAACGGCTGTGTTAGCGCCCTTCAGCGGCCAGTAGATGGCGCTCCAGGCTGGCAACAAACAATCATAGTCAAGTAAAATACAATTAATATAAACTTAAAATAAGTAAAATAAATAAAATAAAATAAGTTTAAGTAGTTGACTAAATTTACTAAATTATTATTTATTTTTTGCACTTGCAGTTCACAGAATAATCTGTGCAACGGTCGCTTTACGCCCAGCAACAATCATGTTTTGGCGCCCAAGATCCAAAATAGCAGCCCCAATGGCCAGAAGAAGGGCACCATTTCCCTATCACATCTGCCACAGCGTCCTCCCGTGGATATTGAGTTCTGTGATATATCTTACTCGGTGCCCGATGGACATTTGCGTGGCTTTAAAACCATTCTGAAGAGCGTCTCCGGCAAGTTTCGCAATGGACAAATTACGGCCATCATGGGACCCTCGGGTGCAGGGAAGAGCACTCTGATGAACATCCTAGCGGGCTACAAGTAAGTCTACACTCGCATAAAATATATCGCCCTGAAATTAACATTGAACTGAAGAGCTTTTCGTGTTTTTGGAAATAATTTCTAAGCATGAGAAACAATTATCTAAAATATTTTCCATTATTAAGAAATGCATTTCTGAAAAGTGAAAAGTGGAAATGTAAACTCTAATTTTTAAAAACAATTCTCTCTCAAATTCAGAAACAAATAATGAAATTGAACATGTTGAAAATTTATGGCGATTTTTCTTTGCTTCAACTTAAACTTACTTTTAATTTAATGCCTGATTCTTTGCAGAACTTCCCAGTTAAGTGGCACAGTGATGATCAACAGCAAGGAGCGCAATTTGCGACGTTTTCGCAAACTGTCCTGTTACATAATGCAGGACGATGTGCTCATTGCCAATCTGTCGGTGCGTGAAGCGATGATGGTGGCAGCCAATCTAAAGCTAGGCAAGAATATGATAACATATGCCAAGTGTGTGGTGGTCGAGGAGATACTGGAGACAATTGGCCTCAAGGACTCGGCTAATACGCTCACCTGCAATCTGTCGGGTGGTCAGCGGAAACGTTTATCGATTGCCCTGGAGTTGGTGAACAATCCGCCGGTGATGTTCTTTGATGAGCCCACCTCGGGCTTGGATAGTTCGACTTGTTTCCAGTTGATCTCGCTGCTGAAATCCCTGGCACGTGGCGGACGCACCATTGTCTGCACAATTCATCAGCCGTCGGCGAGACTATTCGAGAAATTCGATCATTTGTATTTGCTGGCACAAGGTCAGTGTGTTTACGAGGGCCGAGTGCATGGATTGGTGCCCTATCTCGCATCCCTGGGTTATGAATGCCCCTCGTATCACAATCCCGCCGATTATGTGCTCGAAGTCGCCTCCGGCGAACATGGCGAAGCAGTCCCCAAACTGGTCCAGGCAGTCCACAGTGGCATCTGCAAGAAATATGCGCACAAAGATTATGGCATCAATTTGGCGAATGCGCGCACAATTGCCAATGATATTGTAAAGGGTGGAGCAGATCCAAATATGCCACCATTGGCCACAATTACGCTGGAGCACGAGAGGCTGTCCAAGTTGGATGACGATGCGATGGATGCGTTGACGGAGTTGAAACCACCGAAACTGGAAGCACAACAATCCCAAAATTCCGATTGCAGCATCAGCAACGTGCCAGTGGAGGACAGCTGCAGTTTTAGCTCCTCCAAGGCGGCTGGCCAAAATGTTGTCTCCAGCGGAGTTGGTGGTGGTGCTACTGGTGCTGCTGCCACAAGCAGTGTTGTGGGTTGCATGACCTCGTTGCTGGATTCGCATGAGAGTGTTGTCACTTTGCCCAGTCGAACGGGTTTCCCTACCAGTGGCTGGACACAGTTTTGGATATTGCTGAAGCGTTCGTTTAGAACGATTATGAGGGATCGCATGTTGACCCACATGCGGCTGGCATCGCATATCATTGTGGGCGCCATCATTGGCATGATCTACTATGATGTGGGCAACGAGGCCGGCAAGATTATGAGCAACAGTGGCTGCATCTTTTTTGTCTCCTTGTTTACCACTTTTACGGCCATGATGCCCACCATTCTGACATGTAACCACTGATCCTGATCCTTGATTGCACTGCCCATTTTGAATGCGTTTTCTTTCTGCTTTGCAGTTCCCACGGAAATGGCGGTTTTTGTGCGGGAGCATCTCAATTATTGGTACTCGCTCAAAGCGTTCTACTTTGCAAAGACCCTTGCCGACATTCCCTTTCAGGTAAGTCTTATTTAAAGCTCAACTCAAAAGAAAATATTATTAAAGAAAGACACCAATGCTGAAGGAAGGTAAACATTGAAAGATGGCATAGCTGTGTAATTATTAGCACAAAATCATACAAATTTATCAAAAATGAGCCGGTTAAAATAATAATTGGTACATTAGTTGTGTGATAGATTAGTTGCTAGCAGTTTTCTTAGCTTTTCCCACATATTCTCAATCAAACTCAATGAAACTTAAATAAAATATATATATTATATATATATATATATTTTTGTTTGTAATGTTTTATATTATATATATATCTATTTATCCGATGCGAATACTAATTGTGTATTCGCCCCTCTTGCAGATTGTTTTCTCCAGTGTATTTGTGCTGGTCGTCTACTATCTGACATCGCAGCCGATGGAAATGCAGCGCATCTCGATGTTTGTGCTAATCAACGTGCTCAGCTCGCTGGTGGCTCAATCTTTGGGTCTGCTCATCGGTGCCGGGATGAATGTGGAGACGGGCGTATTTCTTGGCCCAGTGACGACGATTCCAACGATTTTATTCTCGGGTTTCTTTGTCAACTTTGACACAATACCAACCTATTTACAGTGGGTCACATATATCAGCTACGTTCGCTATGGCTTTGAAGGTGAGTCAGATATTCCAAGACTGAATCAAATTAGTAATCGTTATTTTTATCGTAGGTGCCATGCTTTCCATTTATGGCATGGATCGGGCCAAATTGCATTGCAATGAGATCTATTGTCATTACCGGGTGCCCAAAAAGTTCCTTGAATCGATGTCCATGCAGGATGCCCACTTCTGGGTGGATGCAGTGGCTCTGATTGGAATGTTTTTCGCTCTGCGCGTAATTGCATACTTTGTGCTACGCTGGAAGTTGCACATGATTCGCTAATGTGGCAAGGTAGCAAGGTTGCAGGTTGGCAGACCCATCGTTGTAAATAGAGGAGAAAATGCCCAAATGGAATTTATGTTCGAGGATTGTAGATAGACGGATGTTATAGCTAATTTGGTGCTTCGAATTAATGTTTTACGTTTGTTTGCAATAGACACAACCAGATATTATCATACACAAAAATCAAAACTCACATATAGAAATATAAAGATATATAAATATAGAAAGATAGGCACGTTCAACAGCACAAAAGTAGAGCTCCTTTTCGAGTATAAATATTAATGGTGACCAAGTATAGGAGTCTGAACCTTAATCTATTGAAAATTAACAAATTCTACACTCAGCATAAAAAATCGCACTGATTTTTATTCAGAAGGTATATTTCTAAAAACCAGCTTTTGTTTTATTTTCTAATTTTCTTAATTTCGGTCTACATTTTTGTAAAATTTAGAAAAATATATGTCTAATTTTAATGTTGTTTTTCATAAGAATTTGTATTATTAATTTGTATTATAAACATTAGAATTTTAAGAATTAAATTATATAAACACTTTGCATAGTTTCAAATTTAAAAAATTTTAAATTTAAAAAAATATTCGGCGATTCCCAGTCTTTCTAGTTTTGTGAAATTTGTTTTCTTATAATCGGAAATCTTTCTAGTTTTTCTAAATATCGATGCAATTTTTTTTCTGAGTGTAGAGAAGTCGTAATTAACTTCAAATATATATACATAAATATATATCCTTGCTCAGCTCATTTCAATTCATACAATAGTTGTAGCTATAAATTTGCAAATCCCAACGTTTTTCCAATTAACCACTCCGTCCTTATGTTGAAGGCTCTCTTTCTATTTCTGAATTCAAACAACCTTGTGTCAATAACTTAAAAATGAGTTCTGCTTGGCTTAAAAAGAAAAAAAAAAAAAATCAAAGAACGTGCTCTAGAACCCAGTTGAATTAAAACGTGAACCTTGTGATACACTGCAATTAAAAAAATATATAAAAAAATTAAAAAACATCCAATTTCAAAAATCTAAATTGAGAAAAATCGTGTAAAAGAAACCGTAACGGAATTCGATTGTGGTGATATGAAGCAATTAATATTAGTATCGCTATTCTTAATTCAAGTCGATTAAACTTCAATTTATAATTGATTATTAAATATATATTATCAGTTTAGTCTAGTAAATTTTTAGTTTAATTATAATAATTTTTATATGTCGCCAAAAGAAAAATGCAGTCATATGTTTTTATTGTTTTTTATACCAACATTATTTTCAAGTTTCCCCCAACTTAATGTTATGAGAAAAGCCAAAGATGTCGTTTAACGGGAATAATGGAGGAAAGTTGGGCTCTTGAATTTCATTGCCGAATAAGTTACATACATAATTTTGTGATACATGTAGACATATATATATATATATATGTATATATATATATATATATATATATAAAGAAAAAAATGCAAGTTTAAGACAGCAAGCTGTGGCCACATATTAAGCATCCTCTGAGGAGTGAAACTTATAAACATTATTTAATTGTCTACAGGGACAAAATAAAAAAATCAAATAAAGAGTTATGTATGTATATTGTCAGTTGTAGAGGATGCATATTTAAAGTGCATGTATAATTGAAAATACATAAGCAAAACACACAACAAAAACCCAGTAGAATATTTTTAATAAAGAATCAAATAATATCTTCATATTAAGTTTTGCTTATTTAAATTATGATCAAAGTGCGCGCGCTTTGGAAAAGCTTTTGGTTGTGGTTGAGTGAACTAGCTAATTAGCGCAAAAGCTTTTGTGAACAATGTGGTTAGTGTCTATACTAAACGGCTTAAATTTATATATGCACGAAGGTTAAATTACTGATTTTTAAATAGTTGACTCGAGCTCTCTCTCTTTCTCTCTCTCTCGTGGTTGGTATCTCTGCTAAATGGCTTGAAATTGTGGCTGCTTTAAGCTTAATTACTGATATTTATCTGATTATTTTGATAAATACTCATTATTGTTCCAAATCAATATTAGTTCCAAAAGTCTTACCAAAATATAATTAAATATTTAAATGTGGAGTCCATGCAATGGATCAATAGCCAATTTAAGGTGTTCAGATTCACATGCTGATATTTTGCCTTTGCACAGTTGTCCGATAAACAAACAATAATATAAGCAGAACAAGACAAAATTGTAAACAGAGATTGGCGATGACAACAAAAAACAAAAAAAAAAAAAAATTACCGGCAAAAGCCGAACTCCTGCATGTATGTGTGTGTGTATGTGTACGTGTGCAGATAATTAAAAGCGGGGAATTTCTCAGTGAGCAACAAAACTGCTAGTGTAGATGAGCACACACACAGTTGCGAACAAAATAATAGCACCATTCTCACCAGATATGTTTTAAAATTTTTAAATTTAAGAAACTTATGAATACGTTTTTAGAAGTGGAAGAAGAATCTTCAAAAATAAAATGAGAAAGCAAAACAACATTATTTTGTTTACCCCTTTCAATTTACTTAAATTTAATTTAAATTAATAAAAATTGTAGCAACATTTTTGAAATGTGCACTTATAATTAAGCAAATTATAAACTCTGTCCTGGTGGTGCTATCATTTTGTGCGCAACTGTATTTATATAAGTTGTAAGGCAATTAGAGACAATGCGAGCCGATTTCCAAATGGTTGTGTTCGTCTCACACACAACTATGATACTTAAGGCAGGCTGCGCATTGCGACGAGCTCATTGTGGATCCGAGTGGCGATCGATACGCATCATAAGCGTCTCAAGTCAATCGCGACGCAAAGCTAGGCTTTGATTTACTATGTGTTTGTGCTGATAACAAAGAAAAAAATATTTAATGAGAATTATGTGCAATAAAAAATTATTCTAACAGAATAGAAATATAATAAAACAATTATTGGTTAGCAAGAGAAAACTTTGTATTTAAATTGACAAAAATGACGCGGAATTTAGCGGAACTTTGCTTTTTATTTTGTATACTTCAGTTGGGACTACTCGTCAATGCCGCTGGGTAAGTGAAATAATTGATAGTCTGAGCTCAACAAGGTTATCAATAAGAAATAAATAATAAATAAATAAATTAAAAAGAAACACCATTAACTTAAGTGCATCGAATAAAAATAAATTTTTTTGTTTTGTGATTATCAAAGTGAAAAATAAAACATTTTCAATGTATTTTGAAACCTGTTTTGGGCGCTTCTGTCACATGTAAAGTGTGTGCACACATTTTATTTTATTTTTTTTTTTGTTTTGTCTTGTTATCTCCAGAGCCGAAATGGAGAACATGTATACAAATATGATTAAAAGCGAACGAATAGCGGTAAACATTTTTGGGCAACACTCCTCATCATTTATTCCGATGCCAACGTAAACTTTATCTTATATTGAAAATAGAGCATAGAGTTGGGAGAATAAGAACACGTTATTATATATATATATATATATATATATATATATATATATATATATATATATATATATATATATTTTTTTTTTTTTATAAGTTTATATATTTATAAATATTTGTATATCTTTGTATACTTTTATTTGTTATATATTACTATTAAATTCAAAATCAAGATTGTGTCAATAATATTGTTGGCTAGAGTGGGAGAATAATAATGCGTATATAATAATAATAATAATGCGTTTATTCTTCCACTTCATCAGTTAATATTTTTACCACAATTTATATACCCTGTACCCATTAAGAATATCCTTAATAGAGTATATTCGTGTTGAGCAAAAATATGTAAAAGGCAGAAGGAAGCATCTCTGAGCATATAAAGTATAAATATATCCCCGATCAAGCTTACAGGCAGGTGCTTCCTTTTAATATATATAAAATACCTTAACATCTTATTGATCGACTTAAGAAATTTCATCTATATCAGTCAAGAAATACTCAAGTTGTAGTCGAAAACGTATTCTCATATTGAACTCATTTCACAAATAAGCAAGTGCTTGTGTGAGAAAGGGACGGCATGCTGATCAAAGCAAGCTTAAATATCTTATATATATTTGATAGCTGCCTACAGGGTATAGCGCCGTCGAGAGCTCCCTCAACTATATTCTTACCTGTTAAACCTTAAAATACGACATGAAAGCTGCATTAAATGGGAAGGGAAAAGAAGCTTGAATGATTGAAAAGCAGCAGCATCAAAAATCCGGTTTTATACTTAAAAAAAAAGAAGAAAAACAAACAATAGAATTCGTGCAAGGCCAATTAAAAAAAAATATATATATAAAAAATATATATATAGAATACATATCCATTTACAATTTACAGCCTGTATACGGTGATTGGGCCTGGCACCATCCGCTCCAACTTTAAATACAATGTGGCAGTATCTGTGCACAAAGCGGACGCAAAGAGTCTGATTAAAGTGGGCATCACTGGCCCATCCTTCAATGAGACCAAACAGGTCGAAGTGCAACCAATGTCAACGGTAAATGTTGAATTCGATGTGCCCAAACTGATGAATGGAGATTACAATCTGACAGCGACTGGTATTGAGGGCATACTCTTTGAGAACTCAACGAAACTGAATTATGCGGAAAACAAAGCATCGACTTTTATACAATTGGATAAGGCAACCTATAAACCAGCGGATCTGGTACATTTTCGAGTGCTCTTCCTCGATGAGAATACACGACCAGCTACGATTGACCAGCCCATAACAATTGTGATTAATGATGGTGCCCAGAATCGCATCAAGCAATTATCGGATGTCAAATTAAACCAGGGTATCTATACAGGAGAGCTGCAATTATCGGAACAACCCGTGCTGGGTACATGGAATATTGTGGTCACTTTGGCCGATGAAACTGCGGAAACTAAATCCTTTGAGGTGGCCAAATATGTTTTGCCCAAATTTGAGGTAATTGTGGAATCAGCCAAAGATGTTGCCATACAGGATGGTGTCATTAAGGCCACGATTCGAGCCAAATACACTTATGGCAAACCGGTCAAAGGCAAAGCCACCGTTTCTTTAAAACCAAATTATAATTATTTTGATGACAGTCGTGCCGGCATGGGTCAAATGAAAACCATCGATATCGATGGCAAGGGTCACGTTGAGTTCCCACTGCAGGACATGGAGCAAAATTCACGTTATACGCCTCCGATGAAGATATTTGCTGTGGTCACCGAAGACTTGACGGGTCGGCAGCATAATAGTTCAACAATTGTCAATTTGCATGCGCAACGATATAAAATTGAGGCACTCGATGCACCCAACAATTATCATCCCAACAAATCGTTTATCTACCAATTTGTTGTCAAGAATTTGGATGGTTCCCCCGTGCAAGATGCGACGAAAAAAGCAAAAATCTCCTTTGATGGACCCTTAGGATATTTCCACTTTGAACGAGAGCATCTCAGTGAAAGACGCCGTAATGAGACCGTTGAATTAGAGGCTACCTTGAATGCACATGGTATTGCCACATTTGATTGTTTACTGCCCGAAAATACGTTTCAGTTGTATAGTATTAGAGGTTATTATGCGGACTCCAATTCCTACTTGGGTTCAATTCGAAGATTTCAACCGGAAATTGAACCCACTGTGCCACTGAAAATCCAAATAAACACTAAGAAGTAAGTTGAACAATATATTTTATTTATAATTTAATTTAATATTATTATTATTTTTTGTTGTTTTTTTTTATTATTATTCTTTTCTATAGTCCAAAATTGGGTAAGAGCGTTTCGTTTGATGTGACATCGAATGAACCTATTCCATATTTTCAATACGCGATTGTCGCTCGGGGCAATATTGTGAAAGCGGAGCATGTTGAAGTGCCACAAGGTCGCAAGAACCACACCGTTAAGTTTACACCCACGTTTGCAATGGTGCCACAGGCCTCCATTTATGTCTACTACATCTTTGACAACGAGCTGCGCTTCGAGGAGAAAGCAATCGATTTCGATAAGGATTTTGAGAACTCGGTAAGTATGTACAAATTATGTCTAAATAAAACAAAGACTATATAAATTTTTAACATTTTTTCTTCTTATTTAAAAAAATTATTTCTGATAACAAGAAATATTCTTTAGTTTTCAGGTCGATTTTCTAAAATGTAGGGACATTTTTTTGTTCTGATTGAACTAATTGAATTGTGTTTTGTTCACAGATCGAAATCTCTGCTCCATTGGAAGCGAAGCCCAGCGAAGATGTGAAACTGCAGATCAAAACTGATGCCAATTCGTATGTGGGTCTGCTTGGTGTGGATCAGAGTGTTTTGTTGCTCAAGTCTGGAAATGATTTGAGTCGCGAGGATGTCTTCAGCAGTCTGAACAAGTACAAGACATCGACACCCTGGCAGCGGGGCTATGGTCGCTATCCGGGACAAAATTCGGGTTTGGTCACACTAACAAATGCCAATTATCCTTACAATTTTGGTAAGTTCAGTATTATGGGGAAAAAAATGTGAATAAATCTTTCAATGAAAATAATTCATGCATTGCGGCAAAGCTGATCAAAGAAAAGTTAGAAATAATAATAATGCTAGGGCTAATTTCTAAATCTAAACAAATGAACATGTGAATTTTAGCAACACGTTCATATGATGCGGTTGATGGGAACAGTGATTATTTACTATATCCCGATGTATTAAACGATACATTCGATTTCGAGGATATTCAAGACGATACAGAAACTGAGACAGCTAACGAAGTTAATTTAATACGCGATAATTTCGCAGAGATTTGGATATGGCAATTGGCCACTTTGAGGTGGGTTGTATTGCCAAAACCTACAATCCAATATATATCCTAATTTAAACGCATGACGAGCAACAAATATTAATCAAGTATTAACATTAATTTCATGAGGTTAAGGTACCCACTTCCACATACTCTAGTTAATATGGTTTTGTATTTTTTGTAATGCAGATAGTTTGCCCTACGTTTCATATTTATTAACTGCCATGCAACAGGCAGAGATAAACTCAATCGAATTCAAAATTCAAACACGAAAGGACTTTCCCGACACATGGATATTTAAGCACTACGAAAAGTATGAATTTTGATTATAGATATAGATTATATATATAGATTATGACTAAAAATGTTTTCATTATTTTTGGGGAGTGGCTTAAGTCATTCATTATTATTTTTTTATACGTGTACTAAAAAACCTACACCACTTGTTTTAAGGTCAGCATGACTATTAATCCGTCTCACTGGGAAACCAAGTATGGCTTGGCACAGGACCACAAACTCGAAATGAATTTGCTGTAACTGAAGATATTTTACATGTTTTCAATATTTTTTGGGAATAAAACTAATTGTGTTGTTGACACTCGATCAAAGTATTAGGAAATTTTAAAAAATTTTACATGACGCTCATGTCAATTTAATAATTGTATTTTTTATACAGATACTGAAGTGGAACTTGAAGTAGATAGCCTGGAACTTCCCAGAGATATTGAAAAAATATATATGGTCTCTGTTCAAGATATACAAATACGTAAAGAGTTTCCTCAAAGCTGGATATTCGAACACATTGAGAAGTATGCTGCAAGGTTCTTGGGTAGTTTAGGTTTTCATTTTAATATAATATCCACCCTGAACTGCTTAGTCATTAAGGCTTATGGCTCTCTGCTGAAAGTCTTTAATATTTTTACGCCAATTCGTAATATCGACACCGAAATGTTAATGGAATGTTTTCTGATAATAACATTAATAAAATTTAAAATGTGGCCTAAAGTTGGGGCGGCTTAAATCATTCATATTTTTATTTCTCTTATACATGTACTAAAAAATATACCACTTGTCTTTAGGTGTGCGTCACTACTATGCCGAGCCCCTTCCATTATCAAATGCTATGCTATTTAGAAGGAATATGTATATTGTATCGCCTTATTCAGCGACTAAAGCAAAGCCGGGCACAGGACTGCGAGGAGCAGCGCCTGCTGCCAAAATTGTCCCACAAACTCGAAAAGAATTTCCTGAAACTTGGATATTCCTAAACAATATCACGTAATTGTGAAAATTTCTAAAATACAATGCTTTTTGGGTATAAAACTAACTGCGTTATTCACACTTAGATCTGTATGGAATAAGCGTCAAAAATAACACTTAACACATTATTTAATGTTCATTAAAAGCGTAATTTTTTGTGAACTATTTCCGGGGCTCTTTCATATTACATTTATGTAAAATTAATAATTGAATTTTTTATATGCAGATATCAATCCGGAACTTGCAGTAGATAGACTTGAATTTCCCAGAGATACATATAAAGTACATATGGTATATAAAGAGTTTTCTGAAAGCTGGATATTCGAACACATTGAGAAGTACTCCATGTTCATAATGGCACTAATATTCTTTAAATTGCTCTTAAGCTAGTTTAAGCGGGCTTTTAAGTTTTGTCTAATTTGCCGCAATATTTTTTCTTTATTTGTCTATTATTTGTAATATTTTGAAGAAATTTGGAAGTAGTTAGCTCGGAATTTCGCCTTGCTTATATAATACATAACATTTTTTATTATCTTCGAATACCAAAAAATATATAGAAGTATAAGTGTCTCGTACATTTTGAGGAGTACGTCTGAGTGTTCTTATAGAAGGGCCAACTAAAGTCATTTGAATGTTCTACATTGCTTTATAAAGGCTGGAAAATTAGTATATTCGGAATCACATTTATTCAGTCAAATGACTTAAAATTAGCTTCTGGCCGGGCTTTCATTGAGATTAAAAAAGTTGATCTTCTGTTCTTTTTTCTAGCTCTTATAAAAATTTGTGTAGAGTGAAAATCAATGCTCATTATAACTACATATTTGTATTTAGGATTTCAACTGGAATATATTGAATTTCATACATTTGGGGTGTTGGATTCAGTTGGAATTCCTGTACGTCCAACTCTTCAGCGTCCTGGTTTGCCAGCAGCTCAATTTCCCGGTCCATCTCCTCCAGCAGCCACGCCCCAAATTCGAAAAGAATTCCCAGAAACTTGGATCTTTCAGAATAATATAACGTAATTCCTGAATTTTCTGTATACCCGAGCGATTTTCAGATATATAATATATATATATGTGTGTGTGGGCAAGGCTATAACCCTATAATATTTTATTTTCACTACTAACGATATTTTTAAAATTTTACATTACGTTTATGTAAATTTAATAATTGAATTTTTTATATGCAGGTGCCAATCAGGAAGTTGTAGTAGATAGACTTGAATTTCCCAGAGATACATATAAAGTATATATGGTATATAAAGAGTTTTCTGAAAGCTGGATATTCGAACACATTAAGAAGTATCCAAGGTTTTTGAGTAGTTTAGGTTTTCCCCTTGGTATATTCTCCTGCTACGTAATCCGGCTTATACGTAGTAACTTTACCTACTTTTTCAAAGGCTTGTTGCTCTTTAATCCAATCCACTCTTTTTCCTTGTTTAAACTTTGAAATATTCTTCCTAATATTGAATATCTAAAAGGGCTGCAAAAATAATACTTTAGGAAACACACTCAGTTATATGACTCAAAATACACTGATATTAAAATTAGTTTCTGGAAAGTACTTCAATTAGATTGGAAAAGTCTATCTGGTTTTCTTTTTTTATAAAAGCAAAAACGCTTATCAAAATTGGTGTACACTGAAAATCAATGCTCATTAAAACTACTATTTGTACTTAGATATATATGCACCAATTGAGGAGGAAATTTATACGATTCAATCATTTGAAGTACCGGATTCAGTTGGAATACCTCCAACATTTCAGCGTCCTGGTTTGCCTAATGCTCCACTTCCCGCTCCGTCTTCCCATGCATCCCAAATTCGAAAAGAATTTCCTGAAACTTGGATTTTTCAGAATAATATAACGTAATTCTTGCATTTGCTGTATTTATATATATGTATATATATATATATATATATATATATATATATATATATATGTGGGCAAGGTTATAATCCTTTAGTATTTTATTTCTACTACTAACGATAACTAATTTTAATTTTACATTTCTGCATTTAAAGTAAACAGTATTAAGAAACCGGACTCCGGTTTAATACCCATCATGAAAGTCAGTGGGGAAAGGCATAATTCCAACAAAACTCGTAAAACAACAACAACACAAAAGCCAGCAACAAATACTAATTCTGATAACGATGAAGATAAATCTGCAATAAATTTCTTCATACGCGAAATATTTATGGAAACTTGGATTTTTCAAGGAAATCTGACAAACAAAAAGTACACAAATATTTCGCAAATATTAAAAAACTGACTATACTAACTAACTATTAACTATTAACTTCTATTAAACTATCTTTACTGTTCCATCATATGTACATAAAACTCATTATCAAAAATCATTTCAAATGCTTGTCTGTGCTTATTGTTAAATATGAATGTATATTTTTGAGTATAAAAAACTGACTAATTACATTATATTGCTTCCTTAAATTAGTACCGATGCAGAAGGTCTTACCTTGACTAAAAAGATACCGGATACTATTACTTCATGGGTTGTGACTGGTTTCTCCTTGAATCCAACAACTGGATTTGCCCTCACTCAAAGTCCCAGCAAAATTCGAGTATTTCGTCCATTTTTTGTCTCCACAAATTTGCCACATTCTGTGAAGAACGGTAAGAAATTAATTTTCAATAACTTAAGATTACAGAATTTAATAATATTAAAATATAAAGTTGTGGACAAAATAATAGTATTGCAGCTTCTCAAAGCATTTAATAAACATATGACTTATGGTAATATATATGATTTTATGGTAAAATTATGGTAATAAAATCGAGACATTTTCAAAATCTTCAATGTAAATAAATATTTAATTCTGTTAAACAATAAATTGTTGCTTTCTCATCTGGGAATGTTTTCAAATACTGTTATTAATTTAATAGAAATGCATAAAATTCAATATAAAAATAATCAATTTAAAGACTTTAATCTTATTTATTAATAAATTTTAAAGTTATGCCAACATTTAATGATAACTTATCTTCAGTATTGATCTCTTGAATATTAAATAAAATGTTCATCATTTTTAAACTATATTTTAGGTATTTTTTCGTTAACATTTCAAAGGCATATGTGAGCACTACTATCAGATTGACTGCAGCTGTATATAATATAATAATAATATTATAAAAAAATAATACTTGTCTAATTTAAACAGGTGAGGTCATTGCCATACCTGTCATCATTTTCAACTATATGGATAAGGCACTCGATGCAGAGATTACAATGGATAACTCGGATAAGGAATATGAATTTGCTGAGGCAACCAATGAAGTTGAGGAGAAAGCAATCGATGAAATACGACGAGTTAAACGAGCTACAATCGCCTCGAACAGTGGTCAGAGTGTCTCGTTTATGATTCGGCCCAAGAATGTGGGAACGATCACGCTAAAGATTAATGCAATAACTCCACTGGCAGGTGATGCGATCCAACAGAAATTAAAGGTCGAACCGGAGGGAGTGACAAAGTATGAAAATCGAGCAGTTTTCATCAATCTTAAGGCTGATCAATCAGAAATGCAACACGAACTCGAGGTTGATATTCCCCCAAATTCCGTAAAAAACTCGGAATTTATAGAGTTCTCTGTCGTTGGTGATCTATTGGGTCCTACCATTAAAAATTTGGATAATTTGGTGCGTATGCCCTATGGCTGTGGTGAACAGAATATGGTAAATTTTGTGCCCAATATTCTGGTGCTCAATTATCTGGACGCCACCAGGCGCAAAATGCCCAGCGTTGAGGAAAAGGCGAAAAAATTCCTCGAGATTGGCTATCAGCGTGAGTTGACCTATAAACACGATGATGGCTCCTATAGTGCCTTTGGCAAATCTGATCCTTCGGGCAGCACATGGTTAACTGCGTATGTCATGCGCTCTTTCCACAAGGCTGCCAAATACACCGATGTCGATCCCAAGGTTATAGGAGAAGGCTTGGATTTCCTGGCCTCCAAGCAAAAGGATAATGGCGAGTTTCCCGAAGTGGGCAAATTATTTGATAATTCCTATCAGAATGAATTGGGATTAACATCATTTGTGCTGCTTGCGTTCTTTGAAAATGAAGTAAGTAACTTTTGCTAATCAATCTCAATCAATTTATAATATATGTATTTAAGTCTGATTGGTTTTTTTTTTTGGGTTTTCGTTAATTCATGCAATGTGTGGTGCAGCATTTTGCATTTAAATTTCTCCAGAAATCTTGTAAATATATATCATATATTTACATATTTGTTGTTTTTTTTTTAATTTAAATTGAATAGCCCCTGAAATCTTATAAATATTTCTTATGTTTTTTTTTTAAATTGAAATTTAAATATTAAATTTAATTTTTCATTTAATTTAATTTATATTTAAATATTCCACTCTTGATTTACAGGAAGTGCTATCGAAGTATCAACAAACCATCAACAAGGCCCTGGAATATGTTGCTCAAGAGGTGGACAAGACAGATGATCAATATTCGCTATCGATTGCCGCCGTTGCTCTGCAATTGGCCAAGCATCCGAAGACCAAGCAAGTTTTGGCCAAGTTGGACACTGTTGCCAAGCAGCAAAATGGCCAGAAATGGTGGTCCAAAACCACCGCGAAGAACTCAACGGATGCAGAACGATTGATCAGTTGGCGGCCCAGCACTAGTAACGATATTGAGATTACATCTTATCTGCTGATGGCACTCCTCGAAGAGGAGGCAGCAGAAGCAACGCTGCCCATTGCCAAGTGGTTGATTGCCCAGCGGAACAGCAATGGAGGCTTCTCCTCCACAAAGGACACCGTCGTCGGTCTGGAAGCACTGACTAAGTTTGCAAAGAAGACTGGCTCTGGCAGCGGCACCATTGACATTGATTTCGTTGGGTCTGGGAACGATAAAAATGATAACGATAACGATAACAAGGGTGCTATCAAAGTGAATCCCGAGAACTCACTGGTACTTCAGAGTCACGTTTTGCCCGGCAGCACACGTAAGGTTCGCTTCACAGCCAAGGGTCAGGGTTCGGCAATGGTGCAATTATCCTATCGATATAATATCGCTGACAAAGAGATGAAACCCGCCTTCAAGGTGAGGCCCACTGTTAAGGATACATCCTCGCAGCTGTTGAGTGTGGAGGTGTGTGCCGAGTATGTGCCCCTTGAGTCGAGTAACCAGACCAGTGACTCCAACATGGCCGTCATGGAAATTGCCTTGCCCTCGGGCTACGTCAGCGATGCCGATAGTTTCGATAAAATTGAGGCAGTCGATAGAGTTATGCGCATCGATACCAAGAATTCGGATTCCACGGTAATTGTCTACTTTGACAGCCTGACTCCGGGTGATGTCAAGTGTATCCCGGTGGAGGGCATCCGGGCGCATTTAGTGGCCAAGCAACAACCGGCTGCTGTCTCCCTCTACGACTACTATGAGACAGATCGACGTGCCACGGAGTACTATCAGGTCGCCTCCTCGCTCTGTGACATCTGTGAGGACTCCGATTGTGGTTCGGGTTGTAATAAGCAATAAACAAATGTAATCGTTTCTTTAAAAGTCCATTAACACTTCACCTCCGCGTGGTGTTTAATAAATATTTAAGTGCATTCTAATAATTATGTGTTCGCTCGCACTCGGAACAATACTCGATATTTTTTCCGAGTGCAGCATTGATTTATTTATTTAATATTCAAAGTAGTGAAAGAGTCAATATAAAACGCAACGAGTTCAAATTATAAACTTGAATATTTGAAACCATAAGAAGTCTATTTATAGCAAAAATAATTATAAAAAGAACTGCAATGAGCTAACTATTTTTTATCATTGCAATACATAAGCGATTAGTCAGTTCTTCATTGATTACTTTTATGGCCCATTTTATGTGTATGTCTAAAGATTAAGAGTAAGCCAAGGTATTCCAAGCGATGAACATAAGGATAGAAGGAATATTTACATATGTAATTTTAATAGCTTTAACCAAGAGGACAAGTCTTAAATAAAGACAGGAAATGGAACAGAAAATTCGCTTTAAGTAAACCTTCAGCAACGTTAGCACCGCCAACTGGCTGTTATTGAAGTTTCTCACCAATAGCTGCGCTGCGTGGCATAAAGTACTATCGTTTTATTCAGTACGCAATATAGGTTCTGAACTGCACTGTAGCAGAGTTGTGCACGTATAACACTCACATGAAAATAGAATACGTCAAGGTGTTCCACAATACTGGCTTTTAGCAAAATAACACACCAATGAAACGCAAAGAAAGCAGCACAACCATACCGCTGCTAAGAGATTTATTTTTAATCCTCTAAAGCCGAAGAAATATTGATTTTGTCGGTTACTCCAAACTGCAATTTTCTCTTTTGCGTAAATTAAAATTTGTTTAAGTCTCAGCGAAATTTGTTTTAGAAACCGAAAAATAATTATTTTATTAATCGTTTTCAACTTATTTAAAATTAATTAAAATGAACATACAAAATACATTTTTGGATTGTATGTGTACAAGTATGTAAGGCTACTATAGACAATGCTAGCCGATTTCCAGATTATTGTGTTCGTGTCACACACAAATAGGATACTTAAGGCAGGCTGCGCATCGCGACGAGCTCATTGTGGATCCAAGTGGCGATCGATACGCATCGTAAGCGTCTCAGTCAATCGTCTAAGTCAATCGCATCGTAAATCTGGGCTTTATTTCTCTGTGTTTGTGCTGATAATAAGCAAACAGAATAGTTGCTGTGCATTATGTACCACGAAAAAGATCTCTAAAAGAATAGAGTACAACATAAAACTATTTAAATTGCCAAAATGTCGCGGAATTTAGCAGAATTCTGCTTTTTATTTTGTGCACTTCAATTGGGACTACTCATAAATGCTGCTGGGTAAGTAACAACATGTTTGGGCAACACTCCCCATAATTTATTCTGATGTCAACATTAAATTTATTTTATATTGATGTATAATTACAATTATATTATAAATGATAGCTTTGTGTAATTATTTATTTTATGTGTTTCTATTCATATATTTTAAGTATTTAAATTTATTAAGCCTAGTGTACCCATTAAAAAAGGTATTCTCGTTTTGTGAAAAGTATGTAACAGGCAGAAGGAAGCATCTCCGAGCCCATATATTCATGATCAGACTGAACAGCCGAGTCGATACAGCCTTGTCTACAGATACTATGAGAGCTGGAGACTTAAAATTCGTTATATAAACACTTGTATATCCCGGGTAGATCAAGTTTGCATCAATTTTTCGATAACTACTTCTGTTTATAGCTGCTTACAGGGTATATCCCAGTCCAGAGCTCCTTCGACTAAAACATTCTTAATTCCTGTTTTTACTTAAAATATGACACGAAAGCTGCGTTAAAAAGAGAAAAAGAGGAGGGAAGTAGCTTTAAAGAATCCGGTTTTGCACATGAGAAAAAATATTATAGAATGCAACTGGTAAATATATTTATAGAACACATCCATTTCCATTTACAATTTTCAGCCTGTATACGGTGATTGGGCCTGGCACCATCCGCTCCAACTTTAAATACAATGTGGCAGTATCTGTGCACAAAGCGGACGCAAAGAGTCTGATTAAAGTGGGCATCACTGGCCCATCCTTCAATGAGACCAAACAGGTCGAAGTGCAACCAATGTCAACGGTAAATGTTGAATTCGATGTGCCCAAATTAATGTATGGAGCATATAGTCTGACTGCCACTGGTATTGAGGGCATTATATTTGAGAACTCAACGGAACTGAATTATAAGAAAAACACAGCATCGACTTTTATACAATTTGATAAGGCAACCTATAAACCAGCGGATCTGGTACAGTTTCGAGTGCTCTTCCTCGATGAGAATACACGACCAGCCACGATTGACCAGCCCATAACAATTTTGATTAATGATGGTGCCCAGAATCGTATCAAGCAATTATCGGATGTCAAATTAAACCAGGGCATCTATACAGGACAGCTGCAATTATCGGAACAACCCGTGCTGGGTACGTGGAATATTGTGGTCACTTTGGCCGATGAAACTGCGGAAACTAAATCCTTTGAGGTGGCCAAATATGTTTTGCCCAAATTTGAGGTCATTGTGGAATCAGCAAAAGATGTTGCCATACAGGATGGTGTCATTAAGGCCACGATTCGAGCCAAATATACCTATGGCAAACCGGTCAAAGGCAAAGCCACCGTTTCTCTAAAACCCAATGATGCTTATTTGGATGACGCTGACGGTAGAATGGATCAAATTAAAAGCATCGATATCGATGGCAAGGCCCACATTGAGTTCCCACTTCAGCCAAATTCACGTTCTACGCCTCCTTTGGAAATATTTGCTGTGGTCACCGAAGATTTGACGGGTCGGCAGCATAATAGTTCGACAATTGTCAATTTGCATGCGCAACGACATAAAATTGAGGCACTCGATGCACCCAACAATTATCATCCCAACAAATCGTTTATCTATCAATTTGTTGTCAAGAATTTGGATGGTTCCCCCGTGCAAGATGCGACGAAAAAAGCAAAAATCTGCTTCGAGCACAATAATGAAATCGTTGAATTTGAGGCAACCTTGATTGAACATGGTATTGCCACATTTAATTGTATACTGTCGGCAAATACGTTGCAGTATAGCATTACGGGCTATTATGCAAACTCCAATTCCTCCTTGGGTTCGATTCAAAGATTTCAACCGGAAATTGACTCCGCTGTGCCACTGAAAATCCAAATAAACACAAAAACGTAAGTTGAACAATATATTTATTTAAAATTTAATTTGATATTATTATTATTATTGTTTGTTAATTTTTTATTATTATTATTTTTAGTCCAAAATTGGGTAAGAGTGTTTCGTTTGATGTGACATCGAATGAACCTATTCCATATTTTCAATACGCGATTGTCGCTCGGGGCAATATTGTGAAAGCGGAGCATGTTGAAGTGCCACAAGGTCGCAAGAACCACACCGTTAAGTTTACACCCACGTTTGCAATGGTGCCACAGGCCTCCATTTATGTCTACTACATCTTTGACAACGAGCTGCGCTTCGAGGAGAAAGCAATCGATTTCGATAAGGATTTTGAGAACTCGGTAAGTATGTACAAATTATGTCTAAATAAAACAAAGACTATATAAATTTTTAACATTTTTTCTTCTTATTTAAAAAAATTATTTCTGATAACAAGAAATATTCTTTAGTTTTCAGGTCGATTTTCTAAAATGTAGGGACATTTTTTTGTTCTGATTGAACTAATTGAATTGTGTTTTGTTCACAGATCGAAATCTCTGCTCCATTGGAAGCGAAGCCCAGCGAAGAAGTGAAACTGCAGATCAAAACTGATGCCAATTCGTATGTGGGTCTGCTTGGTGTGGATCAGAGTGTTTTGTTGTTCAAGTCTGGAAATGATTTGACTCGTGAGGATGTCTTCAGCAGTCTGAATAAGTACAAGACAACGACACCCTGGCAGCAAGGCAGCTATGATCCCTATCCGGGAGAATTTTCGGGTTTGGTCACACTGACAAATGCCAATTATCCCTATAATTGGGGTAAGTTCAATATTATGATTCGGGGAAAGATATGAATCTTTCAATGAGAAGAATTTATGCATTTTATTAAGTGTCACCATGCAACAGGTAGGGATATACTCAATTGAATACAAAATTCAAAATCGAAAGGAATTTCCTAACTAACTGCTTTTGTCATACTCACATCTGTATGGAATAAGTGTCAAAAATAATACTTAACACATCAATTAACAGTCATTAAACGCTTCACTTTTTGCGAACAATTTTTGGATCAAAGTATTAAGAATTCTTCAAAATTATTGCATTTAAGTTATGTAAATTTGATAAATGTATTTTTAATTCAGATGCAGATGTCGATCCGGAACTTGTAGTAGATGGACAGGAGTTTCCCAAAGATACTTATAAGGGATATATGGTCGTACGTAAGGAGTTTCCAGAAAGCTGGATATTCGAACACGTTGAGAAGTATGCAAGGCTTTTGGGTAGCTTAGGTTTTCTTCTTGATATGTTCTCCTTCTAAGTCATAATTTTATACGTAGTCACTTTACCTACTTTTTTTTTATAGGATTGTGGCTCTTTAATTTAATCCACTCTTTTTCCTTGTTTAAACTTTGAAATATTCTTTCTAATATTGACACTGAAATCTTAATGAAATGTTTTTTTTCTTTAACATTGAATAACAAAATAAGTTATTGAAGGTTCGATTTTTTGGTAAATCTCGAAAAGTATGTCTGAGGTTTCTTATGTAACGGGTTTTCCATTTTAGCTTCACTTATATTTTGGTCGTTTGCCCAACATCAGCAATTAAAGTTATTTAACTGTTATACTTTCCTCAGTAGGGGCTGCAAAACATTTAGTATTTTTGGAAACACATTTATTCTGTCAAATGACTTAAAATGTACTGATGTTAAAATTATAATTAGAAAAGTTTATCTTAATTTCTTTTTTGCACTTAAACAAATTTGTGTAGACTGAAAGTAAATTTTCATTAAAACTACCTTTTCATACTTAGGTTTAGAAGAATTTCTAGCGGAACTTCATACGGTTGAAGTTGAAGATTCAGCCGGAATTCCTGGACCTCCGGCACTTCAGCGTCCTGCAGCTACGTCCCAAATTCGAAAGGAATTCCCCGAAACTTGGATTTTTCAGAATAATATAACGTAATTCATTCATTTTCTGAATACCTACGGGAAGGCTATAATCCAATAATACTTTATTTCTACTACTAATGATAACTTAGTTTAGTTATACATTTCTACATTTAAAGTCAACAGTGTGGAAAGGTTGAATTTCAACAAAACTCGTAAAACAACAACAACACAAAAGCCAACAACAAATACTAATTCTGATAACGATGAAGATAAATCTGCAACAAATTTCTTCATACGCGAAATATTTATGTAAGCTTGGATTTTTTTAAAATCATTCAAATGCTTGTCTGTGCTTATTGTTAAATATTAATGTATATTTTTGAGTATAAAAAACTGACTAATTATATTATATTGCTTCCTTAAATTAGTACCGATGCAGAAGGTCTTACCTTGACTAAAAAGATACCGGATACTATTACTTCATGGGTTGTGACTGGTTTCTCCTTGAATCCAACAACTGGATTTGCCCTCACTCAAAGTCCCAGCAAAATTCGAGTATTTCGTCCATTTTTTGTCTCCACAAATTTGCCACATTCTGTGAAGAACGGTAAGAAATTAGTTTTCAATAACTTAAGATTACAGAATTTAATAATATTAAAATATAAGGTTACGGCCCAAATAGTAGTACTGCTGCTTCTCAAAGTATTTAATAAACATATGACTTATGGTAATATATATGATTTTATGGTAATAAAATCGAGACATTTTCAAAATCTTCAATGTAAATAAATATTTAATTCTGCTAAACAATAAATTGTTGTTCTCATCTGGGAATGTTTTCAAATACTGTTATTAATTTAATAGAAATGCATAAAATTCAATATAAAAATAATCAATTTAAAGACTTTAATCTTATTTGTTAATAAATTTTAAAGTTATGCCAACATTTAATGATAACTTATCTTCAGTATTGATTGCTTGTATATTAAATAAAATGTTCATCATTTTTAAACTATATTTTAGGTATTTTTTCGTTAACATTTCAAAGGCATATGTGAGCACTACTATCAGATTGACTGCAGCTGTATATAATATAATAATAATATTATAAAAAAATAATACTTGTCTAATTTAAACAGGTGAGGTCATTGCCATACCTGTCATCATTTTCAACTATATGGATAAGGCACTCGATGCAGAGATTACAATGGATAACTCGGATAAGGAATATGAATTTGCTGAGGCAACCAATGAAGTTGAGGAGAAAGCAATCGATGAAATACAACGAGTTAAACGAGCTACAATCGCCTCGAACAGTGGTCAGAGTGTCTCGTTTATGATTCGGCCCAAGAATGTGGGAACGATCACGCTAAAGATTAATGCAATAACTCCACTGGCAGGTGATGCGATCCAACAGAAATTAAAGGTCGAACCGGAGGGAGTGACAAAGTATGAAAATCGAGCAGTTTTCATCAATCTTAAGGCTGATCAATCGGAAATGCAACACGAACTCGAGGTTGAAATTCCCCCACATTCCGTAAAAGACTCGGAACTTATAGAGTTCTCTGTCGTTGGTGATCAAGTGGGTCTCGTCATCAATAATTTGGATAATTTGGTGCGTATGCCCTATGGCTGTGGTGAACAGAATATGGTAAATTTTGTGCCCAATATTCTGGTCCTCAATTATCTGGAAGCGACCAGCCGCAAAATGCCCAGCGTTGAGGAAAAGGCGAAAAAATTCCTCGAGATTGGCTATCAGCGTGAGTTGACCTATAAACACGATGATGGCTCCTATAGTGCCTTTGGCAAATCTGATCCTTCGGGCAGCACATGGTTAACTGCGTATGTCATGCGCTCTTTCCACAAGGCTGCCAAATATACCGAAGTGGATCGCAAGGTTATAGGAGAAGGCTTGGATTTCCTGGCCTCCAAGCAAAAGGATAATGGCGAGTTTCTCGAAGTGGGCAAATTATTTGATAATTCCTATCAGTATGAATTGGGATTAACATCATTTGTGCTGCTTGCGTTCTTTGAAAATGAAGTAAGTAACTTTTGCTAATCAATCTCAATCAATTTATAATATATGTATTTAAGTCTGATTGGTTTTTTTTTTTGGGTTTTCGTTAATTCATGCAATGTGTGGTGCAGCATTTTGCATTTAAATTTCTCCAGAAATCTTGTAAATATATATCATATATTTACATATTTGTTGTTTTTTAATTTAAATTGAATAGCCCCTGAAATCTTATAAATATTTCTTATGTTTTTTTTTAAAATTGAAATTTAAATATTAAATTTAATTTTTCATTTAATTTAATTTATATTTAAATATTCCACTCTTGATTTACAGGAAGTGCTATCGAAGTATCAACAAACCATCAACAAGGCCCTGGAATATGTTGCTCAAGAGGTGGACAAGACAGATGATCAATATTCGCTATCGATTGCCGCCGTTGCTCTGCAATTGGCCAAGCATCCGAAGACCAAGCAAGTTTTGGCCAAGTTGGACACTGTTGCCAAGCAGCAAAATGGCCAGAAATGGTGGTCCAAAACCACCGCGAAGAACTCAACGGATGCAGAACGATTGATCAGTTGGCGGCCCATCACTAGTAACGATATTGAGATTACATCTTATCTGCTGATGGCACTCCTCGAAGAGGAGGCAGCAGAAGCAACGCTGCCCATTGCCAAGTGGTTGATTGCCCAGCGGAACAGCAATGGAGGCTTCTCCTCCACAAAGGACACCGTCGTCGGTCTGGAAGCACTGACTAAGTTTGCCAAGAAGACTGGCTCTGGCAGCGGCACCATTGACATTGATTTCAATGGGTCTGGGAACGATAAAAATGATAACGATAACGATAACAAGGGCACTATCAAAGTGAATCCCGAGAACTCACTGGTACTTCAGAGTCACGTTTTGCCCGGCAGCACACGTAAGGTTCGCTTCACAGCCAAGGGTCAGGGTTCGGCAATGGTGCAATTATCCTATCGATATAATATCGCTGACAAAGAGATGAAACCCGCCTTCAAGGTGAGGCCCACTGTTAAGGATACATCCTCGCTGCTGTTGAGTGTGGAGGTGTGTGCCGAGTATGTGCCCCTTGAGTCGAGTAACCAGACCAGTGACTCCAACATGGCCGTCATGGAAATTGCCTTGCCCTCGGGCTACGTCAGCGATGCCGATAGTTTCGATAAAATTGAGGCAGTCGATAGAGTTATGCGCATCGATACCAAGAACTCGGATTCCACGGTAATGGTCTACTTTAACAGCCTGACTCCGGGTGATGTCAAGTGTATCCCGGTGGAGGGCATCCGGGTGCATTTAGTGGCCAAGCAACAACCGGCTGCTGTCTCCCTCTACGACTACTATGAGACAGATCGACGTGCCACGGAGTACTATCAGGTCGCCTCCTCGCTCTGTGACATCTGTGAGGACTCCGATTGTGGTTCGGGTTGTAATAAGCAATAAACAAATGTAATCGTTTCTTTAAAAGTCCATTAACACTTCACCTCCGCGTGGTGTTTAATAAATATTTAAGTGCATTCTAATAATTATGTGTTCGCTCGCACTCGGAACAATACTCGATATTTTTTCCGAGTGCAGCATTGATTTATTTATTTAATATTCAAAGTAGTGAAAGAGTCAATATAAAACGCAACGAGTTCAAATTATAAACTTGAATATTTGAAACCATAAGAAGTCTATTTATAGCAAAAATAATTATAAAAAGAACTGCAATGAGCTAACTATTTTTTATCATTGCAATACATAAGCGATTAGTCAGTTCTTCATTGATTACTTTTATGGCCCATTTTATGTGTATGTCTAAAGATTAAGAGTAAGCCAAGGTATTCCAAGCGATGAACATAAGGATAGAAGGAATATTTACATATGTAATTTTAATAGCTTTAACCAAGAGGACAAGTCTTAAATAAAGACAGGAAATGGAACAGAAAATTCGCTTTAAGTAAACCTTCAGCAACGTTAGCACCGCCATCCGGCTGTTATTGAAGTTTCTCACCAATAGCTGCGCTGCGTGGCATAAAGTACTATCGTTTTATTCAGTACGCAATATAGGTTCTGAACTGCACTGTAGCAGAGTTGTGCACGTATAACACTCACATGAAAATAGAATACGTCAAGGTGTTCCACAATACTGGCTTTTAGCAAAATAACACACCAATGAAACGCAAAGAAAGCAGCACAACCATACCGCTGCTAAGAGATTTATTTTTAATCCTCTAAAGCCGAAGAAATATTGATTTTGTCGGTTACTCCAAACTGCAATTTTCTCTTTTGCGTAAATTAAAATTTGTTTAAGTCTCAGCGAAATTTGTTTTAGAAACCGAAAAATAATTATTTTATTAATCGTTTTCAACTTATTTAAAATTAATTAAAATGAACATACAAAATACATTTTTGGATTGTATGTGTACAAGTATGTAAGGCTACTATAGACAATGCTAGCCGATTTCCAGATTATTGTGTTCGTGTCACACACAAATAGGATACTTAAGGCAGGCTGCGCATCGCGACGAGCTCATTGTGGATCCAAGTGGCGATCGATACGCATCGTAAGCGTCTCAGTCAATCGTCTAAGTCAATCGCATCGTAAATCTGGGCTTTATTTCTCTGTGTTTGTGCTGATAATAAGCAAACAGAATAGTTGCTGTGCATTATGTACCACGAAAAAGATCTCTAAAAGAATAGAGTACAACATAAAACTATTTAAATTGCCAAAATGTCGCGGAATTTAGCAGAATTCTGCTTTTTATTTTGTGCACTTCAATTGGGACTACTCATAAATGCTGCTGGGTAAGTAACAACATGTTTGGGCAACACTCCCCATAATTTATTCTGATGTCAACATTAAATTTATTTTATATTGATGTATAATTACAATTATATTATAAATGATAGCTTTGTGTAATTATTTATTTTATGTGTTTCTATTCATATATTTTAAGTATTTAAATTTATTAAGCCTAGTGTACCCATTAAAAAAGGTATTCTCGTTTTGTGAAAAGTATGTAACAGGCAGAAGGAAGCATCTCCGAGCCCATATATTCATGATCAGACTGAACAGCCGAGTCGATACAGCCTTGTCTACAGATACTATGAGAGCTGGAGACTTAAAATTCGTTATATAAACACTTGTATATCCCGGGTAGATCAAGTTTGCATCAATTTTTCGATAACTACTTCTGTTTATAGCTGCTTACAGGGTATATCCCAGTCCAGAGCTCCTTCGACTAAAACATTCTTAATTCCTGTTTTTACTTAAAATATGACACGAAAGCTGCGTTAAAAAGAGAAAAAGAGGAGGGAAGTAGCTTTAAAGAATCCGGTTTTGCACATGAGAAAAAATATTATAGAATGCAACTGGTAAATATATTTATAGAACACATCCATTTCCATTTACAATTTTCAGCCTGTATACGGTGATTGGGCCTGGCACCATCCGCTCCAACTTTAAATACAATGTGGCAGTATCTGTGCACAAAGCGGACGCAAATAGTCTGATTAAAGTGGGCATCACTGGTCCATCCTTCAATGAGACCAAACAGGTCGAAGTGCAACCAATGTCAATGGTAAATGTTGAATTCGATGTGCCCAAATTAATGTATGGAGCATATAGTCTGACTGCCACTGGTATTGAGGGCATTATATTTGAGAACTCAACGGAACTGAATTATAAGAAAAACACAGCATCGACTTTTATACAATTTGATAAGGCAACCTATAAACCAGCGGATCTGGTACAGTTTCGAGTGCTCTTCCTCGATGAGAATACACGACCAGCCACGATTGACCAGCCCATAACAATTTTGATTAATGATGGTGCCCAGAATCGTATCAAGCAATTATCGGATGTCAAATTAAACCAGGGCATCTATACAGGACAGCTGCAATTATCGGAACAACCCGTGCTGGGTACGTGGAATATTGTGGTCACTTTGGCCGATGAAACTGCGGAAACTAAATCCTTTGAGGTGGCCAAATATGTTTTGCCCAAATTTGAGGTCATTGTGGAATCAGCAAAAGATGTTGCCATACAGGATGGTGTCATTAAGGCCACGATTCGAGCCAAATATACCTATGGCAAACCGGTCAAAGGCAAAGCCACCGTTTCTCTAAAACCCAATGATGCTTATTTGGATGACGCTGACGGTAGAATGGATCAAATTAAAAGCATCGATATCGATGGCAAGGCCCACATTGAGTTCCCACTTCAGCCAAATTCACGTTCTACGCCTCCTTTGGAAATATTTGCTGTGGTCACCGAAGATTTGACGGGTCGGCAGCATAATAGTTCGACAATTGTCAATTTGCATGCGCAACGACATAAAATTGAGGCACTCGATGCACCCAACAATTATCATCCCAACAAATCGTTTATCTATCAATTTGTTGTCAAGAATTTGGATGGTTCCCCCGTGCAAGATGCGACGAAAAAAGCAAAAATCTGCTTCGAGCACAATAATGAAATCGTTGAATTTGAGGCAACCTTGATTGAACATGGTATTGCCACATTTAATTGTATACTGTCGGCAAATACGTTGCAGTATAGCATTACGGGCTATTATGCAAACTCCAATTCCTCCTTGGGTTCGATTCAAAGATTTCAACCGGAAATTGACTCCGCTGTGCCACTGAAAATCCAAATAAACACAAAAACGTAAGTTGAACAATATATTTATTTAAAATTTAATTTGATATTATTATTATTATTGTTTGTTAATTTTTTATTATTATTATTTTTAGTCCAAAATTGGGTAAGAGTGTTTCGTTTGATGTGACATCGAATGAACCTATTCCATATTTTCAATACGCGATTGTCGCTCGGGGCAATATTGTGAAAGCGGAGCATGTTGAAGTGCCACAAGGTCGCAAGAACCACACCGTTAAGTTTACACCCACGTTTGCAATGGTGCCACAGGCCTCCATCTATGTCTACTACATCTCTGACAACGAGCTGCGCTTCGAGGAGAAAGCAATCGATTTCGACAAGGATTTCGAGAACTCTGTGAGTATACAGAAACAACTCAGAAAAAGATGGCACTAGATTTTAGAAAATGCTGACCAAGCATATGAGTCTGAACTTTAATAGGTTGAACATTTTAACAAATTCTACAGTTAAAAGAAAAATCTCCCTCGAATTTTATAAAATCTGCCTTTGGTACCTCAACTTTCTTCTTAATGTCAGGGTTAATTTTTCTTAAATTTAGAAAAAAATATATGACTCATTTTGAAGATTTTTTTTATATGTGTATAAAAAACTCAAAAGCTTTTTTGTTGTTTGCTTATGTAAACAAACATTTTAGACAGTCAATTCAATTAATTTAATTTGAGAAATATCCGCCTATAAGCCAGAGCACAGCTAAATTCTAATATAAAATCTTAATTAGTAAATTTCGTATATAAATATATTTCAAAAATCAAAAAAAAAAAAAACAAGTCTTGCTAATTTTTAGAAATTTATTTTTCTATTAATATAAATTTATTATCTTCTTTTTAGAAATTAAGTTTAGTTTTAAGAATTCATTTCTTCATAATAGAAAATATATATAAAGAAATAAAATATAAAACCACCATATTATTGAGATTATCACGTTAGGACAAGCTTTTCAAATTTTTAGAAATTTTTATTTTTATTTTTAAAAGTTATTTTTAAATACAAGAAAACTCCCTATTTTTCAGGCTATTTTTTTGATTGAACTAATTGAATTGTGTTTTGTTCACAGATCGAAATCTCTGCTCCATTGGAAGCGAAGCCCAGCGAAGAAGTGAAACTGCAGATCAAAACTGATGCCAATTCGTATGTGGGTCTGCTTGGTGTAGATCAGAGTGTTTTGTTGTTCAAGTCTGGAAATGATTTGACTCGCGAGGATGTCTTCAGCAGTCTGAATAAGTACAAGACAACGACACCCTGGCAGCAAGGCAGCTATGATCCCTATCCGGGAGAATTTTCGGGTTTGGTCACACTGACAAATGCCAATTATCCCTATAATTGGGGTAAGTTCAATATTATGATTCGGGGAAAGATATGAATCTTTCAATGAGAAGAATTTATGCATTTTATTAAGTGTCACCATGCAACAGGTAGGGATATACTCAATTGAATACAAAATTCAAAATCGAAAGGAATTTCCTAACTAACTGCTTTTGTCATACTCACATCTGTATGGAATAAGTGTCAAAAATAATACTTAACACATCAATTAACAGTCATTAAACGCTTCACTTTTTGCGAACAATTTTTGGATCAAAGTATTAAGAATTCTTCAAAATTATTGCATTTAAGTTATGTAAATTTGATAAATGTATTTTTAATTCAGATGCAGATGTCGATCCGGAACTTGTAGTAGTTTGACAGGAGTTTCCCAAAGATACTTATAAGGGATATATGGTCGTACGTAAGGAGTTTCCAGAAAGCTGGATATTCGAACACGTTGAGAAGTATGCAAGGCTTTTGGGTAGCTTAGGTTTTCTTCTTGATATGTTCTCCTTCTAAGTCATAATTTTATACGTAGTCACTTTACCTACTTTTTTTTATAGGATTGTGGCTCTTTAATCTAATCCACTCTTTTTCCTTGTTTAAGCCTTGAAATATTCTTTCTAATATTGACACTGAAATCTTAATGAAATGTTTTTTTTCTTTAACATTGAATAACAAAATTAGTTATTGAAGGTTCGATTTTTTGGTAAATCTCGAAAAGTATGTCTGAGGTTTCTTATGTAACGGGTTTTCCATTTTAGCTTCACTTATATTTTGGTCGTTTGCCCAACATCAGCAATTAAAGTTATTTAACTGTTATACTTTCCTCAGTAGGGGCTGCAAAACATTTAGTATTTTTGGAAACACATTTATTCTGTCAAATGACTTAAAATGTACTGATGTTAAAATTATAATTAGAAAAGTTTATCTTAATTTCTTTTTTGCACTTAAGAAAATTTGTATAGACTGAATGCCAATGCTCATTAAAACTTTCTATTTATACTTAGATGTTGAGGAAGAATTTTATACGGTTGAAGCTGAAGAGTCAGCAGCCACGTCCCAAATTCGAAAGGAATTCCCTGAAACTTGGATTTTTCAGAATAATATAACGTAATTCTTTCATTTTCTGAATACCTAAGGGAAGGCTATAATCCAATAATAATTGTTTTTTACTACTAACGATACATTTAAAGACAACAGTATTAAGAAACTGGACTTGGGTTTAATACCCATTATGAAAGTCAGTGTGGAAAGGTTGAATTTCAACAAAACTCGTAAAACAACAACAACACAAAAGCCAACAACAAATACTAATTCTGATAACGATGAAGATAAATCTGCAACAAATTTCTTCATACGCGAAACATTTATGTAAACTTGGATTTTTCAAGGAAATCTGACAACCAAAAAGTACACAAATATTTCGCAAATATTAAAAAACTGACTATACTAACTAACTATTAACTATTAACTTCTATTAAACTATCTTTACTGTTCCATCATATGTACATAATACTCATTATCAAAAATCATTTCAAATGCTTGTGCTGTGCTTATTGTTAAATATTAATGTATATTTTTGAGTATAAAAAACTGACTAATTATATTATATTGCTTCCTTAAATTAGTACCGATGCAGAAGGTCTTACCTTGACTAAAAAGATACCGGATACTATTACTTCATGGGTTGTGACTGGTTTCTCCTTGAATCCAACAACTGGATTTGCCCTCACTCAAAGTCCCAGCAAAATTCGAGTATTTCGTCCATTTTTTGTCTCCACAAATTTGCCACATTCTGTGAAGAACGGTAAGAAATTAGTTTTCAATAACTTAAGATTACAGAATTTAATAATATTAAAATATAAGGTTACGGCCCAAATAGTAGTACTGCTGCTTCTCAAAGTATTTAATAAACATATGACTTATGGTAATATATATGATTTTATGGTAATAAAATCGAGACATTTTCAAAATCTTCAATGTAAATAAATATTTAATTCTGCTAAACAATAAATTGTTGCTTTCTCATCTGGGAATGTTTTCAAATACTGTTATTAATTTAATAGAAATGCATAAAATTCAATATAAAAATAATCAATTTAAGGACTTTAATCTTATTTGTTAATAAATTTTAAAGTTATGCCAACATTTAATGATAACTTATCTTCAGTATTGATTGCTTGAATATTAAATAAAATGTTCATCATTTTTAAACTATATTTTAGGTATTTTTTCGTTAACATTTCAAAGACATATGTGAGCACTACTATCAGATTGACTGCAGCTGTATATAATATAATAATAATATTATAAAAAAATAATACTTGTCTAATTTAAACAGGTGAGGTCATTGCCATACCTGTCATCATTTTCAACTATATGGATAAGGCACTCGATGCAGAGATTACAATGGATAACTCGGATAAGGAATATGAATTTGCTGAGGCAACCAATGAAGTTGAGGAGAAAGCAATCGATGAAATACAACGAGTTAAACGAGCTACAATCGCCTCGAACAGTGGTCAGAGTGTCTCGTTTATGATTCGGCCCAAGAATGTGGGAACGATCACGCTAAAGATTAATGCAATAACTCCACTGGCAGGTGATGCGATCCAACAGAAATTAAAGGTCGAACCGGAGGGAGTGACAAAGTATGAAAATCGAGCAGTTTTCATCAATCTTAAGGCTGATCAATCGGAAATGCAACACGAACTCGAGGTTGAAATTCCCCCACATTCCGTAAAAGACTCGGAACTTATAGAGTTCTCTGTCGTTGGTGATCAAGTGGGTCTCGTCATCAATAATTTGGATAATTTGGTGCGTATGCCCTATGGCTGTGGTGAACAGAATATGGTAAATTTTGTGCCCAATATTCTGGTCCTCAATTATCTGGAAGCGACCAGCCGCAAAATGCCCATCGTTGAGGCAAAGGCGAAAAAATTCCTCGAGATTGGCTATCAGCGTGAGTTGACCTATAAACACGATGATGGCTCCTATAGTGCCTTTGGCAAATCTGATCCTTCGGGCAGCACATGGTTAACTGCGTATGTCATGCGCTCTTTCCACAAGGCTGCCAAATACACCGATGTCGATCCCAAGGTTATAGGAGAAGGCTTGGATTTCCTGGCCTCCAAGCAAAAAGATAATGGCGAGTTTCCCGAAGTGGGCAAATTATTTGATAATTCCTATCAGAATGAATTGGGATTAACATCATTTGTGCTGCTTGCGTTCTTTGAAAATGAAGTAAGTAACTTTTGCTAATCAATCTCAATCAATTTATAATATATGTATTTAAGTCTGATTGGTTTTTTTTTTTGGGTTTTCGTTAATTCATGCAATGTGTGGTGCAGCATTTTGCATTTAAATTTCTCCAGAAATCTTGTAAATATATATCATATATTTACATATTTGTTGTTTTTTTTTTAATTTAAATTGAATAGCCCCTGAAATCTTATAAATATTTCTTATGTTTTTTTTTTAAATTGAAATTTAAATATTAAATTTAATTTTTCATTTAATTTAATTTATATTTAAATATTCCACTCTTGATTTACAGGAAGTGCTATCGAAGTATCAACAAACCATCAACAAGGCCCTGGAATATGTTGCTCAAGAGGTGGACAAGACAGATGATCAATATTCGCTATCGATTGCCGCCGTTGCTCTGCAATTGGCCAAGCATCCGAAGACCAAGCAAGTTTTGGCCAAGTTGGACACTGTTGCCAAGCAGCAAAATGGCCAGAAATGGTGGTCCAAAACCACCGCGAAGAACTCAACGGATGCAGAACGATTGATCAGTTGGCGGCCCAGCACTAGTAACGATATTGAGATTACATCTTATCTGCTGATGGCACTCCTCGAAGAGGAGGCAGCAGAAGCAACGCTGCCCATTGCCAAGTGGTTGATTGCCCAGCGGAACAGCAATGGAGGCTTCTCCTCCACAAAGGACACCGTCGTCGGTCTGGAAGCACTGACTAAGTTTGCCAAGAAGACTGGCTCTGGCAGCGGCACCATTGACATTGATTTCGTTAGGTCTGGGAACGATAAAAATGATAACGATAACGATAACAAGGGCACTATCAAAGTGAATCCCGAGAACTCACTGGTACTTCAGAGTCACGTTTTGCCCGGCAGCACACGTAAGGTTCGCTTCACAGCCAAGGGTCAGGGTTCGGCAATGGTGCAATTATCCTATCGATATAATATCGCTGACAAAGAGATGAAACCCGCCTTCAAGGTGAGGCCCACTGTTAAGGATACATCCTCGCAGCTGTTGAGTGTGGAGGTGTGTGCCGAGTATGTGCCCCTTGAGTCGAGTAACCAGACCAGTGACTCCAACATGGCCGTCATGGAAATTGCCTTGCCCTCGGGCTACGTCAGCGATGCCGATAGTTTCGATAAAATTGAGGCAGTCGATAGAGTTATGCGCATCGATACCAAGAACTCGGATTCCACGGTAATGGTCTACTTTAACAGCCTGACTCCGGGTGATGTCAAGTGTATCCCGGTGGAGGGCATCCGGGCGCATCTGGTGGCCAAGCAACAACCGGCTGCTGTCTCCCTCTACGACTACTATGAGACAGATCGACGTGCCACGGAGTACTATCAGGTCGCCTCCTCGCTCTGTGACATCTGTGAGGGCTCCGATTGTGGTTCGGGTTGTAATAAGAAATAAACAAATGTAATCGTTTCTTTAAAAGTCCATTAACACTTCACCTCCGCGTGGTGTTTAATAAATATTTAAGTGCATTCTAATAATTATGTGTTCGATGTGTCCGAGTGCAGCATTGATTTATTTGTTCAATATCCAATATATTGAGAGAGTCAATATAAAACGCAACGAGTTCAAATCATAAACTTTAATATTTTAAACTCAAAAAAGTCTATTTACAGCAATAACATTTTTAGAAACAACTGCAATGAACTAACTGTTTATTATCATTGCAGTACATAAGCGATACAAGCGATTAGTGAGTTATTCATTGATTACTTTTATGGCCCATTTGTTGTGTATCAACAATGCGGAATTTGGCTAGAGATTAACAGTAAGCCAAGGAATTCCAAGCGATAAACATGAGGCTAGACGCAATATTTACTTTTGTAATTTTAATAGCACAATCTAAGGAAACAAGTCTTAAACAGAAACAGGAAAAGGAGCAGAAAATTCGCTATGACAACTACAGAGTCTTTAAGATTAAGTATGAAAGCCTTCAGCAACGTCAGCTGCTGCTTGAGCTGACAAAACAATATCATAGTGTAAGTAGTTTATTGATAAATTAAAATAAAAATGTTGAGCTAAAATATGTGATTAAAATATCCACAATAGTTCAGATTGTGGAATGAGAACAATAATGAGCTGCATTTAATGGTAAAACCAGATGCCTTGCCACAATTTGAAAGACAATTAAAAAGAGCCAATGCAAGTGCTGACAACTTCATTTCAAATGTACAGCAGTAAGTAAAACTCTTATTTATTCCCTAATTTAGTCATTTATTTAATATTAATTCATTAATTTACAGCTTGATTGACTTGGAGCATGAGGCAACTACAAAATCGTCACCCATATTTGGTTGGACGCGTTATAATAACTTGGCTGAAATAGAGAATTGGTTGGACGAAATACTCTCTGCATATCCAAATGTTACAGAAAGTTTTGTCATAGGTGAGTCCTATGAGGGACGCAAGATACGAGGCGTACGCATCTCGTATAAATCAGGTAATCCAGGTGTGTTTATCGAATCTAATATTCATGCACGCGAATGGATAACTTCAGCCACGGCCACCTGGCTGATCAACGAACTGCTCAGCTCTGGGGATGATTTGGTGCGAGGGTTGACCGAATCCCATGACTGGTACATTGTGCCAGTGCTAAACGTGGATGGATTTGTCTACAGTCACCAAAAGGTAAGTCATACATTACCATGTATTTAAGAAATTTTCCATACTTTCGGCCCCAAGGGTTACTCAGCTTATTATTCAGAAAGTACATTTGTAAAAACCAGAATTTTTTCTAAAATTGTATGAGTGTAACTGCATATTAAAACTTTGCAATTTCTACACAGGATCGTCTGTGGCGTAAGACGCGTCAACCATCGAATATTTCGAGCTGCATTGGAGCTGATCCTAATCGGAACTACGATGCCCATTGGCTAGAGAATGGAGGCGCCTCGACGAATCCCTGTGCTGAGGACTATGCTGGGCCGCATGCATTCTCCGAACCAGAGATAAAAGCTATGTCGGAATATGTTTGTGGCATTAGGGATAAACTGAATGTGATGCTGGCCTTTCACTCGTACGGTCAACTTTTGCTATCACCTTATGGACACACTAAATTTGAGTTTCCGTATAATTATGATGATCTAATGCAAGTGGCAAAGGCTTTTGGGGATGCAATCGAGGGACTGCCTTATGGCGCTGTCTACAAATACGGTTCTGCAGCGGGTATTCTTTGTGAGTTAAATATAGACACAACATAAAATAAATATTTTTCATATTAATTTATTTTGTTATATTATTTTAGATCCCGCATCTGGTGCCACAAACGATTGGGCATTTAGTCAAGATATTAAAATATCTTATACTATTGAATTTCGTGATACGGGCAATTTTGGATTTGTGTTGCCACCGGCTTATATATTACCTAATGCAGAGGAGGCCTTAGTTGGCATTATTGCCCTGCTCGCAGAAGCTAAAAAATTGGGATATTTGCAACTTAAGTATGACCCATAACTAAAATCACAATAGATTACGTCGATTTACACTTAAATATGTTTAAAAGAAACAAAATTAACTAAATAAAATTCACAAAAGGTTTTGTAAGTGTATCTGTTACCCATAAGATATAAATTTTTCTGTAAAAAATCTATTTTACTAAAAATAGCTTTAACTCTGTCAAATCCTTACAGATTTTCAAAGCACATGCTGCGTTAGGATCAACGCTGTCGAACTGTATTAAAGGCTTATTGGGTCATCTAAGAATGCAAACACGTGTGGAAATTTCATTCGCATTGTGAACTTTTTTAACTAGGTTTGAGAGTGTGCTTAGTAACGTACTTATGTAAAGCTTAGTACTTGATCTATAGCATTAGTCATTACGTAATGCTGGTTCAGAGCTGCACTTTAGCAGTTCAAGGCGTACCACAATACTGGTTTTTAGCAAAGTAACACACCTATGAATTGCTTAGCATGCCAAGAAAGCAGCGCAAAGCAGCTTCTAGAGCGATTAAGTAATATTCTGCAAAATTTGTTGCAGTACATTTTGCATTACAATAATCTAATCTAAGAGTTTAAAACAGAATTTTCAGTTCAAGAGTCAACAAGTTTTTTCTGTTAATTCGATATACTTCAAAAGTCAAGGAAAAAAATATTCAGTCTAAGATATTTGTTTCAGAGTATTATAGCGTCAGTCTGAAAATATGGAATATTTGAAACTTAATATGGGCTGTAATTGCCAGAAAGGCAATATACCAATTAAGATAATTTTTGGTTTAATGCTTTAAAATTTGCCGCTTGAGGCTTAAACTCGACCATTCGATCGATCAGTTAATAATTGCAATGCGTCTGATTTGGTTGCTTGCTACACTTGTGGTCTTGTCCAGCGCTGGGACAGTCAAGGATCCACCCAAAGTGCGCTACGATAACTACGCTGTATATAAGTTGAGCATCAAAAATAAAATACAATTATCGCTGTTAAATAGACTAAGTGAACGCACTCAGAATGTATGTATGGGCAACTAAAAATGTGATATTATGTCTTCTACTGACGTTTATACGTTTTTACTGCTTAGCTAAATATTTGGAAGGATTATGATGAGTTCTCGAAGCAAATGGACATCATGGTTAGTCCAAGTGAATCAAAACGCTTTCAGCTGTTCCTAAAACTTTATGGCATCAACAATCAATTGTTAATATCCAATGTACAAGTGTAAGTTTCCATTAATTATATTGACGAAAGATAATAATAGTAAGAATAATAATAAATATAATTTCCTAAACCCAATTTTAATATCTAATGTAGAAACGCAAGTTTCAACTAAGTATATTGAAGACCAATGCGATAATTCCAAATGTTTTTTGATTATAATTTCTGTTTTTTTTTTTTTCATGTAACGCTCGATTATAAGTGCCTTGCTGGACACTAAAGTTTATGATTTAATGTTTTATTGATATTTAGGCTTATCGACGGCGAACAAGTTTCGAGCAGAGATAGCGGCACCTTTGGTTGGAAACGGTATTATAATCTGGATGAGATCGAGGCATGGTTGGATGAAATACTTCAAACCCATCCAGGTATAACCGAAGACTTTTCCGTGGGTCAGTCGTACGAGGGACGTAGAATTCGTGGCATTAAGATTTCCCATGGATCGAATAAGCCCGGCATATTCATCGAGTCCAATATACATGCCCGTGAGTGGATCACCTCGGCGTCGGCCACCTGGTTCATCAATGAGCTGCTCACCTCACAGCAGCCAGAAGTGCGCAACTTGGCCAACAGCTATGATTGGTATATTGTGCCTGTGTTCAATGTCGATGGCTTTGCTTACTCCCACCAATCCGTAAGTACACTCTGGAAAAAGTCGACCAAAGCAATAGAAAGTTTTTCTTGTTTTTAGAAATAATTTCCAAATATTAAGAGAAAAGTTTCTAAAATTTATAAAGACCCTAAAAAATATAAAGTTTATCTTATTATTTTTAAAAATAATTTTTAAATATTGGAAATTAAATTTATAAAATTTATAAAGCCTTGCCCTAAATCAACAATCTCAAAAAATGTGATTTTTCAATTTTTTTTTTAGAAATTTGTTTTCTTATTATTATTGAATAATAGAAAGTCTTTCTTTTCTTCAGAAATAACATGTAAATATTATATTGTAAATATTAGGAAAACCTAATTTCGAATGTTTAAAAAGGCCCCAAAATTAAAATTACCCTAAAAATTTACAGTTTTTGTTTTGAAATATAATTAAAAAATGAAAATATTAAGAAAAACAATTTCTAAAATTTAGAAAAAACTTCCTCTCTATATCAATATAATAATTCTTCTATGGTACATACACAGAAAACAACACCTGGAAGTTAAATATATTTGTATTCTAAATATTTAAAAAATCCATCCTGAAATTAAGAAATACAAACGATTGTTTTTAGAAAGTCACAAACATCAGAATTCACGTTATGTATAACAACCTTTTACTAAAATTTAGGCCAATTTTCGTATGAGTGTAGATTTCTCTATCTGTAGTAATCAACTAACTGAATAATCGAATATTATAGGATCGCATGTGGCGCAAGACGCGACAGCCGCATCCCACCTCGAGCTGCATCGGAGTCGATGGCAATCGTAATTTCGACTCGCAATGGATGGTTAATAATGGTGCCTCTGATGATCCGTGCAGCGAGACATTTGCCGGTCCTGTTCCTTGGTCGGAGCCAGAGACCAAGGCGCTGTCCGATTATCTGACGAGCATCAGGGACAAGTTTAGCGTTTATATCTCTTTTCACTCCTACGGACAGTGGTTACTATCACCCTATGGTCACACTAAAGAGGAATTCCCAGAGAACTACAATGATCTGCTGGAAATTGGCGATGCTTTTTCTGGGGCCATAAAAAATTTGGTTTATGGCACTGAATATGTACACGGCTCAACGGCAACCGTTCTATGTAGATTCAATTAGTTAAGGAATATTCAATTAGATATAATATAAAAAAACCCTGTCTTGATTGCAGATGTCGCTTCAGGCTCCTCGGTGGACTGGGTCTTCAATGAGCTGGACAAAAAGGTCGGTTTTACCATTGAGTTCAGAGACAAGGCTCGTTTTGGTTTTGTGCTCCCACCCTCTCAAATTCTGGCTAATTGCGAGGAACTCATGGCTGGAATGATTGCCCTGATTGACAGGACCAACACATTGGGTTACATCTAATGCAGTTTTTTTTTAAATTCCTATTCCACCCAATGTGTTGTGTGGCCTTGCCCTGATTGGGATATAACTAATTTAGCTTTTAGATTCCATCATTTACTGATTATTAAATTGTTTCATTTTGTAGCCTTGTCCTGATTGACAAAACTAACAAATTGGTATAAATCTAATGCAATTTGTTTTTATTTCTATTTCAATTGATGATTATTAAAGTATTTCATGTAGGATGTGAGCAGATCATCCATTTTGTAGCCTTGTGTTGTGCTGCAGAGCAACTTCGAGGCACCAATCATATTCCCAAAACGTATATGAAAATGATTCTTCCCCGAGCTCCAAATGCCCAGTTCTGTGTAGCTATTGCTGCGTAGCAGTTGCTTTGTATTTCCATCGAGCAGATGGAAACCGGTGGAATTGATGGCAATCAATAGATTCTCGGGCAGGGAAACGTCATTCAGTTGCTTGACGGAAAAGAAGGTGGAACCAAAACCCGTTTGCTGAGCCAACAACTGAAGAAATCTCAACTTGACTTGATCCTCATCGAGGCCAACATCTTGATTGAGAAGGGGCAACAATTGTTGATGCCACTCGGCCAGCGTTTGCAGTGGCAGCAAATCCTCTGGAATCAGACGTGGCAGCAGCTCGTGCAGCAAACAGCCTTCGCCCTGCTCATGAGACGCCTTGTAGATTAGTCGAACCAGCTGGAGAGCCAGTTCCAAGTCAATGGCATAATAGCCTTTGAGATATTTGTGCAACTCCTGCGGATAGTTAAAAATCACATCTGCATTGGGATCGTTGCCCGGCTGGCAATCTAACCACAGTTTGCGCATAAAGTGTAACTGATAGTGATAGTTTTCATCGCAGCTGGAACGGATTGTCTTCTGCTGGCGCAAATAATGCAAGAGATGTGTAATGAAATCAAACACAAAGTCCGTCTCGGGCATGGCGTACACCTTCTCGCCAATCTTCATAAAGATGCTGAAGCCCAGCTGTGACTTCAACTCCAAGCGATTTGCTATCTCTGCGATTAACTCTGCGCCCCGTGTATGCGATTCGATTTCAAAGGCCTCCACTGTGTCGTCGGGGAAATAGATCTTGTGATAGATGTGCAGGCAGCGCTGCTGTATGCCCTCCACTTCGATCTGGTGCGGCGCCTGCTTCCGCTGCCCATGTTGCACAGTGTGTTTCAAACGTCGCAGGCAGGCATCGGCGAGTGCATCAGGTCGCTGGCGCAGGAATAGGATTAGTTCACGCATTATGCACACGGTGGGCACCATGATTCCGGTGGCCAGATACAGCAAATCCCAGCCACGTTGTTCGCTCGCCGCCAGCGGATTCCGACTCAGCTGTTTCATCAGCTGACAGAAGACCTCGTCGCAGAGCAACGAATGCTGTAGTGCCGGCTGGAAGATCAGATCCGTGTTCACCGGCAGATTACCGCGTGCTATATCGCCCATGTACTAAAAATTTATCCTGTTTTAGTCCGATAGCAATAAATATATACACACTTTGTCAAGAAACACTTGCTCGACAAACTGTATATTTATGTTCAGCTCACCTTGAGTATGTGATGATAGATGACGAGTGCCTGTTGATAGAGCTGTGGCTTGGAGTGCAGACTTCTAAGCAACGGTGCCTTCAATGGTTCCGCGGAATAGCGCCAAAGAGGTGACTGCTCGGACCTGTGCAAAAGAAAAAAAGAATAATTAGTAGCTGAGACTAGTATAACAAAAGAAAGCGTTGTACTACAGTTTGGTAACTGTATCTCTAAAACTTGCGGAAAATGTAAGATTTTGAGAATTTTAGCTGTAGCTCACGGACATTGCACATCCGACAGAGTTCGCAAATCCCATATTATAATTATATGTGTATAGTATATGTTAAATAGTATATTATTATTATATTTACTCCAAGAGTTCCCTGAACTGCAGCTCAGCAAACTGGGCCAAGCTGTGCTGTTGTCGTCGCTGTGGCTCAGCAGTCGCTGAGTTTACTGCACTTGGTTGCTGCTCCAACTGGCCCTGATCCTTGAATATCTGCAGCAGCTGTAATCTCGGCTTGGTGAGTGTAGCCAATATGCGCACTTGGCTGGCTGCAAATTGGCCCCATTTGCCATTGACACAACCCCGCCAGAGTAGTTGGGCATTATCTCCTTGGATCTGGGCACCCGAGACTCCAGCCTCGAACTCAACAAGATCGCCAGCTTTGAAAAGCAGTTGCTCCTGCTGCTCATCCTCATCCTGTTGCTGCTGCTTCTGGCTGTTTTCAATGGCTATACCGTAGCTGGAGCGTTGCTTTAGATTGCTCAGCATAAAATCAATTAATTCTGCAGCATCTCGCGCCTCGCTGGACTGCAGCACAAAATTCTCCTGTTGAGCGGTGAGCAAATGTAACTCATCCTTACCATGAAAATGGATCTCCAGCAGCTCCGCATAGCTGCAGGAGGCGAGCACTTGCTCGGTTTCATCAATAAGTGAAAGACCTACAGCATTTATAGCCAACATGAGGTCATCGGATTGCAATTGCGGCCCAGACAGCCGGACAACCTCGTACAGCCGACAGTGCCGCATTGGCCACGAGAGGTGGGCAAACAGACAAATATCCTCCTTTGCACGCTGTTGCGATGCCACATCCTGACCCCCTCTGACATACGCACTTTTCTCATATGTTGCAGCAATGAGGCGACTCCAATTATTTACCGCTCTTTCACCCGGCGCCAGCAAATCGCGTGGCACAAATGCCGTCAATTCCTTACTTGTTAAACTGGCCACGTTAGCACCTCCAAATTCAATGTAGGTGGCCAGTGCACAAACCATTGCAATATCCTTCTCGGAGCGACAACGATACTCGCCACACTTCAGTCCAACTATGATCTGCTTGTAGATGAGCTGCGTCGCATGAGCATCCTGAGCTGGATCATACCAAGCAGAAAATAGTTCCTTGCGCAAATACAGCTTCCAATTTGCATCTGGCAGCTGGCGTTGCTCGCAGCTGGAAATGGCATCGAGGACATGTTCGCGTCCTGCTCCCAGTGGCAACAGTTTCTCGTGCAGTGCCAGCACCAAGCCAAAGCCGAAGCTATCCACTAGTTGGAGTCTATCACACAATTGCTGCACTGCCTCGCGAGCCGTGCTGGCTGCATCCACTTGCAACTTCAGCACCTGTCCATCCATCAAATGAATCGCTAGCTTCAGCGGCTGGCGACTGCGAATCGCTTGGAGCTCCAGCAGGGATGGTGGCTGGGAACGTGCCCCATTCGCGAGAGTGCGCTCCAGATGTTGCAACGAGGATGATGCCTGCAACTTGGCGGTGCCCATTTTCATATAGCTGCGCAAATATGGCTCGAAATTGGAGCTAGGCGGAAAACAGGTCAGGCAAAGCGAGAGCAGCAGCCAGCCGCGGGATGAGGAACTCCGACTAGGATTCAGGTACAGCTGCTTGCAGATCTGGGCCAGGATTTCGTCCCTGTAATCAGGACACGTTTTTTTCTTAGTTTATGATAAATGATTTCAACTATTTAATAATTAGTTGTTGGTTTGGGTGTATCTTAAAATTGTGTTAAACAAATAAATAATTGCCATCTCACCGTAAGCCCTCCTTCAATATGCCATGTCCGATTATGAAATGGAGCTTATCCAGATGACTGCTGCCAGCATTGAGCCAGAGTTGATAGAACTCCTCGGCCTCCCTTTGACCATTGCCAATCAGCTTCGACTGCCGTTTGATGGTCTGACGGATAAAACGCCGTGGCTTGGAGCCAAGAATTTTAGCCAGATCCTGCATCAGCTCCGGGTAGCGCAGAGAGTGGTTTGTCGGAGTGGGAGCAGCCTCGGGCAGATCGCCCATAAAGCGTAGAGTCAACAACCAAATGGCCTTAAACATAAGGAAGGAATATGGTAAAGAAAATAATTTATGCTCAACGAGAAAATCATTTACCTTGCCAGCCATTTGATCGACGGGAAGTTCGTGTTTCAAGAGAGTCTGTTTTAGAGGTTTTCTCTCATGCTGAGAATTGATGCCGCTGTGAAAATATGTCGAGGCATATTTCTGGAAGCTGAAATCCGAGGTGTCCACATTGTTGGGTATGGTTTTGGGCAAACGAATTGTGCCGCCGGAACTAATGCTGTTGCTCTTCTTCAGAGAAAGCTAAGAAAGCAGAAAAAGCATAATTTTATTACTAATTTTTAGTAAGGGTATTAATATTCTGGTATATTTTATTCTAGTACATTTCTCTTATACTCAGCCAGTCAATAATTTAACTGACTTTAATATTCAGACAGCTATAATCTATGTAGGTGCCTCCTATCAGGTATTTCTTTTTCCTTTTTTTAGCTGCACCCGAAGATATGCCAAGAATCTGATAAGAATCGATTATTTATGATCGCATTTATTTCATTTATCATTTGGGGGTATAGGCATTAAATTTTCAAAGTCTTCTGATAGCGATAACCATGCTTGATATGTGGGCTTTGTTTTGCCATTTAGTTAGTCTAAAGGTAGTTGCTGACTAGACTCGATACCGAGCGCATCAAATTAAATTAATATTTTCATCAATAAAATATATTATTTTTTTGCTTTTTACTGTTGTTTCATTTAAAAATTGTAGACCTGGGCTTTAAAAACCCCTATAATTGGCAAATCAAGAAAGAATTACCGATTCTCTAAGTCTAAATACAGTTTTTGTAACCACGATTTTCAAAAATTGTAAGTAATAAGGTCACATTTCAATGTTTTCACTTAGACCATATAGAAAATGCTTTAAAAATCTGTTTTTTACAATTCACCATTTAACATTATAAAGAAATAAAACTGTTAAGTTTTGGCATTATTTTTCTTTGTTTTTTCGTTTATAGAAAAAATTGTTAGATTTTATATTTTTAGCATTATTCCAATCTAAGTGTGGAGATTGTGGAGCTCTTATCTCTTAAGTATATTTGACTATGCAAATACTGTCTAGGCAATTAAAATTGTGCCGATTCATTAGATGTGAAGCATTTTTATATCAACCTGTTGAAATATTAATACAAAACTATTATCTTTTTTGCCGATACACTTAGAAAACAATTACTGAATATTATAAGCTCGGCACATTTTTGGCGCCAAGCGTAGCTCATCTTATAATTTTGATTTCTGAATAAAGAGAGTGTCTAAGACTGAAGCACTTAAGTGTCATATCAAACAGTTGAGTATTGGTTAATAATATGAATACAGAACTATTATTTTTTCGTACAGTGGAGTTGATTTTTAAGTGTAGTTCTTTTTAACACTTTCTCATATATTTATTTACTTTTTATTGGAAGTAAAGCGCCCTTGCCAGCGAAAGAGAGAGAGAGAGAGTATGAGAAGCGGATTATGATAACGATGACCAAACTGTACAAGAACAATAACAAAATAACAATTGAAATGCACATATATAAAAAACTACTGCCACAAGCCACAAATGAAGAAAAAACACACGAAATGGATTGCACATATATCCAAAATATATATCTTATTTATCACCACCAAAACAGCAGCGGACTTTTATTAACAAAAATTATAATAAATAGCTAAGTACATCGAATCGAATATACATAAATGGGAAAGTGTTAAAAAAAACGATCACAAAAACAAAACGAAATCGAAATCGAATTGTTATAATATATATATATATATATATATATATATATATATATGTACATATACATATATATACAAATATATACTAATATATATACACAAGCTGGCATTTAAATATGATTTGTACAGATTACTCCCAGAGGAAGAAATTGAATAAGAAGAAACTAAAAATTTCTTCGTAATATCGGCTATTGACTACTTATCGTATACGGGTAGGATGTTTGTCTATCTGTCTGTCTAATTTGTTCATGGCTGTTCCAGCAACCACCACTTCTAGAGACGCGTCTGATCGATAATCTGGCGCGGCGCCGCCTCATAGTAGTTGACGGGTCTGGAGAGCAGCTTGGTGGGCACATCTTTGCGCAGTCTCAACTGACGCTCAAAGATCAGCGATTTCTCTTTGACATTCGGTCCCAGGGGACCACTCACATCAGGCTCATCGTTGAGAAAACCGAAAACATCGTCCACCATCTGCTTAGAGGACTCCACATCAATGTAGCCGGCGCTATTCAGAGGAGTGGTAATAATGGGGGACATGGGCGGTGGCGGTGGCAGCGACATGCGTGCCTGCAACGTGGGTGCAGGTAACACTGGCGCTGCTCTTATCACCACCTGTGGCTGCTCCGCGCGTTTCAGGGATTTTGTGCGTTTGGGCTGCTGCACAGCAGCCATGGCTAGAGCATTGCGTGCAGCAGCCTCCGCCTGGGGACGCAGTTGCTCCTGCTCAGCTTGCTGCTGCCTGAGACGCTGCTGCTCCTGCTGCTTGAGACGCAGCTGGTCCTGCTCCGCCTGCTGTTTCAAGTGCTGCTCCCTTAACAGCTTCATTTGCAGCTGCTTCTCCGCCTGCTCCTGCTGCCTTAACACCTTCAGTTGCTTCTCCCTTAATCTCTTCTGCTGCAACTCCAAAGCAAATCTTTTCCTCGCCAAATACCCACGGCATAGTGCCTGCAGTTTAATGCTTCGACTGCGCACCATGGTAAACTTGGTGGTCAACTGCTGAGCCATCAAACAGGCGCCCAGGCGATGGAAGCCATTTCGCATAATCTCATATCTGCGACGCTGGACACGACCACGCCAATGACGCTGCACGGTGACAATGGCCTGGCGATACTTTTGCAGATAGCGACGGAAGAGCACCCGCCGGAACCCCCGCTGAATGGTCACAATGCACTGGAGCATGCGGCGAGAGCGTTCCGTCTCCAGCAGCACATCGTCGTCATCCCGTAGAAACAGTTTCGTTTTTCCAAATTGACGATTTGAATCCACCGGCAAAGTTGCTTCACAAATCTGTCGCGCCAATTGGCGGCAATCGCATTTATCCAGTGGACCCGTCTTTGGCACCAACAATCGATAACGCTCCACGAAGGCGCGATAGGCGTGCCGGATGGGATACCCAGCACGACGTATTCGAGCCGTCTCCATCATGCCCGAGTAGCGCAACTGGCGAACACACAGCTCCTTGTCAAAGTTCTGTTCAAGGAGAAAATAAATTCAATTAAAATTAATGATAAAGTTAAGTTAATAAACGCAATGATTAAGCAGACTAATTTATGAATGTAATAAAAATATAATCAATAAAAAATTATTATTATTATTATTGGTTGGCCTTATGCACTGCGACCGATTATATCTGCTTTTAGTGATATGTGATCAATATGAAAATATATTTTGGATATTGATGATCAATAATATGCCAATTCATTTTATATATCAGTTATGACCCGTAATCCATCCATCCCCAATATAAGTCTCCCATGAACTATAAAATTGTTTTAAATATGACAACAACTACTATAATGAATGAGGAATATCATAAATATTTTAAATAATATAACTTCTATAATAAATCTATTACAATTCTCTGCATTCTAAAACGAATATTTGGATGGCACAAGGAAGAGCCAAACCTATTCTATGTTCCAAGGTGTTCTAGCTTGGATCGTTACTCACGATATCTTATGTACATATGTCTTATTTTTTTTTTAATTTAAATTCACTTTTAAATTTTATTCTTAATTTAATTTAATAATTTCTTTATTGTTATATTCTTTAGTATTTCTATAATCAACTGCCGATTGCACATAGCTCAACTGAATTGATATTGAAAGTATAATTTGCAGTTATTAGTCATGAGGAACTTTCGAAATCTGATAAAAGTGGAGTTCAAGATTGGTTACCATTTTAAAGTATATATAGCATACTTATCGGAGATATTATAATAATATACTCACATTAGATTCCTTGTACTCATTGGGCTTGATGCAGCGTATAAAGTAAGGATGTGCCTGGGACAGGGTCCGCATCAGCATATCCAAGGAATTGCGGAACTTGACGCAGAGAGTTGGCTGTTTCTTCGCCGTATCCATGGTAATTTCGTTGGGACACAAATCGACCAGATATTTGTTGCTCGACCTCTGGACAAGAGAACGTAGATCGCCGCTAAAAGAATCCCGATTCTTCTCGAGAAAGCCCAAGGGATTGTACATAACTACACCGGCATAATGACGAATGCCAAAGAGGGAAGTTTGCGTGGTTTTTCCCTTGACGTAAATGGAACGATTACCGTGCTGAACGTGCAATTTTTCGAGCAGTGTATTATCTGTGCCCTTGGGAAATTTGGACTCCTCATCGATGAGCGACATAATATTCACTGGCTTCATGCCGATCAGATCGAGTATATCCTGATTATCCTGAAACTCGATATGCTGCCAATTGATGTGCTCCAGCTGATACTCGGCCTGCTCCATCTGCAAAAAGGAAAAAAATGTATATAAAATATAAATTATAAATGTATATCAATAAATATAAAATTATACTTTAATTTATAGGGTGAACACTAACAAATATATTAAAAAGCAACACGAGAAAATATGTCAAAACTCGTTTGCTTTTTCAATCCTAAGAAAAAATGCCAGAGTGTGCTGTTACTTTTAGCGCAACTGTATATGCAAAATAATAATAATTAATAAAAATATAAGTAAATGATAGTAAATGATATACCTTGAAGATGTGCCCCACAAAGAACTGTTGTAGCTTCTCGTTGGCATAGTTGATGCACAGCTGCTCGAAACTGTTGTTGTCGAAATTCTCAAATCCAAAGATGTCCAAGACACCAATGCTATTTACCGACTCCTTTGGCTGAATGTTGATGGTCTCATTAATTCTGCGCACAATGCGTACAAAGATGCCATCGTACAAGGACTTGACGAAGGCATCGCGTCCCTCCAATGCCGCCTCCTTGGACAGACTGGTCACCACATGCTCGCCATGCACAAAAATGGTGCGTTGTGTCAGCGCCGTATTCAATGGAGCCGTATCCAAACCCAACAATTGTGCAGCACGTTGCAAGTTGAGAGGATCATCGACCTCAGCTGCCTCAAGATTAGCCACCTCAATGGCCTTGAAACGCAAATTGCCCAAATGCAAAATGGCAGCCAACAAACTGAAGATGCACCAAACCTCATCCGGTTTAAAGGACAACACTTTCATGGCAGCGCGTATGTCAGCAAAATCATTGGCATCCTCTTTGCCGGCCAGTGAAAAACAGCCGCCTTGTGCTAAATAATTATATTGACTGGCTGATGACTCCAATAGCTGTAAGCGTTCCCTTTCCGCTGTACTCAGCCCGGCCAACATGCAATAGAAAATGTGATAATTGCGCTCCTCACGACTCTGGAAGACGATGCGGGATTTCTCAAGCAAATATTGCTGGATGCGAGCACCTTGGATTGCACCCTGCGGCGTGAATCTTATGTCTATATATTTGCCAAATCGGGAGGAGTTATCATTGCGCACGGTCTTTGCATTGCCAAAGGCCTCCATTATGGGATTTGCCTCGATGATTTGCTGCTCGATCCACGAATGCTTGCCACTTATTGCAGCCAGATATTGGAGTATCAATTTGGTGCTCTCTGTTTTTCCTGCACCGGATTCGCCGCTAATCACAACGCATTGGTTCTCCTTGTGGCGCTGCAGTCGCTGGAAGGCATTGTCACTGATCGCAAATATGTGTGGAGGCAAATCACTGAGTTTCTTATCGCGATATAATTGGATCTCGCGATGCGTGTAGATGGGCAGGATCTGGTAGGGATTGATGGCCACCAGCATGGAGCCCGTATAGGTCTGCAAAGGAAATAGTAAATTGGTAAGTGCACTGATTGATTCGCTGCACTCCGTAAACAAATGGCACTGAATTTAGAAATATTTTCTGTTATTAACAAATGAGTTTCTAAAAAGGAAAAATGTAACGCCTTATTTTAGAGAAAATCCTTTCCGAATGCTTTTAAAAATTGTAAGTTAAAAAATTAGAGGAGCCTGCCCTAAACCGACTATACCAAAAATATGGTGTTTTTTTAATTGTAGAAATATTGTCCATTATTACCAAATGAATTTCTGTGGAAAAATGCAAAGTCTTATTTTAGAGAAAATCCATTCTGAATGCTTTTAACATTTTTAAGTTTTCACAAATTCAATTAAATGGATTTATTAACTATCTAATATATTTGTATAAGTGAAATTTTAAAATACTAATGTATATTTGGAAAACTCTGTAATGATTGCAGTAGACTTTATCATGTACTCTATTCAGAGTTCTCAATATTTTAAAAAATATAAAAAATACGAATGTTTAATTGATAATATAAGCAACAAATAATATAATATTTATAGTCCCTTCTTTTCTACACATATTAAAAATGAAGCCTGAAAATTAGACATATTTTCTAAATTCTAGAAAATTGTAAGAAATGAATAATCCCAATTTTTAACAATATACATACAATATGCATAATAAAATGAGTTACCCTAGACAAATATATAAAATTGAGTGCGATTTGTTTGGCCAAGTGTTTGGACGAGTAACTCACGTAGATTAGTTGCTTGGCATAGCGTGTCTTCAGATTGCGTAGGATTGTGTACTCCTGCAGATCGCCGAGGGTTATCATGTCGTCGACATCCTCCTGCGAGGTGACGTGCATCGCCTTGAGCACATCTCCGGCTGGGACCCAGAACTGTTTCTTGTCATCATCGCAGACGAGAGTCTGCGTCTTCTCCGTGCGCACAATTCGTGCCCCGAATGGAACTGCAAATTCGCAGTTTGTGTTCTGTGGCTTAACCCAAACATATTCGCCCTGAGGAGAAAGTGAGTAACGATCGATTCAATTAAAATGTAAACAAGATCTTATCAATGTAATAATAATGATGTACACGCGCCTTATTACGAAAATTGTGATTAGATATCAAGTTTGAAAATATTAGCTAATGTCAAGGTATTTCAGCAGTTGGAAATTGATTATTTTTTAACTTCAGTCATGTAAAAAAATTCAGTTGTTGTCAGTTTGACATTCTTTGAAGCTACCCAATTTAAAGGCTGAACATAAATGCTGATAAGGAAAATCATTGCAGCATGTGCATGTCAACTTGAATGTTTGTCAAAGAAGATTTTAACCTAACCTAAGTTGTACATTTAAGCAGCAAACAAACAAAAAGTACAGTAAAAAAATATTCCAAAAAATGTCGATAAACTTCATATCAAATTTATGAACTGTCTCATTTAAATAAAGAAGAACAAAACGGTAGGCAAGTGAGGCAAATAGTTGGAAACGCCACATATGTTCAAAATTCTTATCTTATCTTTTTGGAATGCCAATATACAAAAGAAGGTCTTATCGGCATTTTACAATCGAAACTGTGAATACAACTCAGCAACAAACAGTTAATAATTGCCAAAAAAAAAAACAATAAAGGAGAATAAAACGTGTGAACACTATTATTAAAAGTAGACAACATTGATTTGATATAAATCACAAATATTACTTTATAGAGCCGGACAATATTGCAAAAAGAATGAGCTCACAGTATACATATAATATTTATGTATTTATAATATAATAAGTATATATAATATAATTATTTTTGACGACCTTGCTTATCTATATAAGACACCTGATTCTGATAAGATTATGACTAATAACTACTGAAAAAACAACAAAAAAAAATATATGTATATATATATATATATTTAAATACTGCTAAGCTCACAGTGATATTATACTTTGCATGCAATTTCGGAAAGTACTAAAAAATGATTAATTTTTTCAACGGAACTTTTGATTTATAACCAAGCGCCTAAGAATGAGATCATGCTAGAAAATTTTAAATTGCAATTTAATTGAAAGTAATTTCTACAGTTATCTAATCACCAAATAGTACAAATCGTAATCAAAAGTGGACCGCAAATTGTAAATTGACAAATCGGTTAAGAATTTGGGCAAGAAGCACTAAAAATACAACTGAAATGGTGTCATATTTGTTAATTTTTGAATAGTGATGTTTCGTGGTGAATTGCTTAATTTAGTCCGTTAAATTATTGAAATGTTTTATAAGCCCTACAAATTTTAAGTCACTTTACTGAATTGTTAAAAAGAATACTAACATTTTTTATTTATACTGTGTCGAACAAATAATGTTTTTGTTATATTTAATTATTATTGCTACTTTTATTATTATTCTTAAATATTTCATTTAGTTTTAATGTGAGTTAATGCACCACAAAATTGTTTAGTATTAATGGCAAAAAATAAAAAATATTTTCAACTTGTTTTCAACTTATATCAAGGCATTTTCTAGTCGATATTCTCAGCTATAATGTTTGATAAGAAATTTTTCGGCTCTCTCGCGTGCTTGAGATATTAGAAAATAGAAATTGGGAAAACTGAAAATCCCTGCTGGGAAATGTGTTGTTCAATATGTAGTTTTAACTTAAACCAAAATAACCAAAAAATAACAGATATAGAGGTAAATTGATAAGAGGGCAGTTTTTTAAATGTGTAACGCGTGGCAATTTTAAGTCACATTAATAAATCGAAAGTTTGACATTGGTATGTCGCCAAACTTGACAATTATCATTTTGTTAAGACGAAAGATTTTTTGATAAGACCCGATAAGAAATCACAGGATAAAACTTACATGTTCCCGCACAAATTCGGACATGATGAAGACACAAAACTTGATATGTTCTATATAATTTATTTATAATATTAGATAGTTGGAGCACTGCCGAGACACACGCGGCCGTGGTTTCTATTAATTGCCTAACAAATATTTGCCAAACAATTCGTTTGTGTATTCACAGCTGTTTTCACTTCTACGCTTTTTCTTTTTCTATTTGTTGTTCTTTCAGTTTTTTTTTTATTATTTTATATTCGACCGATGGATAGATGGGTTCTGCTCGGCACGAAGACTCGTTCACTTGTGAGAACGGTGTCCAGGTAATGTAAGCCGTTTGCTGTCATTTCTCAGTTCGTTTCTTATCTAGCTGTTCATATTGATAATGAATATTGAGTGTTGTTTTTTTTTGGCAGTTGCCCCCTTTTGGCCTTATCAAATAGCCGGCAACGATCAGGTGTACGAAAACAAAAAAAACTACGAATACTGCAGGCGAGTGAGCTCTCGACTACGATATACCCTGCAGCCTAGCTGTTAAATGTATACTGATGCATAAAAACAAACCTAGGCAACGCATTACATACATTGGCTAAAAACGAGTATACCATTCTTACCCATTTCGATGCGAGCACAGTACGCGTCATAATTAACGTGAAATATATATTTAATAAACTTATCGATCGATTTTCGTTCTTATCTGACGATGAGCCGAGCCAAAAATCTGATTATATATGCGTATAACTGACCACGCCTATGAATCATGCATTCTCTGCCTCTCTTTCATTTGAATCTATAAATTCTGTCTAACGATAAGCACGAAAAATACAAAGGGGCTTTTTTGGAGAGAAGCATAATAAATCCAGTTTTATTTATTATCTATCTAACATCTATCAAATCGAGAATCACAATTGCAATTGAAAAACAAAAAAAAAGCAGGTAATGATTTATTGAAAAAATGTCAACAAGTCTAATCATTAAAATCAAATTTGACAGGGGTTTAATTTAAAAAATATCTAATAACTACGCAGTGAAATGTCTTATTTCTGTTTACTTATAGAAAAGGCTTTCTTTAAACAATTTGTTTTTATTACCCATTAAAAATTGCTAAAAGGGATATGATTTCGTGAAAATTTATGTAACAGGCAGTAGGAGGCATCTGCGAACCCTTAAAATATACATATTCTTTATCAGGATCAACAGTAGAGTCCATATAACCATGACTGAGAAACTAAAAAAGCTAGAGACTAGCTAGAGATTAAAAATCTTATAAGTTTCTCTTACTTTTTAAATTAAATACAATTTGAAATCTTATTTTTAATTTAGTCTAATAAATTTTTACATATTTTGTATTTTTTGCATCGATTGACTTTAGATAGATTCATATTTGAAATGTGATATCTTTGTATGCACAATTATTGATAGATTGTGGGAGTTGTGAGTGTATTAACCAGTATCGGCTTCGTTGTCAAATCGATTTGTCATACTGAGTTTTATATCATCACAAATGTGCTTGTCATTTATAAAAGTCATATTATGAACACATAAATCGTATTTAAACAAACAAAACCTGAACATATCGGATGGAAAATTATTTTTGAGAGTATCTTTATAATTGCAATGAGTCAAGTTTAATTTTAAAAGTGTTGTAAAGTGCAGGCAGATAAAGAAATCATGGTTTTGCAGTCACAGTTGCTATTTAATTATTATTATTTATTATTTATTTATATATTGTTTAATATTTATTATTTATTATGTATTATTTATTATTTAATATGTATTATTTTATTTATTATTATTTTATTTATTTATTGTTAACAATACTTAATAAATATTTTTATTATTATTAATTATTTGAATCATAATGAATGCTGGATTTCCCTTTCTTAATTTATTATTGATTTTATTATATATTTATACTGCTCATTGTACTTATTCATGGTAACAACTCTTGGCAACTTTTTGTTACTGGCTTTAATGTCTAGTCATTTCTTGGCCCGCTTTGATGGCCTTTGTACTTAAATGAAGTATCGTTAGAAGCACATCAAGAACAACAACAAAAATTCGCAACAAATTTCATTCATTCTTTTCTGTAGATAATTTGCCTCGATTTCTAACAAAATGTTTTGCGATAAGCACCATGCAATTTTCAAGTGATTCTAATAAATTTTACAATCGAACAGTATTTAGGAAAGTCTGTCTGCGCTGTAATTTAAGAGGAAGTACACTTAGAAAAAAATCGAGCTGCATTTTAGAAACTTTCTTTTACTTTTACATTTTGTATTTATTTGAACCGACTGATTTTATTTGGAATGGTCAATTGCGGGCAAGCATTTCTAATTTTTAGAAATTGAGTTTCTTATATTTAGAAATTATTTCTAAGAACAAGAAAAATTGTTTAGTTTTCAGGGTTCTTTACTAAAATTCAGTGACCTTTTTGTTGTGAGTGTAGCTGGCATTTGCTTATCTACAGCTGTGGGGCGCATTGGAATTGTGCTCTGATATCCTTGAGATTTGCTTGAGGTCCTTTACACTTTATATTTCTTGTTCTCTCAAAACAACTCCCTTAAATCTGAAAATGTGTTTAGCAAAAAAAAAGCAGCGTCAGCTTTTGACCCAATTTCAAGCGAGCAAAAAGCACAAAGGGAAAAACTATATTTGCTGTCAGCTGTTGCTGCATGAAATTCCATTACAAATACATTCAAATGCAGCAAATATTTCTGTTTGTGTGTGTGTGTGACAAGGCCGGCCATAAATGCAGCTATTGATGAGATGACGGTACATTTACGCGTTGATGTCGTGCAAATTGTTTTCGCGCACAGAGAAAAGGCCGCCGAAGCAAAAAAAAAAACCAGACATACACACACACATAAAAATACATGTACATTGCACTGATAATAAAACCCAACGACAAATGAAAGCTTTTTCTCGGCCAGCGATGCTGCCCATTGTTGACCCATATTTGGGCATCAATGAAACGCGAATAGTGCAGCAGCTGCAGGCAGCGCTACTTTTTTTCTGCTCTTGCCGTGTAAAAGCTGCGAATAACCGCAATAGCTCAAAGTAGCTAGCTTAGAAAGCTTTCGCAGCTAGAATGTTCTTAACACAAACAGTAAGAAAATTAAGAATTTGATAAAATTTTAAATGCAGCTTTAACTTGGGAAAACAATAAAATAAATAAATTCGATAAAATTTGATTGCATTAATTTATGCCTAAAATCATATATATCAACAAAACAAAGAAAAAAAAGCACAGTAAATAGGGGAAGAGAAATAAGAGATGAGAGCTTATGAATGCACCGTTAGCTCATGCGTGTAAAGCTTTAATTGTTGTTATTATTCGTACGCACTACAAACAGCTGGAGAGAGCTTTCGCTCCAATGCAACAGAATGGAATTGAAACACTGGCAAGCACTTTTGGGGTAAAAAGGGTGTCAATGGAATGAAAATACAAAACTTTATAGCAACTTGAGGAAAGCGTGAAACGTGAGAGGTGGAACGAATTTTGCAGCAGGCACAGCAAGCTTTTCAATATAGTTTCAGTCACGCAGCGAAGTGGACGTTCTTGCTCTCTCGCTAGCTGTCCTGGCAAACGCGCGCTCAGCATTCTAACGGTATTTCTTAAGATTTACTTTAAATACAAGAAAAATAAAATTAAATTAAAATAAATATAAATAATAATAAATTATTAGTATGTGCTTTGTGTTTTCGCGACGCTCTCTCTCTCTCTCTCTGTCACACACACTCTCTCGTACTCTACTTTAAAAGTGCAATAAATTATTTAAGGCATTTCGTTTCGTTTTCGTTATTTCACTGTTTCTTCTCGTTAATGTTGCGCTCGCACTTGGCCCATTGGCCCAGTCCCAGTGACGAAGTCAACAATAACAACAGCAATAACAACGAACGCGGAACACGAAACACCTAAACACGAAACACTTCGCGAATGGAGAGCACAAAAAGCACCAATTGAGGAGAGGCGTCATTAATCAGTCGCGCGAGAGCCGCTGACCGCGTCTGTTGTTCTCATTCTCGTTATTATTGATGTTGCGCATCTTTCCCAAGCAGGTCTAACGGGATATTTGCCCATCGCTGAGTTTTGAGCTAAACGTGAATCTGAACTGTAAATGCAACTGCAGCTGCAACAAATGCCAAACAACTGCAACAAAATAATAAGTGAGCGAAATAACATAAAGTAACTAATTTAAATAAAAACACCGCTTGCTGTTTTTTTTGGCTCAAAAGCCGCTCGCAACAATTTTTTTTGCCTTGGTTACAGGTGAGTTTTCACATTGAATATATAGGAATCTATACTACACATAATCGACAAAGGATAAACTGACCTAAATTGCACCTCGGCAAGACCAAAATCAATTTTTATGCTCGGGGTATGTGTACAATATGTTATTAAGGGCACAAAGTAATAGTAATAGTAATATATATATATATATATATTTATTTATTTATATTTATATAGTAATATATAAAATATATAAATATAGTAATATATTTGTATATATAATAATTCTAGTTTTTAGCTGGCTTAAAATCTGCAGAGATTTATGAACTAAAAAGAAGCCGGTTTTTTAAATTAAATTTTTAAATAATATATCAGTATATAAGCTGTACAAAATACATACATCCTAAATTTATGAACTTATCTTATACATCATTCTGGGATATTATTATTTTCCATTTTCAAATTCAATTTTTTCATTGTTTATTTACTTTTATTATTTATTTTATTATTTATTAATATTTTGAAGAATTCGTAACAAATAGTATTCGTTAATTTCAACTGCTACTTAGTTTTTCTTGAGTGCACATTACATATACGTCCCACTGCATACAAACACTGCATGAGAAGTCGACCGCAATGGGGGCAGTCAAATGGGGCATATGTCATTTCTGCATCGTGCAAGGGGTCAATGCAACTGCTTCCAGCTGGGTTTTCATCCTGCTGCAACTGCGGCAACAACATTTAATGAGACAATTAAAACGCATTTCTACACTCGGAGAAAACCCTTGATTAATACGCTTGAAGCGCGCTTCAAATGGCGCTTGCTTCTTGTGCCCCAGTCGGGAGTGCACTGAGCTCAAGGACGAAACTATTAAAAATGGGTGGAAAGGGTATACTCGTTTTGTGCGAAGGTATGTAACAGGCGGATATATTCTTGATCAGAATAAACAGCTGAGTTGATATGGACATGTCTAAGAGATTATAATAGCTAGATACT